AAAGTTTTGACTTACGACCCCTAAAAAAAGAACTGATCTTTAAAAAAGAATTAGTTCCATCTCCAACTTAAACAAGATTTGCCCTAACAAAAAGAATCTAAAAAAGTTTTGACTTACGACCCCTAACAAAAAAAAAAGAAAAAGAACTGATCTTTAAAAAAAGACTAAGTTTCATATCCAACTTAAAGAAACTAATGACAATTTGACTTACCACCCTAAACAAAAACGAACTAAAAGAACTTATCATTAAATAAAGAATTATTTCCATCTCCAACTTAAACAAGATTTGCCCTAACAAAAGGAATCTAAAAAAGTTTTGATTTACGACCCCTGACAAAAAAAGAACTGATCTTTAAAAAAGAATAAGTTCCATATCCATATCCCAATAAACACAATTTGACCTGATAAAAAAATCTAAAATAAATTTTGAAGCACGACCCCTTCACAAAAAAGAACTAATCTTTAAGTAAAGAATAAGTTTCATTTCCAACATTTCCAACTTAACCAACTTGAACAAGATTTGACCTGACAAAAAGAATCACAAAATTTTGACTTACGACCCCTAACAAAAACGAACTAAAAGAACTAATCTTTAAATAAAGAATTAGTTCCATCTCAAACTTAAATAATATTTGACCCTACGAAAAGATATTTAAAGAAATTTCGATGATAAAAACTTACCAACCTAAACAAAAACGAACTATAAGAACTTATCTTTAAATAAAGAATTATTTCCATCTCCAACTTAAACAAGATTTGCCCTAACAAAAAGAATCTAAAAAAGTTTTGACTTACGACCCCTAACAAAAAAAGAACTGAACTTTAAAAAAGAATAAGTTCCATATCCAACTTGAAGAAACTAATGAAAATTTGACTAACGACCCCAAACTTAAACAATATTTGACCCGACGAAAAGATATTTAAAGAAATTTCGATGATAAAACCTTACCAACCTAAACAAAAACGAACTATAAGAACTTATCTTTAAATAAAGAATTAGTTTCATCTCCAACTTAAACAAGATTTGCCCTAAAAGTTTTGATTTACGACCCCTGACAAAAAAAGAACTGATCTTTAAAAAAGAATAAGTTCCATATCCATATCCCAATAAACACAATTTGACCTGATAAAAAAATCTAAAATAAATTTTGAAGCACGACCCCTTTACAAAAAAGAACTAATCTTTAAGTAAAGAATAAGTTTCATTTCCAACTTAACAAACTTAAACAAGATTTGACCTGACAAAAAGAATCACAAAATTTTGACCTACGACCCCTATCAAAAACGAACTAAAACAACTGATCTTTAAATAAAGAATTAGTTCCATCTCCAACTTAAACAATATTTGACTCGACGAAAAGATATTTAAAGAAATTTCGATAATAAAAACTTTTAGTCAAAAAAATTAAAAATAATTAATTGGTAGGTACTTGCCAAATTCCTTGATGAGTTCTGGTTAAATCGTATTATCCTTATATGGTTGTCTTAATTCTTATTATCCATTGGTAAATAATTAATTGGTAGGTACTTGCCAAATTCCTTGATGAGTTCTGGTTAAATCGTATTATCCTTATATGGTTGTCTTATTTCTTATTATCCTTGAGTTAATACTATAACATGTTGAACCTAGAAAAAAATACAATTAGACGATTTAAGGACTGCAACTTTTATGTTTTTAATTTTTTTAAATATCAAAAATATTCGTAGTTTTATTTGACCTAATAGATGCGTTAGAATTTTAATAATACCTAGCAATTTGTTGATTTAGATAAAAGTAATAAATGAGCATGTCCCTCCCATAAAAGCCAAATTCCAACTGAACGCTTGATTACGTTGTAGGGATTATAATTATTAACAAAAACCACCAAAAAAGAGGGTGAGTCAGACCTGCGCGATAAACATATTACGTTAAGCGTGACGAATTTCTTAATTATATATTTGTTATTTATTATTTTATTAATAATCAAATAATGTAATTTCGATTATAGTTTCCAAAAAATACGCACCATTTTGAGTTAATTTAAAAATTGTGTTATTTTCTAAAGACGATTTAAAAATAAAATCTTAAATAAGAAACTGTTTTATCCTTATCGGTTGATATTTTTCCAGTTTCCCAAAAATTACGCACCATTTTGAGTTATTAGGGTTTAAAAATTTAATTTAATTTGTGTTATTTTCTAAAGACGTTTTGAAAATAAGAATCATTTTTATACGTATACTTTTTATACTTATTGCAACCATGGTTTATATTTTTGTTGGAAATATTTAACAAAAATTATAGATACAGTGTGACCCATTTGTTTGCGACTCACTCCTGTAAAATCTTTATTTATTGTGCGATTTTAACCGGATTTGTTTTAAAGTGTAGATCTTGATAAACTGTATTTTTGGAGCAAAATTTGTACAAAATACAAGGCCTACTATGTCAGTTTTGAGAGTACATTTTTAAGAATTCATATTAGCGATTTTTTTAAATAAAATCCAAGCACGGCACTGGATTCACCACCCTTTAAAACGATCCTATACTAAATTTAATTGAAAAATTTTAAGTAGAAAAATGCACAATAATAACTACAAAATTTTATTCTGTTAAGTTATCCATGAAAAACATTGAAATAAAATTAAACTAATAGTAACATGGTACTATTACTATATAGTAACTTATATGTATATGAATTCTTAAAAATTTACTCTAAAAAGTGACATACTAGGCCTTGTATTTTGTACAAATTTTGCTCCAAATATATATATTGATTTTACACAACAAAAAACTATTTAAATTTTCTAAAGGTTAAAATCAAAGCCGATTTTATAAATAAAAGTATCTAGACTAAACAAGTTTGAAGAAACTTAGTTAAAAAAACTTAAAAACTGGCGAATAAATAGGTATCTACTTTTATTTTAGTCAAAAAATTAAAAAAAAAAAATTGGTACTTGCCAAGTTTATTGATGAGTTCTGGTTGAATCCCATTATCCTTATATATGTATATGGTTGTCTTATTTCTTAATATCCATTGGCTTAATAGCCATGGCTTTAACATGTTGGTCCTAGAAAAAAAATACAATTAGACCATTTAAGGACTGCAACTTTTATGTTTTTTATTTTTTTAAATATCAAAAATATTCGTAGTATTATTTGACCTAATAGATGCGTTAGAATTCTAATAATAATTATAATAATAGATAAAATAATAATTATAATAATAGATAAAAGTAATAAATGAGCATGTTTGTCGCATAAAAGCCAAATTCCAACTGAACGCTTGATTACGTTGTAGGGATTATAATTATTAACAAAAACAACCAAAAAAGAGGGTGAGTCAGACCTGCGCGATAAACATATTACGTTAAGCGTGACGAATTTCTTAATTATATATTTGTTATTTATTATTTTATTAATAATCAAATAATTTAATTTCGATTATAAGTTCCAAAAATTACGCACCATTTTGAGTAATTAGGGTTTAAAAATTGTGTTATTTTCGACGTTTTGAAAATAAATTCTTAAATAAGAAACTGTTTTATCCTTATCGGTCGATATTTTTGTTGAAAATATTTAACACAAAAATTATAGTTATTAAACTAAAAATTTCAAAAATCTAAACAAAATTTTGACCTACGACCCCTTACAAAAACGAACTGATCTTTAAAAAAGAACAAGTTTCATCTCAATTTAAAATCAATGAACTACACTCACAGGCAAAATAATCGATCCACACTAATTTTCGATGAATTTCAATCGCAAATAACTTTTTTATTTGATGTCGGATTTAAACGAATATTAAAGAATATTGTAGATAAAGTAATGGACAATCGCTCACATTTAAAAAAAAATTACTAAAAAATAGACGTACGTTTATAATATACAGGTTTAAACAAAAATATGTTTTTTACCATAAGTTTAAGACACTCTGTAGAGTGGTAAAACCGTATATTGTTCTAAATTAAGTTTTATTTATCAAGTCACATCTATTCTTAACAGTTTTGTTTTTGCTTCAACTCAATATATTTATTTTTGTGGAAAATATGGATTTTTTAAAGAAACATTGCAATTTCCAATATTTTTCTGTATGAAGAACTAAGGGTGCTATGGTCCAGCCATATGCTATGGATAATGACAGTGACAGTTTTGTTGAATCATCCCATACTTGGACATGTCATACACGGCTTTTAAAACCTATCAAATTGTTTTTTGCAAATTAATGTTTTAATTTTGAGGTGTCTTCTTACTTTAAAAAATGGATATGTCCCCGACTGATGTTGCCAGAGCCATTAATTAAATCCAGGATGGACGGTCACAGTATTACGTGGCAAGTGTTTTAAACGTCACAAGAAGTAAAGTACAAAGGGCAACATCAGTCGGAGACATTTTTAAAAGTAAGAAGACTCCTCAAAATTAACACATTAATTTAGAAAAATCAATTTGATGACTTTTGAAAGCTGTATGACATGTCCAAGTATGGGATGATTCAACAAAACTGTCACTGTCATCCTCCGTAGGCTATGGATGGACCATAGCAACCTTAGTTCTTCATACAGGAAAAATATTGGAAATTGCAATGTTTTTTAAAAAAATTCATATTTTCCACAAAAATAAATATATCGAGGTGAACCAAAAACAAAAATGTTAAGAATATATGTGACTTGATAAATAAAACTTAATTTAGAACAATATACGGTTTTGCCACTCTATAGAGTGTCTTAAACTTATAGTAAAAAACATCTTTTTGTTTAAACCTGTATATTATAAATGTACTTGTATTTTTTAGTAATTTTTAAAATGTGAGCGATTCTCCATTAATGTATCTACAATATTCTTTAATATTTGTTTAAATCCGAAATCAAATAAAAAAGTTATTTGCGATTGAAATTCATCGAAAATTTGTGTGGATCGATTATTATGCGCAAGAACATGCCTTGTTTTCTTTTACCATGGTATTGGCTATGGGCAAAGTGTCAAAGTTTTTTAATATTTTCGAACAATTTGGTATTATTTTTAGAATTTTTCTCTACATATCGACGACACATCTTTAAAAGGGGTACGGGAAAACGGCCAAATAGAGTACATTTCCTCCCTAAAAATATTCAGCTTGAACTACAAACCGGTGACCAAAAAAGAAGAAATCACAGACAAACTAAACAAAATGTCGTTTATTTTTACGATGACCGACTTGGAACTTAAAAACAGCCGAGAACATTTGATATTCCTGAAAAGCTTGAACATCGAAGCAAAGTTGCAGAACTACGTGGTGAACATTTTCCTGCAACTCAACTCGCTTTTGCTCACGTATAATCACGACGTGATCCATAGATGGGTGTACTCGAACTTTTTGAAAAACCAGATCAACTCTCTGAAGCAGAGCAGAAGGGAAAGTTCGAGCGATAAAATACAAAATTGCGGTGGGAATTCGGCGTTCGAAAACCTCATGAAGAAGTTGGTCGTCAATGTGTGCGCCGAATTCTTCCGAATTTCCGCCGTTGCCAAACTGGACGAGGCGCATCAGTCGTCCTTCGGCTTCAACAGGGTCAGGTTGCTGCTGGAGCAAGAGAACGACAAAAGAGGTGAGACTATTTTTTTTGTAAAGTATATCGAAAATATTGTTTGGGGTGACAAAAAAAAATTTTGGTGAAAGTTTGAGTCCATAATATTAATATTAAGAGGTCCTATCATCGCAATTTTAGATTTTTTTTCCTGAGCGAGTTTTTATCTCACTCCCAAATCATTGAGTTTAACAAAATTTACTTAAGAATATTTTTTGAAGAAAATTGAATGCTCTACAAAAAAGGTTTGATTGGAATTTCCCGTCAGATGAACCGTTTTCTTACAATCATGCCTTAAAAATTGGTATAGTTTTACAATTCTTTTAACTTTGGAATTTTGTAATTCATGTAAAAATCAGTACCCTGAAAAAAAAAACGATAAATATTCTTATGGAAAATCAAATGCTCTACAAAAAAAGTCTTTTATCATTTTTGGCTAAATTCACTCCATCAAAAGTTACTCAAGGTTAAATTTGAAGTCAAAACGAAATTTTAACCTTGAATAACTTTTGATTGAGTGAATTTAGCCAAAAATGTTAAGAGGCTTTTTTGTAAAGCATTTGATTTCCCATAAGAATATTTATCGGTTTTTATGGGTACTGATTTTTACATGAATTACAAAATTCCAATTTAAAAGATCAAAATGTAAAACTATACCAATTTTTAAGGCATGATTTTAAGGAAACTGTTCATCTGACGGAAAATTTCACTTTAACCTTTTTTGTAGAGCATTTAATTTTCTTAAAAAAATATTTTTGAGTCAATTTTGTTAAACTCAATGGTTTGGGAGTTCTGAGACAAAAACTTGCTGAGGAAAAAAAAATTAAAATTGCGATGATAGACCTCTTAATATTAATAATATGGACTCAAACTTTAACAATAATTTTTTGCTTGTCACCCCAAACCATATTTTCGAAATACTTTTCAAAAAAAAAAATGGTTGATTTTTTTGGCCCAGTCTAATGCAGGGTGTCCCTGAAATGCCCGTACAAAATTTCCAAGACTGAAAAAAGAAATATATGTTTATTAAAACGTAAATAAACTGAGGCTCTTAAAAGGTGTGATCATTTAAACGTATAAAAAGTGTCGCTGACAGCGCCCTCTTTAACCTACATTAAATTTTTTTAAAACGTTTGTTACTTGATAAAATCGGAAACAAACTTTTACTTTGAAACCCTGTATATTGGTTATTATCAACTGTTGTGTAAAAGTAAATTTAGTTATATGTCAGAGACACCTTATATAAAAAGTTATATATCATTGTTTTTAGAGGTAAAAACAATAATGATATACACTAAAACATAAACAGCTGGTCAAATTTGACCAGCGGGGTTAAAAAAAAACTTCTCTTTCTTTTCTTAGGTTGTGAATATAATGTAGGTCTGGCCAAAATCCTCCTACATAACAGACATTGGTACATGGAGTTTCTGATAGAGTCTTTCTGGTGGAGTTTTCAAAATTGGCACCAAGACACCAATGTTTCCACGAAAATGCACGTATGGGGCACCCCAATTTATTTAGAGAGAGGTTTGGTGAAGGTTTGCAGTTCTGGTGAGGACTCCATAAAAACTATAGGGTGTTTGGACAAACTGCAATTGGAGTGGTCGCTAGAAATGGCTGATTTTGTAATTTTAGGAATAAAGTAGGTGTTTTATTGATTCTTTTTAAATTGAATTATGATGAAATTTAAATAGCTACATATTGAAATTATGTTTTTTAGATGTATCAATGAATATTGCATAAATACTGCAAAAAAAATTCCAATAAAACCAAAGAAAAAATCCAGTATTAAATATTTAGTAAATGTAGAAATTACGGAATTTGATTGTTTCTTGCAATCACAAAATAACGGTAAAACTATTATAAAAACCTTGGCACAAAAAAACAAGGTATGTTCTTCAGTAGGACGAATTTTTTTGAATTTAAATGATATTTTAAATTCTCTCATGAAATTCTTTCAAATTTCTGTAAAATTATTCGATTTTTAGATTATCTGTGTATACAAAAGGATAGTACCTCTAAAAAAACTACAGCTAATAAATTGTTTTTAAAATAAATCTACTTACTATCCTAACATCAATTTTTTCAAGCCTATAGGGTCACCACATAGTTATTGGACACTTAAGGAATATTATTTATTTAAAATTTATATATGCCGTTGTTTTAAACATTTGTTTTTGTAAATATCATATAATTCATGTATTTCTTTCTCGGATTCCTCATCCCTTATCTGGATTCTGAAGGTAACTACTAATTCCTTGGTCTGACTTCTAAAATAGTTTGTTGCAAATATCATTAAGTGTGGTATCTCTAGTTTGTGAAGCATTTATAATGTTTAGGCCGTAACAGGATGATTTATACGTATATATCTAATATTTTTTCGGGTGGTATCTTAAAATTATTTTCCGAATTTATTAATTTTGTTGCCATTAGTTTTTTATGTCCTGTGATGAAGAAATCACTATATTACTTACTCTCTAAAAATGAATTAGTCAAAAATGTCATAGCGAAAAAGCAGCCACTAATAATTATCGTCAACAGCAATTTGTATCCAGGACATTTAGCAGTCAATTCCTATGAAATATTATTCGCTGAATCCGAAAATGTCGCCAAAAGTTATAAAATAGAAGAGTTTTTAAAATATAATCAATTTTACATATAATATGGAATTGACTATATCTCAAAAACTGCTTAACTTTTATAGTTTTTGACGGTCTTTTCGGATTCAGGGGACAATTTTACATAAGAATTGGCTGGTAAATCCCCGGGATATAAATAGAATATGATATTGGACATATGTCCAATAATAAAAATTTACATTTTTTACCAACCAGTAATTGGACACTGGCCATTTTACTGTTTGTTTTCAGAATTAAAATTAAAACGCATTAAAGTGACAATGTTTAAACCATAAGGAACACATTTATACCACACACTGATCAGTACACTTTTTGAAAATATTTTTTATTGTAATTTAAACACAGTCCTGCTCAAAAAAACAAAAATCTTGCCACCAAGTAACGTACGAACTTTTTTGTCCTATATTGGACCCAAAATAAAGTAGTTCTATATTATTACCGACTGAGATATTTATAATTGTATACAGCGTCATCTAATGATTTGACTTTAAGGTAACTATTTATAGAACTCGTTTTTACAGTATTAATGTTAATTGTCCAATAACTATAAAGAACATACCTTGCTTCTTGTATCATAATAGAGTCCTCCCCATTTTTTACAGTATTTTTTTTAATTATAGAATATTTCGTAAGTCGCCTAAGCAAAGTAACATTCGACAAAAACCTCAAAACAACAGTCCTCCATTTGGAAGACTTCAAACTCTTTACCATCTACAATACTGGTGCCTTCTACACTTGCATAAGATCGGAGGACATCTCCAATTACAAAGTCTACGTCAAAAAATCTCAAGTTGAATTTGTGGAGCACAAAACTTGCCAAGAAACGTTCGTTTCACTGCTAGACAAAGTCACCATGTTTTGGTCTACGAATTTCCACATGAAATCGCTGCTTTTGGTCAGGGATGTGAAGGAGTTTTTAGGTGCTGTCAAGCTGGGTTTGGGGGTGGATACTGCTGAGAGCAAGGAGAAAAATAAAAGAGCTTTGTCCTTGAACATTTTCGGCCAGTTTAACTTCCATATTGAGATATCTGAAAAGCACAAGGCCAAAGTTTCCACTGGTAAGATTCCATTAATTCAAGTTAAAAGACAGAGGTGGAGCCACTGTTCTAGACTCTTAAAAGGTCTGAAAAATACTTATTAAGTCGGAAAAAGTCAGAATAAGACTAATGGCAGGATTTGGGAGTCTTCTAGAAGAGTTAATAAGACTTTATAATATATATATATATAATTTATTTAGCAGAGAAATGTTAGGAACCTAACTATAGCGATTAAAATAAATATCCGGAATTATTCAGAGAGGTTGTATTTGATTATTATAAAATAAAACACAAAGAAAAGTATTTATTAACATTTTGCCATGGCGGTAATAAGCCAAGTTTATTGCATAATTACATATATAATAATATGTGAGGTGTAATAATTATAACAATTATAATTTTTTACATACGATGCGCTGGTCTTGCTTTTATTTTTGCCACTGTACTGTTTTATTTTAATAGTTTCTTTTTATACGCAAATATTCATCTAACCATTGTTCCAAACACTTTTTAGACACAATATCGATTTTCTCAGCTGACCAATTAGAGCACAGCTGATCTGTCATGTGATGGCATCTTCCCGCGTTTTCAAGATAGCTCTCCTGTCACTACTTACCAAGTGTTGCCGTTTGCGGGTGTTTTACTCGGAAATCGGGTATTTTCGTCATGTTTGCGGGTAGAATTTTGAAGCGGGTAAAATCGGATATTTTGCAAATTTCGATTAAAATACTAACTGAAGATGTTTTCAGTAAATAATATTGTATGTTTACTAAAAATGCATAATTATTTTATTCTAGGATATCATGTTACATATTTATTTACTTATAAAATTTTTTTAAATTAATTTAATTTTTTTTTAAAACAGGGCGTATGCGCTAGTAAATTTAAAATATAACTAGTTTTTTTAGTACCTATTGTGTAATTTTTGGTCGGGAACTTTTATAACATTCATCCGGCAACGCTGTATAAAACACATGAACCAATGAAAGCAGCTCGAAGATCAACCATATTTGTTTTATGAGTTTTATAATCTGTGTATGAGTTCGACTGTCGACCATATCATGCCTATGCGTTGCGAAGAATTGTTATAGTTATTATACCTTATATATGTACTTAATCAACAAGGGATCTGTATGTACACAAACCATACGTATCTGCCAACTGTTTTATTTTGTTCAATTAAAATAAAGTTTGTTTACCTATATTGTAAACATTGCTTTCGTGTTTTTATAAGCCTTATAACAACACAAAAACAGTGTTTATAAATCCTTTTCATTGTGCTTTTTTTGCAATAACCAAATACAACATCTCTGAATAATTCCGGATATTTATTTTAATCGCTGTAGGTACCTACCATTTCTCTGCTAAAAGTCTTATTAAGTCTTAAAAAGTCTTATTAACTCTTCCAGAAGACTCTTGCTATTAGTCTGACTTACTAAGACTTATGCAGACTTTTTAAGAGAAAGTAAGACTTTAAAAACTTTTTAGACGAATTTAGGATGTCCAACCACCCGAACGACTTCCAACTGTTCAACTCCTCGGTAAAAATCGCGATAGACGACTCGGAAATCTTTACGGTGCTCGGCATCAAAATGCAGCGGATCAAAGACAGCTCTGCGATGAAAGCCGAGCGACTTGACGCCGATAATTTCGCGTTGCCTTGGAACAAAACCTGGGGAATCGCCGTGGACTCGTTCAAGGTCGTCTTTCCTTACGAGCACGACTACGCCGAAGCCGTTCAGAACCAGTTCGTTTCCGTTTACAAGTGGTTGAAGATCGTGCATGGCGTGGAGAAAAAAGCGTTCACGGCGGACAGTCCCCTGCCCAGCGATCTACTGATAAATGTGAGTAATAACATTTTTTCAAATACCTAGTAGAGTCTACTTAAAAGATATTTACAAAGCAGTAGCAGTTAAAATGTTTATTTAGTGGTGTTATTTAACACCTAAATAAACCTTTAAAAAATAAAAAAAAAATGGAAAATAACCCATATGGATTAATAAAAATACATATACATATAAAACAAATAAAATATCAGAGCAATTGGAATACCCATCCCCTGAACTCAAATTGTTTTTGACGCGGCCTAATAAAATACAATGCCAACAGAGAATAAAGAATAAAAAAATAATTAAAGTTTCTTTCATCGATATAAGCCAATATTTATTGGGTGTTTTTATCGCACGCCGCTGGTTAAATTTGATAATAAAATATTCCTTGATCAATTTACTTAAATATTGCTAGTTACGTGTTTTTAAATCATTTAGTGCTTAAAATATATTTAAAAAAATATATTTCATAAAATAATTCTACATATTTTTCTAAATAACTTTTAAACAAGACAAGAAAACGAAAAAAACTTAAGATACAAAATTTTTGTAAATCGAACAAGGAACTATGGCATTTATTAAATAATTTTTTAATTTAAAATTTTATTGGTTTAAAATTTTCCTAACTAAAAATTTTAGGTTTACATTTAAAAATTTATAATATTTTCAACTATCATGCATTGAAAGACAACATTTACTTACCAACAGTTCACTTCTTTATGAAGCAATATTATTTTCTATCATTTTTTAATAAATATAATTTCCCAAGTAGGTATAATTTATTTGGTTGGCATTTTGTTAACTTAAATAAATATTTTATAAAATTATTGAGATTAATTTGGTAAAGTTAAATTTTTTAGTATTAAAAAATAGTATCAAGCTATTTAAAATAAAAACACATATAAAACATTTTCTACCAAAATAGTTTAAAAAGTTAAATTTTTGTAAACCCAAAACTATTGATAATCAAAAAATATTTTAAATATAAAATGCAACTGTAAAAGTTTAAGTTTAAAAATATTAATTTAAAAAAAATGGAATTTTAATATTTTATTCTTCAAAATTATTGGTTTGAATTTGTAAAGAGTCATTTAAATGATAGTCGATAAATTTTCAATACAAAAATTTGAACATTACATTTAAATGTTAGTTTTAAATTTTAATGTGGTAATTTTTGCATTAAAATTTGATCGACTATCATTTAAATGACTCTCAAATTTAAACCAATAACTCTTATTTTTAACAATTTTAAATTGATACATTTTTAAGACAAAATTTATAACTTTACATTTAAATGTAAGTCGATAATTTTTAAATTACAAACTGTAAACGTAGCTTTAGTACAAGGCACAAGATCGGAGCCACGCTGCAGCCAGTTTGATCCGCAGTGTTGCCTAATCGTGCTTGCTTCATAAACGCATTTTATAAATTATGGTAAGGAAATGTTTCTTTATTACATAAATTTAATAATAGTTTAATTTTAGTGCCTATTGTACTAAGTTAATTCGACAATTAAAAAACATTTTTTTCTAATTTTTAAGAGAAAATTTTTTAAATATTTAATATTAATAAATTTTTAATATTACGTGGATGCATCATGCAAATTCCCAGTGCCGTTTATAGATTCCCGTACGGGATTGTATTGTTCATCTTCTACGGGAGGAAGGAAGGAAGGCAATCTATAAATCAGGCTTAACACTTACCTATAACCTATAAGTTACTACATTTTAAAAAAATTTCTCTTAAAAATTAGAAAAAATGTTTTTTAATTGTCAATAGGCACTAAAAATGTTGTTTTTCTATAATTAAATTTATTTAATAAAGGAACATTTCTATACGATAATTTCTAAAACGCGTCAATTATTTATGGAGCAAGCACGATTTTGTAACACTGCGGATCAAACTGGCTGCATCGTGGCTCCGATCCTAGACTCTTGTGCCTTCTACTAAAGCTACGTTTACACTTTGTAATTTAAAAATTATCGACTTACATTTAAATGTTAAGTTATATTTTTTGTCTTAAAATATATCACTTTGAAATTGTTAAAAATAAAAAAAATTGGTTTAAATTTGTAAAGAGTCATTTAAATGATTGTCGATAAATTTTTAATATATTTTTAATATATTTAAAAAAATATATTTCATAAAATAATTCTAAATATTTTTCTAAATAACTTTTAAACAAAGCAAGATATAAAAAAACTCAAGTTACAAAAAATTTGTAAATTGAACAAGGAACCTCATTTAATTATCGAGTCTGACCAGCGGCGTGCGAAAAAAAACTTCCGGCACAATAAATAAAAAAATATTCTCTAGATAAAGGAATTCCTATTTGAAATGAGTGACGATCCCTTCGAAGTAAAATTACGGGACAACTTCGAACTTCTAAACGACGAGTATTTCGAAGGCCTCAAAAGGCATAAAATGCTAAAGGAGAAGGTAAAAAATGCAACAAAATTCACGCCCACATCGCGGTTAATTTTGCCGTTAAATTTAGATACAAGAACTCTGCAAGACGCGCCTTCACCTGCCGGAAAGACGAATGGAAGAGTTGTTCGCTCAGTTGACGAAAAAAAATGCCGAGATTTACATACAGAGGTCCAAAAAAATATTGGCTTCTTCACCAATGAGAACCAGGCTTTTCGCTTGGAGTATGACCAATGTGGAAATAATGGTAAGAATGGTATACCTGATATTGTTATTATAACTGTAATAATAGTAATAGGGTCTTTCCATTACTAAAAGTAATGAACCGAATGCACAAGAAACTTATAAAAACGCGATTTCGAAGAAATGTAGAACACAAACAATTCGGAAAAATGTTGGTCGGTTAACAGATATCAGTGAGGCAGTCGCGAAACTCTTTTCGACTGAGGCTCTATCTATCAGGAAGGGAATAAGTATTATTTCCGTTTGCTGTGATGGAAAGGCCCAATAATAATAATAATAATAATAATCAGAAGAACAATTGTTACAACTAATTTCAGTCCCTGGCGGATCCTTCAATACATGGCACGGAAAATGTCATCAAAACCATGCGCGAAATCGATTCGGAAACTCCCTGGCCTGAGGAGCCCATGGAATTTTCCACCCTATGGTGTCGAGTGGTTTCCATGCGTTGCGAGGTGTGGAAAATTCAGTTGAGGGATTTTCCGCAACCCCTTCTGGACATTAAACAATGTCTGATATGCGGGGTGCTCTGTGGGGCTGAACAAGTCGCCCCAAAGAGAGGTAAGTAAAATAAAAATAGTAATAATAATAATAATAAATATCTGTATTTGATACTTAAAAAAAGGAACTAATGGGGTAGTTAAATTTTTTCTGACCTATACTTTTTATGGTTTTATTCAAGGCGTTTTGTAATTTTAAACATTTCTGTGAAATCAGAATTTCAATTGAGTTTACCGTTTTCGAGATATTTACAAAAAAAATCTCCTAATTACGTCACTAGGCTAATGACAACGTTGCCAGCTTTTTCTATGGTTGCCAGTGTGTTTAGTTTAAGATTCTTACGATAGATGGCGCCACGTTATAATATTTTAGTTTTAAAACCACTTGATCTATAATTTTAGTTGAGAAAAAGAAGAAGAATTGATTTTTTGACGTTTCTTTTTTTCTGGTTATGTTTTTTTAAAATTTAGGTTATTGAAAATCAATGTTATTGTTATGTTATTTGTAATTGATATTAGATAAGTGATTTATTAATAACGGACTCCAAAGCAGAAGAATCTTGTGGAATGGTTGGTTACATTGAACATTGGAGCTTTTAAACAAATAAAGTAAGTACCTATAATTATAATCATATTTTGTCGTAAATGCATTTCATTAGTATAATGCCTAGTTCTTTATATTCCAGGGTACCCACTCACCTGGAAAACAGGGAAAACCTGGAAATGTCAGGGAAATTAAATATTAATAAAAAAGTCAGGGAAAAGTCAGGGAATTTGCTGAATTTTACGAAAAGTCAGGGAATTTAACTAATTTTTACGAAAAGTCAGGGAATTTAACCAATTTTTATTGATTTTTCCGAAAATTGTTTCTATTTTTATTACCGGCCGAAGATTATTTTTTACAAATAATATAGCCGGGCATTGAAACTAAAATAAATAATTTGCGCAAATATTTATAAAATGTATGAACTTACAAACTAAGTTTGTTTCCTTTCAAATTTTTTATGAATGTTCTGTTTAATTTTTTTATTATATTTTAAGAAATGTTAAAAAAAATTGTAAAAAGAAAAATAAAATATATTTTTACTATAATTATTGCTGGAAATTGATGATAATTGGTCTGGAAAACCTGGAAAAGTCAGGGAATTTTGTTTCATTTTGTTGGTGGGAACCCTGTATTCTTTTAGATATATCTTGGACTCTAAAATATCAAACAGTAATATGATACCTTGTAATAAGGAAGATAGGTACTATTTAATTTGGTGACCATCTTTTACTCAACTGACAGTGACAGTATTTGTACATAACCTCTTCGGCTATTTTCTGACAAAACCGAATGAAATCATTAACAAGACAACTTGACAACAGGGTAATTTTCAACCAATGGAAATCTTGGAATGTTGGTCACATGGCGAGGTTTGTGACGTCATAAAAAATTATATTTTTTGTAAATATCTCGAAAACGGTAAACTCAGTTGAAATTCTGATTTCACAGAAATGTTTAATATTACAAAACGCCTTGAATAAAACCATAAAAAGTATAGGTCAGAAAAAATTTAACTACCCCATTGTTTCTATAGCTGTTGAACCAAGTCCTATTAGCCCCAATAAGAAGTCCATTAAAAAATCAACCAGTTGATAGCAAGAAACTTGTTTTCTCATCCTGGATCTTTGAGGCTGAAATTAAAAATATGCATGTTGTTTTTAGATTTTTTCGGGGTTACAATTTTTCCTATACAAATAGTTTTTAAAATAAAACAAAACAAACATGCATTAATATGTTTATTTTAAATTATTACTTTTAATGTAACAATTTATCCGAATAATTCCATGACTTGGGAGACCACTCCCATTATTTCCATGGCTATATCCATAAGTACTTCTGCGAAATCATCTGTCATGGACATTTTTTGAGAATTCCTTATACCAGATTTTAAAGCCTTAAACAAAATTAAATTTAGATACGTATTTCAGAAGTAAATTGAAAGTTAGTATTTTCGAAAGGAAATCCTGGGTTGAGTTTTTATCGGTTTTACAATAAACAGTGTTAATTCGAATGGAGAAATAAATTTCATACAGTCCCTGTAAATATAAATTGTATCTATTAGATACAATAAATACACATTTTAGTAATGATTAACGTGAAAAGTGTAAACATTTCAATTCAGTAATTATCGTCAAACAAAAAAGTCGTCTAAATTTAAACAGCATTTAGCATTATTAAAAGCGTTGATTAAGAAAGTCTCCACTCAACGGTAAAATTCCATTATATTATGTATTGTAATGTTTTGTTGCCATGAATGTGTATGTATATTTTGTTCTTTAAAATGCAGTTGTCGGCGTTTTTTAGAGAACTCAAATATAAGAATGGTTGATTTTAAGGTTATGTTTGTGCAAAAATTATTTTTTACTAATTTCATAAAAATGTCCAAACTTAAATATAAATTATATTAGGTAAAGTTATCATTAGTTAATTCTGCACCAACAAATGTACTTACCGAAAACGAAAACATGAAAATGCAACGATTTAGTTCTTGAATTTTATTTACAATTAAAAACGCAATAATTCACCAAGATCCCTTAGATAAAATACACACACTAACGTAACTATATAAGCATTTAAGCGTTGAGTTTCTTAATCAATGATATAAGGAATAATCAATAGAAATCGAGTACTAAACCAGTTTTTAAGTTTTTTCCTTGCAACGTAAAAAACAGTTAAACACAAGTTGGGTTTTATTTTGATAAAATATTCTGGCAGTAAAAAAAGTAGAGCAAAAATACAAGTATTACATTTTTGGGGCAGTATTGAAAAATTACATATTAACAAAATAAAAAATTATTACAAGTAATTGTATTTTCTTTATTTGTTTGGTGGTTTGAAAGCATTTTGCAGATGTTGTAGGGCTTGGGCCAGTTCCAAGGCCTGGTTCAGGGCCTGGCCAAGTTGTTCTGGACTGGGTAAAGGTACTGGGGGAAATGGAATTTGTGCTAGTCTTCGGTTCTGAAAAAATATATCAAAAAAATTACATTTTCAATTTAATAGTTTGTTAAACATGTAATCAATATTATTTACAAAAAACTTACCTTAATGTTATATTAGACACATAGGTTAGTCACTTTTTGGAGAATTATCAAAAAAATTCTTTATTAAAAATAATGGACACATAGGTTACCATAACCCACAAATTAACCTTAAAATTGACATTTGATGACAGCCTTTATAAGGTTTATTTTTTGTACAAAAGAGAAGTAAAATAGTTACCCTTAACACTTTAAGATTTATATTATTACAAAATTAGTTAGTTACACTTTTATTTTTAACAAAAAATCTCACCCTTCCTCTACTTTCAGCCCCAATTTGTAAGGCACTGGCTTCAATTATAGCCAATAAAATGGCGACCATAAAAAAAACGATACAGTTTTTCTGCGACATGGTTCTTCAGTGCGATTTAAAATAATAATATAAAAACCTTTGTTTGTTTTGTATTATAGCGATACTTATCAATGTTTATAACAATAAAATTGCGCCTTTTTTGGCCTTGTCCATTACAGGATGCGCATTAAAAATCGTTCATTAATCCAAATTACACAACACCATAAAAATGTAATTGATTATTGTTATTTGTGAGGCTAATATTAATATAATTATTATTATTTAAATACAGTTCATTTTTTTCGTGTTTTTTTGTTAGTTTGACTTAGTATTTTTAGTATTTAAAAATGGTACTTCTGCTAAAGAATTTAATTAAATACTTTGACACTGTCAAATTGACAATAATATTTATTTTTGATAATTTACTTGTCAATTATAAATAAAAAGATAATTATGCCAAAAATAATAGCAACGAATTCGAATGTAAAAGCCCTTTTAAGGGCAAAACTTCATTTTGATGAAATTATGCCAAATGCCACAATGGAAGAAAAAGTACATCGCCTTATGGGCATTTTTGGAGTAAAAAATTAACGAATTTGGTTTTATAAATATTACATCACACATTATTCACCATTGGACAACATTTACGTTCACAAAAAATTTTAATCTTATATAAATTCTTTTCAAAGCGAAGATTATTATCCGCTAGGAATACTTTCTCTTCTGGGCCGTAAAGCAACCTATATTTAATTACTTTTTTATGTGATTTTACTCATCCAAGCACCACCAAAGCCAAATTAATTGCATTTTTAACTACGAATTTCGGCAACTCAACTTGACAACTGCACAATAATTTATACATAACCACAATTAGATTTATAACTAGCTTAGTTTGTTTTAATCAATGCGACCAACTTGACAACTGTATTTACCAACCAAAACCCTAAATTTGCAACGTTGCCGCAGTCCAGATTTAAAAAAATGAACTTTACAAATTAAGTTTATGGTTCATTGAGAAATTCTCAGATTATGATTTTGTTTATAGCTACACGTACTGTCGTGGTAAACCTGGGTGAACCCTTTGAACCTTACGTGGTGGAAAGGGGAATGCAACCCTTAAAATTCTACCACGATTTCAACTGTGAAGTTGAGTCATACAGCTACGCTTTTGGGCCTTGTTGGGAACCTGTGATCGCCCAATGTAACCTATGTAAGACTGAAGTAAAAGTAACCCAAAAAAACTAGTTTTCATTGTATGCATTTTAAGATTTCAATAAAATATCTGCCCCTTCGCGAGACCCATCTCCACCATTGTCCTTCTGGGATAAAATGAGGTTGATATACCATGGCAGGTTGACCATGGTGGTGCAACAGTTGACCGTTTTATTGCACGCCTCCTTGGATCCTTACAATACCATAGAGGAGATGGCTTGCACTTGGGAAAAAGTCGTCATGGATTGGACCAATGGTAAATGCGAGTGTGTTCCTCCAAACATTTTTGCATCCAATTTTTTTTAGCAAGGTTTGTTTACAAAGGGGACCTGAACATTTACGTGCGAACAGCTTCGAAATACGACGACGTCCAGCTGCTAAAAATTCCGAACCTGAAGCTGATGCTGAACATCCAGTGGGTCTGTTTGGCCGACCCCAATGACCACCACAACGTCATCTACTGCGCGCCCGACCGAGTGCCCGAATACTCCAGCAACCAGGTAACAAGTTAAAATTAATGTTTGGGTGATTTTTTAAAACATTCTTAAAAATTTATAGATTGCAGACAGGACAGATCACAAAACTGTTTTTATTAAAAAATGTGTTTATTTATTATTTTATTTTGACATATAAAATATTGCTTAATTTTTTTAACGTATAGCCTAATAAAAATATTTTTGACAATTTTGATGCCAAAATAATAAAATACCACAATTTTTTTTTATAAAAACAGTTTTGTGATTTGTGCCGCCCGCGTGCATGAAAAAGCCCAGTAGCATAAATTTAAAAAATGGTTGGACAAATCCGCACAGTGCTTCAAAATTAAAAAGTATTGGGACAAATTCGTACACTAGTTTAAAATTAAAAAAATAATTGGATAAAATTGCACAGTGGTTTAAAATTAAAAAATTGTGGAAAAAATTCGAACAATAGTATAAATATAAAAAGTGTAGGAAAATTTTTCAAAATTTCTACAAATGTTTATATTTTTTAGGAACACGACTCTTTCAGAGCATTCCGCTTCCAAAACAAGACAATATTTCTTTCTGTCCAATATTTTAATTATCTCTTCTTTTATAAAATATTGGTTTCGTTTCTTTTATTTATCGTATATCCTACTAAAAAAAGAATATTTTTGCCAAAATAATATATAAGAAAATACCTAATTTTTTTACAAAAGCAATTTTGTGATTTGTAGTACAAATTTTGTACCATAAATGATAAAAATTGTAGGACAAATTTGCACAGTGGTTCAAAATTAAAAAAAATTGAGAAAATTCGCAGTGTGGAATTTTCAAAATTTCCAGAATGCACAGTGGCATAAATGTATAAAGGGGTTGAACAAATTCGCGCAGTACTTCAAAATTAAATAAATGTGGAAAACTTTGCACAGTGGTACAAAATATAAAAATGGTGGGACAAATTTTCAAAATTTCTGAAAGCCTGCGACGTATTAGAAAATGTGAACACAATTGGCACTGTGGCATAAATTTAAAAAAATGTAGGAGAAATTCGCAGGATGGTTCAAAATTCAAAAATAATAGGTCAAATTCGCACCGTGGTTCAAAATAAAAAAAATGTGGAAAAAAATCGCACAATAGTATAAATATAAAAAAGGTGGGACAAATTTTTAAAATTTCCAAATTTTCAGAAATACGACTCTTTTAGAGCATTCCGCTCCCAAAACAAGAGAATATTTGTTTTGACAAATATTTCCATTATCTCTACTTTTATAAAATATTGCTATGAATGCACAGTGGCATAATCTTAAAAAGAGGTTAAAAAAATCGCGCAGTACTTCAAAATTAAATAAATGTGGAAAACTTTGCACAGTGGTACAAAATATAAAAATGGTAGGACAAATTTTTCGTATTAGAATATGTGAACAAAATTGGCACAGTAGCATACATTAAAAAAAGTGGGAGAAATTCGCCCAAATATTCAAAATTAAAAAAAATAACACAAATTTTCACAGTGGTTCAAAATTAAAAAATTGTGGGAAAATGCAGTGACCTAAATAATAAAATAAATAAATACATATAGTTTATTTAGCCAAGTTATTTTTAACAATTAGTTTTTTTACACTTTTTAAGACTAACATATTTTTTAAGTAATTAATTAACATTTTCTTAAAATCCTTATAATTATTACGATATTTGAAGGACAGTTGAACAAAATTCAATGTGAGGTGAAAATAAAGACAATTCAATTATTACATATAAACCTAATTGCTTTCCTACTCTATTTAAAAAGTACACTTTTAGACATTTTAGGCATAATATAATTACAGTGACTAGAGAAATTTAAACATTGATTGAAAAATAGGACAAGGTCGCACAGTGGTTCAAAATTAAAAAAGTGTGGATAAAAGGTAGGACAAATTTTCAAAGTTTGTCGTTGTTTCTAGGAGCACGACTCTTTCAGAGCATTCCGCTCCCAAAACGTCAACCTGAGCATTGTTCTCGAAACAAGACCGAATCAAGCCAACACCAACACCCCGATACTCTTGCTGTACGGCAGCACCTTACGTTGGATCGAGAGCCTGAAGCTCATCCTGTCGGGCGTCACGCGACCCACGAAGCGCGGGAAGATCTTCAGCAACCTGCGCCCGCGCAAGATACAACTCAGCCGCCACTACAAGAAGCTGCACCTGCTGATGGGCCTGCACAAGTTCCAGGTCTGCTACTGGATGTCCTTCGCCATGCAGAGGGGTTGCGAGTTGTTTGGAGGACGTTTATCCTGCAGTTCGGAGCACACTTTGTCTTTAGTTTCCGTCGACGGCGGTTTAAAACACCGCCCGAAAGCCGAGTGGTCGATCGTCTACATGAACAGCGAGCTGAACGATTCAGAGATCTGGCTCAAAAGCGCGCTCGCCGACGACACGGAGATCGAAGCGCCATCTGCGCGGCAACCCGTGGAAAAGTGCTACTGCCTGTCCGTTGCCAAGGTCTCCTACGGAAGGGAGACGGTCTTGACCAACAGGGACGGAAACACCGAGAGGAACAAGGACATACCAACCCACAGGTAAGTTTTCCACACCAAAGATAATATCTTTGCTCCACACCTCAAAGTCCCACCACCTGACCACGTACGGAACGCAGTCTTTTGTAAATTTGGCATTTAACGCTTTTCAGGTTATGTATCTGTCAAAGTATAGTCAACGAAAGAAATAATATTATGTTTAGGCGTTAAAACTGTATAAATCTTTATAACATTACAATAACAATGGATGGTTTAAGAATTTAAGAATATAAATACTGCATTTAATGAAATTCCAAAGTGTATGGTGCCAAATAAGTAATATTTTTGTGCATTTGGTCCAAATATCTGGTTTTCCCCATAAAATAATTTTAACTAAACAGCATTTATTAAAAAAAATCTAGCTTCTCTATTATGGAATAAGAATACCTGTATTAAAGGTAGGTTAATATATTATAACAAAAATATCATCTAATTTTGTAAATTTAAGGTTAGAAAAATTTATTTTGACCAAAATAAATAAGTATTTTGGATTATTTAAAAGACTGTATAATATGGTATTTAAAAATGTGGTAGTTTTTCTTATCCAGCTTAAAGTGTACCTACATAAAGTTTTGTCAATACAAATAGTTAAAAAGCTTCGACTGAACTTGATCTACATCGAAAAATCATTATAACTTTAACATTTTAATAAATCACATGTCAGTTAATAAATCACATTGCAAGTTTCTCTAAAAATTGTTTGTTTTCTTAAAATCTAACTTAAAGTGGGTATGCCGAGAGGTATGCACAAGTTTTGTCATTAGAAGTATAAAAGCTTATATTTAATTTGAACCATATTCAACAATTATTTAGTATACCTATATTTTTAATTATGACCATATTAACACACTCTTCCAAATAATCCACTAATTTATTTTGGTCAAAATAAATTTTTCTAACATTAAAATACATTCTTATTTCATAATAGATAAGTTAGATTTTTTTTAATAAATGCTGTTTAATTAAAACTATTTTATGGAGAAATGTAGACCCAATGCACAAAAATATCACTTATATTGCACCTTACACTTTGAAATTTCATTAAATGCAGTATTTATATTCCTAAATTCTTAAACCAACCATTGTTCTTGTGATACTATAAAGATTTATTAACTTTTAACGCTTAAACATAAGCGGTAACACTAAATATTATTTCTTTCATTGACTATACTTTGACAGATACATAACCTGAAAAGAATTTTCAAAAGACTGCGTTCCGTACGTGGTCACGTGATGGGACTTTGAGGTGTGGAGCATAGTACAGCTGTCCCTCAACATTAATATTTTATAAAAAATTGAGTTTAACGCCATTTCGAACTTTGCTGTTTTTAGCAACTATATATTAGTAAAATTGTAAAATTTTAAATTTAACCCTATAAAAAAAATTAAACTTTCCCCAATAGTACAGAAAAGTAGCTGTCCGACTTGCAATAATATTCGGGTCTTGCAAATTTAAAGGCAAAATTAACCGTAATGTGGGCGTGAATTTTGTTGTATTTTTTTTACCTTTTTGCTTCTTAAGTTTTTGCTCGTATTCTGCTTCGTTTAAAAGTTATTAAGAAAAATATTTTTTGTATGTACAGTTCATTTTTTTTATCTGGACTCGTTTTTTTTTGTTAGGTTGGTGGCTTATGCCAGTTGGACTTAGTATTTTTAGTGTTTAAAAAGGTACTTCTGCTTAAGAATTTAATTAAATACTTTGACACTGTCAAATTGACAATAATATTTATTATTGATAATTTACTTGTCAATTATAAATAAAAGATAATTATGCCAAAAATAATAGCAACGAATTCGAATGTAAAAGCCCTTTTGAGGGCAAAACTTCATTTTGATGAAATTATGCCAAATGCCACAATGGAAGAAGAAGTACATCGCCTTATGGACATTTTTGTAGTAAAAAAGTAACGAATTTGGTTTTATAAATTTTACATCACACATTATTCACCATTGGACAACATTTACGTTCACAAAAAATTTTAATTTCTTTTATATAAATTCTTTTCAAAGCGAAGATTATTATCCGCTGGGAATATATTTAACTACTTTTTTTATATGATTTTACTCATCCAAGCACCACCAAAGCCAAATTAATTGCATTTTTAACTACGAATTTCGACAACTCAACTTGACAACTGCACAATGTAACCTACAATAATTTATACATAACCACAATTAGATTTATAACTAGCTTAGTTTGTTTTAATCAATGCGACCAACTTGACAACTGTGTTTACCAACCAAAACCCTAAATTTGCCAGATAAAAAAAATAAACTTAAGTTGCATTGGCATTGTTTAAAATATTTTTTTAGGTTGGTAGTGTATGATCTTAGAGGAGCATGGACCAAAAGCAACAGGAATGTAGCTTTCGCATTATTCGACACTTTTATGAAGACTATGGTACCACAAAACAAAATACATTTTATTTTCAATCATTTAATCTTTTACTACTTGCAGAGAATGAAGAAAAATCTCTCGACTGAAGCTCTAAAAGGCTTTAGAAAAGATAACACTACCACTCCGTTGAAACGAAGAAACGATTCATCATCTACCCCCCCGAATGCTCCAAATGTTCAGGTAATTTTTTCAATGTAAATACACTCACAGGCAAAATAATCGATCCACACAAATTTTCGATGATTTTCAATCGCAAATAACTTTTTTATTTGATGTCTGATTTAAACGAATATTAAAGAATAATGTATATAAATTAATGGACAATCGCTCACATTTTAAAAAATTACTAAAAAATAGACGTACGTTTATAATAAACAGGTTTAAACAAAAAGATGTTTTTTACCATATGTTTAAGACACTCTGTAGAGTGGCAAAACAGTATATTGTTCTAAATTAAGTTTTATTTATCAAGTCACATCTATTCTTAACAGTTTTGTTTTTGGTTCACCTCGATATATTTATTTTTGTGGCAAATATGGATTTTTTAAAAAAACATTGCAATTTCCAATATTTTTCCTGTATGAAGAACTAAGGTTGCTATGGTCCATCCATAGCCTATGGAGAATGACAGTGGCAGTTTTGTTGAATCATCCCATACTTTGACATGCCATACACGGCTTTCAAAAGCTATCAAATTGTTTTTTGTAAATTAATGTTTAAATTTTGAGGTGTCTTCTTACTTTAAAAAATGGATATGTCCCCGACTGATGTTGCCAGAGCCATTAATTTAATCCAGGATGGACGGTCACAGTATTACGTCACAAGAAGTAAAGTACAAAGGGAAACATCAGTCGGAGACATTTTTAAAAGTAAGAAGACACCTCAAAATTAACACATTAATTTGCAAAAAACAATTTGATAGATTTTGAAAGCTGTATATGACATGTCCAAGTTTGGGATGATTCAACAAAACTGTCACTGTCATTCTCCATAGGCTATGGATGGACCATAGCAACCTTATTTCTTCATACAGGAAAAATATTGGAAATTGCAATGTTTTTTAAAAAAATCCATATTTTCCACAAAAATAAATTTATCGAGGTGAACCAAAAACAAAACTGTTAAGAATAAATGCGACTTGATAATTAAAACTTAATTTAGAACAATATACGGTTTTGCCACTCTACAGAGTGTCTTAAACTTATGGTAAAAAAACATATTTTTGTTTAAACCTGTATATTATAAACGTACTTGTATTTTTTAGTAATTTTTAAAATGTGAGCGATTCTCCATTAATTTATCTACAATATTCTTTAATATTTGTTTAAATCCGAAAACAAATAAAAAAGTTATTTGCGATTGAAATTGGATAGATTATTTTGCCTGTGAGTGTATACCAATTGCACTGCTTTTTTCTCTAATTTTTTTAGGGTATTCAGGCGGCTACCAATGTGCAGGAGATCACCTCGCCCATCAGCAAGCTTCAATCGGGTCACGCGGCAAACATGCTGCAGCAGCTGATCGCCGAAGCTGACAACAAGGCTGTCGTTTACAGCGACGACCTGTCGGCAGCTTCGCGGCAGCAGAATTTGCAGGGAGTGCAGGCCTGCTCGCAGGACGACGTCCTGCACAAAAACTGGCAAAGTGAGTGAACTCTAAACTTTCATTTTTCGGCGAAATTATCACACTAATCGTAAAATTTTATAGGACTTATTTTGTAGAGCGTTTTATTTCCCTTAAATTATCTGCGACAAAGTTTTTTAAATTCCTGAAGTATCTTTAGTTATTTGCATTTAAATCTAAATTTATTTTAAAGTCTTTTTCAAATATTGAACAACCAGAACTTTGTGTTGCTTTATAGCAATCCATAACATCCTTAGTTAATACAGCAAACAATTTATATATAAAATAATTAATTTTAATCTACTTTTTTAAATTTGACTCATGTCCCAGACATTTTTTCCGTTGCGTTAGGTCCGTCGCGTTACAGAGAAAATATTAAAAAAAACATATATATGGCAACTTTTTTGGCACTCACGTGATCAACAAATGATGTTCGGACGTACACATTACCCAGCTGAATTTATTTATTCAATCAGGAAGAAGATATCGGTTGAAACAGGTGCGGGTAACGCGAATGTAATAATTGTTTGTCCGCTAAGTTACTCAAAAAAATAATAAAAATAAGGTGAGAAAAAATAATATTTTTCATGTTTATGTTTATTTTAGGGCACTAAAGCTCATTGAGAGTAATTAATGACTATAATGTCTTATTATTATTTTTTAAATATGGTTTTACAAAACTTTGTCCACTGCGTTACCGAGTCCACTATGTTACCTTATGGTAACGCAATGGAATTTAGGGTAACGCAATAGAATTTTTCGACAACAAAGTGGATATTTACCGTCGCTTTTATTAAAAGTAGTTTATGATTAACCAATTTAAAATTATTTGTAATTACAACTTATGATATAGATTACATCCAAGGAAAAATTCCACGCAATATAAAAGTACTAAAAGGGACCTTCATCAGCTTATAGTCAAAGAAAAAGGGTGTCTACAATTTAGAAATCTAAGTTGTTATTCTGCAAGGGATTATGTTTATGCATTACTCTAAAATCCTGCCACCCTATATAGTTTCTTTTTTACGTTATCTGATTAAGTCCTTTGTGTACCCCTGTCCGTTGTGATACCAATGTATATTTCGTTACTTTTTTTAGTTTTTGTTAAAAAAAATACTTAAAATGATTTTTATACACTATCACTTGGTAATACGTGTTTATAAATTAGAGTTTAATTCACTAATACAGTGACTAAAAGAAAATATTAATGGTATTGTTTTTTAACAAAGAATCGGAATGGTTTCTTTTAAAAAATAACTTAACGAACATACATATTTAAAAAAAAGCATACAATTTTTAATAAAAAATAAAATTAAAAATTGGAGTCAAAAGTTTGTGAACTAAATACATTTTATTTCAAATTATTTTTATAACAACTTTTTTTATTGAATTAAATTTTGTATTTCAAATTGGTAACACAGTGGAGATGTATAAAGCTAGCTAAACACATTTTTCTGAAAAAAACGTAAAAAAAATTATAAGTGCACTGCCTGTCTTAAATGTAAGTAAACAAAACTCTAAACATTTATAAAAATCCAACCAAAAGTCAATTTAAGCAAAAAAAATATTTTGATCTTCATTTTCCTGAAAGCGGGTGTTTCTTGAAAATGACCCAAGTATTAAGAGGTGCATCATCGCGATTTGTTTACTTTAAAATTTATAGCCTTTAACGCATTTTTGTATTGATAAAACCAGGACATATTTTTGTAGGGAATTGAATTCTCTACAAAAAAGGTTATTGATCATTTTATAATAAATCTACTCTTTCAAAAGTTATTTAAGGTCAAGTTGAAATTACAGTATTGCAGATCTAAAACTCTTACTCAAAACAGTAATCACTTCTTGTACTTGCAGTCGCCCTGGTCAACGCGCAAGTGTTACTGAAAGGTTGCGAGACCAAAGGTTACGTCATCTTGAGCGCGGCCAAAGCGGAAATCATCCAAAGAATACACCGACCGGCCTGGAGGGACAGAACTCTGGTGTCAAAAACGACTTGGACGGGTATTTTGGAGTGCATGCAGTATTATGCGACCGTAAATGCGGGGGAAAACGATTCCGGATACGGTAAGAGAGTCATCATCGAGTCTCGAGGGTTTAAAAGTGAGTTTTTCGTCGTTCCAGACAATATAATGTGGCTCACGGTGGACAACATACAGGAGAAAGAGTCGGCCCTCATTTCCGAACCGTCCGAAGTTCCAAATCTCGTCGGTAGTGGCGTTTCAGTCGGGGCAGTAGTCAGTGATACTGTGGGACCGAGTACCGACAGACAAGTAATGTTTTTTTAAGTATACCCTTGTGGAAATTTTTCTCTGAGAAAGTTTTATTAGGAGTTTTTAAAGTCTTACTTTATAAGACTTTTAGCAGAGAAATGGTAGGTACCTACAGCGATTAAAATAAATATCCGGAATTATTTAGAGATGTTGTATTTGGTTATTGCAAAATAAAGCACAATGAAAAGGATTTATAAACACTGTTTTTGTGTTGTTATAAGGCTTATAAAAACACGGAAGCAATGTTTACAATGTAGGTAAACAAACTTTATTTCAATTGAACAGAATAATAAGGTATAATAACTGTAACAATTCTTCGCAACGCATAGGCATGATATGATCGACAGTCGAACTCATACACAGATTATAAAACTCATAAAACAAATGTGGTTGATCTTCGAGCTGCTTTCATTGCTTCGTCTGTTTTATACAGTGTTGCCTGATGAACGTCATAAAAGTTCCCGACCAAAAATTACAAAATAGGTACTAAAAAAACTAGTTATATTTTAAATTTACTAGCGCATTCGCCCTGTTTAAAAAAAATTAAATTAATTTAAAATTTTTATATAAGTAAATAAATATGTAACATGATATCCTAGAATAAAATAATTATGCATTTTTAGTAAACATACAATATTATTTACTGAAAACATCTTCAGTTAGTATTTTGATCGAAATTTGCAAAATATCCGATTTTACCCGCTTCAAAATTCTACCCGCAAACATGACGAAAATACCCGATTTCCGAGTAAAACACCCGCAAACGGCAACACTTGGTAAGTAGTGACAGGAGAGCTATCTTGAAAACGCGGGAAGATGCCATCACATGACAGATCAGCTGTGCTCTAATTGGTCAGCTGAGAAAATCGATTTTGCGTCTAAAAAGTGTTTGGAACAAAGGTTAGACGAATATTTGCGTATAAAAAGAAACTATTAAAATAAAACAGTACAGTAACAACAATAAAAGCAAGTCCAGCGCATCGTATGTAAAAAATTATAATTCTTATAATTATTACACCTCACATGTTATTATATATGTAATTATGCAGTAAACTTGGCTTATTACCAACCCGGCAAAATGTTAATAAATACTTTTCTTTGTGTTTTATTTTATAATAGTCAAATACAACCTCTCTGAATAATTCCGGATATTTATTTTAATCGCTATAGTAAGGTTCCTACCATTTCTCTGCTAAAAGTTTTATTAACCCTTTCAGAAGACTCCCAAATCTTGCTATTAGTCTGACTTTAAAAACTCTTATTAAAACTTTCTCAGAGGAAAATTTCCACAACGGTAATTTAATGAATAAACTACCTACAACGACATTTTTAGTTGCAAAGAATCGTATCGAGATGCAGGTGCGAGTTTTTCTACGCCGACTACGGTGATATAAGCGTGGATCCAGAGAGCATAGGTGAAGTTCCACCGCCGCCTCAGGAGGAAGTGGGGCCTTGGGATCGCAGGGAATCGGCTGTCGATGCCTTTACCGTCATGCATTACGACTTGGAAGTCTGCACAAACTCATTACAAGTAAGTACGAGGTGTGTTCAGAAAATAACGGGAATTGTTAAATTTCGCGGGTTCGGAGGGTCCGGTTGTCATAAAATTTTCTTTATTATGTTGGTATACATGCCCCCGAAGTAAGATGAAAACTTTAGCTGTTTTCATTGTTTACTTTGTCTGTGCCAGCCGCTAAGGTTAGACGTGTTTTATGAGCTCGGCGATTTTTCGTTGGTTAAAGAAATGGATCAAAGAATTTGTATCCAATTTTGCTTAAAAAATGAAATAAATTCTGTGAAATGTTAACAAAGGCCTATAGTGAGTCTGCTATAAGTAAAACAAGAGTTTACAAGTGGTATAAGAGTTTCCAAGATGGCCGTGAAGACGTTGAAGATGACGAACGCCCCGAACGCACAAGCACATTAACAACCGATAAAAACATGGAAAAGTGGAAAAAATGGTTATAAACCATCATAGTCGCTGATGATGTTGGTATATCGATTGGCTCATCCCATGAAATTTTTTCGAATGTTTTGAGTATGAAACGCGTGGCAGCAAAATTTGTTCCAAAATTGTTAAATTTTGAACAAAATTTTTGGCCAAAAACAATACTGTAATGATGCCCCAGCCTCCATATTCGCCAGACTTGCCTCTGTCTGACTTTTTCCTATTCCCAAAAATAAAGAGAACCTTAAAGGGCCGTCGTTTTGCAAGCATGGACGACATTAAAAGCGCATCGCTGAAAGAACTAAAGACCCCAAAGATCGAGTTTTAGAAGTGTTTCGAGTATTGGAAGAAGAGCTGGCACATGTGCATAATATCCATTGGGGAGCATTTTGAAGGCGACAACATTAATGTAGACGAATAAATAAATATTTGTTTCAAAAAACGAAAATATTTTCTGAACACACTTTCCCAAACCATGGTTCTCTGGGTAGGGTAAAGTAGACAGTTATCGGACACTATAGTTATTGGACAATTAACATTAATACTGTAAAAACAAGAGTTCTATAAATAGATACCTTAAAGTCAAATCATTAGATGACGCTGTACACAATTATTACTATCTCGGTCGGTAATAATATAGAACTACTTTATTTTGGGTCCAATATAGGACAAAAAAGTTCGCAAGTTACTTTGGTGGTAAGATTTTTGTTTTTTTATTAAGAGCAGGGTTGTGTTTAAATTACAATAAAAAATATTTCTAAAAAGTGTACAGATCAGTGTGTGGTATAAATGTCTTCCTCATGGTTTAAACATTGCCACTTTAATGCGTTTTAATTTTAATTCTGAAAACAAACAGTAAAATGGCCAGTGTCCAATTACTGGTTGGTAAAAAATGTAAATTTCTATTATTGGACATATGTCCAATATACTCTATTTGTATCCCGAACATTTACCAGCCAATTCTTATGTAAAATTGTCCCCTGAATCCGAAAAGACCGTCAAAAACTATAAAAGTCAAGCAGTTTTTGAGATATAGTCAATTCCATATTACATGTAAAATTGATTATATTTCAAAAACTGTTCTACTTTTATAACTTTTGACGACATTTTCGGATTCAGCGAATAATATTACATAGGAATTGACTGCTAAATGTCCTGGATACAAATTGCTGTTGACGAGAATTATTAGTGGCTATGACATTTTTGACTAATTCATTTTTAGAGAGTAAGTAATATAGTGATTTCTTCATCACAGGACATCTTGCAGAATAACAGTGATTTAAGTACAGTGCATGATAGAGAACATAAAAAAGTAATGGCAACAAAATTAATAAATTCGGAAAATACTTTTAACATACCACCCGAAAAAATATTAGATATATATAAATCGTCCTGTTCCGGCCTAAACTTTATAAATGCTTCACAAACTGGAGATACCACACTTAATGATATTTGCAACAAACTATTTCAGAAGTCAGACCAAGGAATTAGTAGTTACCTTCAGAATCCAGAAAAGGGATGAGGAATCCGAGAAAGAAATATATGAATTTTATGATATTTACAAAAACGAAATAAAAAAAATTACCTAAAACAGCAATTTATCTTTAAAAAATATTTAACAATTTATGTTATTTGATGTAAAGTTGTTATGTTTATATAAAAATTGTATGTCTAATAACTATGGTCCATGTGTCCAATTACTATATAAAATGTTCAATTACTATACTTTTTTGCATGTTTTTATAAACCTGTTATTAAAAATTCAAATATTCTTATTTTCAAGTAAACGCAAATAAAGTTTAAACAAACAAACTATCCTTTTTATATACACTCACAGGCAAAATAATCGATCCACACAAATTTTCGATGAATTTCAATCGCAAATAACTTTTTTATTTGATGTCGGGTTTAAACGAATATTAAAGAATATTGTAGATAAATTAATGGACAATCGCTCACATTTTATAAAATAACCAAAAAATAGACGTACATTTATAATATACAGGTTTAAACAAAAAGATGTTTTTTACCATAAGTTTAAAACACTCTGTAGAGTGGCAAAACCGTATATTGTTCTATCAAGTCACATCTATTCTTAACAGTTTTGTTTTTGGTTCACCTCGATATATTTATTTTTGTGGAAAATATGGATTTAAAAAAAAACAATGCAATTTCCAATATTTTTCTGTATGAAGAACTAAGGTTGCTATGGTCCATCCATAGGCTAGGGAGAATGACAGTGACAGTTTTGTTGAATCATCCCATACTTTTACATGTCTTACACGGCTTTCAAAAGCTATTAAGTTGTTTTTTGCAAATTAATGTTTAAATTTTGAGGTGCCTTCTCACTTTAAAAAATGGATATGTCTTCGACTGATGTTGCCAGAGCCATTAATTTAATCCAGGATGGACGGTCACAGTATTACGTGGCAAGTGTTTTAAACGTCACAAGAAGTAAAGTACAAAGGGCAACCAACATCAGTCGGAGACATTTTTAAAAGTATGAAGACACCTCAAAATTAACACATTAATTTACAAAAAACAATTTTATAGCTTTTGAAAGCTGTATATGACATGTCCAAGTATGGGATGATTCAACAAAACTGTCACTGTCATTCTCCATAGGCTATGGATGGACCATAGCAACCTTAGTTCTTCATACAGAAAAATATTGGAAATTACAATGTTTTTTAAAAAAATCCATATTTTTCACAAAAATAAATATATCGAGGTAAACCAAAAACAAAACAGTTAAGAATAGATGTGACTTGATAATTAAAACTTAATTTAGAACAATATACGGTTTTGCCACTCTACAGAGTGTCTTAAACTTATGGTAAAAAACATATTTTTGTTTAAACCTGTATATTATAAACGTACGTGTATTTTTTAGTAATTTTTAAAATGTGAGCGATTCTCCATTATTGTATCTACAATATTCTTCAATATTTGTTTAAATTCGAAATCAAATAAAAAAGTTATTTGCGATTGAAATTCATCGAAAATTTGTGTGGATCTTTTCAGTATGCCATGCTTCTGGACATAGTCAACAACCTGTTGCTCTACGTGGAGCCTCACAGGAAGGAGGCGTTGGAGCGGTTGGCGCGCATGCGCTTTCAGCTTCAGCTGCACAGCATGGACGATCAACGAAAACCGATACAAAATCAGCAGACGCTGGTGAGATCAACTCTCAGCAAGCTGCGAAGGTTGGAGAAGGACACCTACCTCGTCAACAAAGCTTTGGAGGACGCCCCCGATGATAATTCCCTGATGAAAGAAAGCGACCGGCTGGAGCAACACGTAAGTCAATTTTTACAACACTATGATAGTTTTACAAACTTTTTTTTTTCCTAACATTAAGTACCCCAGCTTAGTTTAACTAATTTTGGGCCGCTGATTTCAACAATGTCATTAGATTTTCTCTAGGACGTCTAGGATTTAAAATAATTTCGTAATAAAATGCTCTGCTCAATCACCTCAAAATGTAAGTTTTTTGTTGGTATTTTAATTATTTATTAAATTATTTCGGCTTAAATTTATCTTGAATCTACTAAAGTAATTGGTATACGGCAAATAAATCATATTTATCTTAACAATATGACATTTTAAATACTAAAACTAAAATTTTAATGTGTTTTATGTAAAAAAACAACCAATATTTGACATTTTTTGTCGTTTATTTTAATTATTAAATTGAAAGGGCAACAAAGTAAACAAGTTTCAGTATTTTTTATCCAAATTAACCCCTCAAAATTTAATGCACTGCATAATTTTGCTTTTTTCTACCGTAAATTTATTAAATCGTATCAAATATCAAATTGGATTATAGTATTATTGTGCTTAATCCTCATCATCGTCGTACATCTATTGCTGCAAATTCCAGCAATTAACAATAGTAATGAATCCAACTTCTTTCCGCTATACCCATAGATACCTACCAATGCTCTAGATTGGCAGTTACTTGGTGAAATCGTTCTCCATGTTCATCAGTTCGGCAAATTTTAAATGACATAGTAACGCTAATTCTTTGCAAAACGGAAAGCATTTGTTCAATGAATTGGCGCCAATTTTAGGCCCGATATGAACCGAGAACATTTTCAATGACAGCTTTAACACTGCCATATGCGACAAGCTCGTCAACTTTGAGAGCATTTTTGAATGCTTGATCTTTCCTTAAACGTCGTATATCAGGCCCATTTAATATTCCTGCAAAATTAAAGTAGTAGGTATATCTCATAAAATTTTGCAATGAAATATTGCGTTGGTTTTTCTTGGGCGTAAAGGTACCGCAACAAAAACAAAACAAATTTACAACGACGACATAAATGTTCGTCTCCTTTCTCTTTCTCTGCCACTTCCATTTCCTGCTCTGTTTTCATTTTTGGTTCTTAAAATCACTTTCAAGTAGAAATGCAATTTAAAGTTTAAATTTTAAATGACAATAACTAATAGAAGCACTTGAACGATAAAGTAGATGAAGGCGATATTAAATTTTGATAAGATTTAATAAATAAGATTCGAGATTAAATTTTTGGGTACTTTAGGCATGATGTAAATAAAAACATATCGAATAATAGTCGAGTAATGCTTATATCGAAACCCATTTACTTTGTTGCCTTTTCAATTTAATTACTAATTAAAAAAACGACACAAAAATTTAAAAAAATTATACTTTTTACCAAAAAAACATTATAATTTTAGTTTTGGTATTTAATAAAGCACTTCTCTGCAGAAAAGTGCTTTATTAAATATCCCTTATAAAATACTACTTTAGTTTACGGCTACAATGGAAAAAACAATTTCTATTTGACATTTATCTACTGATGACTTTGTATGGAGTCCCTGTATATTTTTGACAAAAAACGTCAAAAATATAATGAACATCCTAGACTAGGATGAACATCCAAAATAGATTCAAGGCAAAATTATTTAATAAATAATCAAAATATTAACAAAAAACTTACATTTTGAGATAATTGGGCAGAGCATTTTATTACGCAATTATTTCGAATCCTAGACGTCCTGGAGCAAAACGCGTGGCATTTTTGAAATCAGCAGCCCAAAATTAAGTAAAATAGAAGGGCGTACTCAATGTTAGTTAATCGAACTATCATTTTATTTGAAATTTGCAGATGTACGATTGTAAAAACTACCTGAACGCGATCAGCGAAGAACTGGACATGATGCTCTCTTGTTACAAGGAGAGCCAGCTGCTGGCGCACAGCAGGCTTGCCACTACACGAAGCGATAAACCTTTGACGGTTGTCAGGGCCAACGAGATTTGTTTCAAGCATGCGCAGTGGCGGCTGACGGAGGCGGACGGTCAGATCGGCATAGCCGACTTGGTTTTGAGCAACTTTATGTGAGTTGCGTTTGTTCGATGTTGTTTTTGGGTTTTTTAATGTTTTTTTTTTTAAGGTATACGAAGAATTCGAAGAGCGATGATTCGGTGGAGCATTTGTTGGAGTTGGGTTATTTGAGGATGACAAATTTGTTGCCGAATGAGATTTATAAGGAGGTTATTTGTCCAACGGAAATACAATTTGATATGCCTATAGAACACAAGGTAAGTTATTTTAAGATGTTTAGATATTTATTTAGATGACTATTTTTTCACAACCTCCTTGAAATAGAAATGGAAGATTTTGATGAGTAGAAAACGATACGGTGGGTGAAAATTTCCAAAATTTCAAAACTTTGCATTTCCAAAATTTTTGTACAAAATACTAATTTCTAAAACTCAATTTTTAATATTCACAACAAATTTAAAAAAAATTGTTTAACTTTTTGTTTTCGACATATCTAAATTTTTTATATTTTCTCAATTTTTTAATTGACAACTTTTTATTTTCGAAATTTTTGAAATTTTCAAAATTTACCCAATGTTTTACAAAATTCTTAAAATTGACAACTTTTTGTTTTTGAAATTTTTAAGATAGGTATACAAAATTTTTTAAATTTACAAATTTTTTTACTTAAATTTCCAAAATTCTTAAAATTTACGACTTTGTTTTCAAAAATATCCAGTTTTCTATATTTCTGAATTTTCCAAGATTTACAAAAGCTTTAGAAACTTTTGGTTTCCATTTATTTAATTTTTTTTTAATTTTCCAAAATTCTTAAAATTAACAACTTTGTTTTCTAAATTTCCAAAATTTACATTATAAATAAATTTCCAAGGTTTACAAATTTACTTTGTTTATGAAATTTCCACAATTTTCAAATTTCCAACTTGATTTTCAAAATTTACCTACAAATTTAAAATTTCTAATATTTAGAAAAATTTAAAAAAATTTAGTTTCCAAAATTTTAGAAATTTACAAATGTTTTCAAACTTTTTAATTAAAATTTCCAAAATTCTTAGTTTTACAACTTTTTGTTTTCGAAATTCACTAAATTTATAAAGCTAATTTGTATTTTTAAAATTTTACGAAATTCTTAAAATTTACATTTGAAATTTTCAAAATTTTTAAGATTTTCAAAATTAACCTACATATTTAAGATTTTCATGGGTTCCTATTTAAATTTTTTAATTATAACCCCTAAAACTTTAACTCAATTTTACAAATTTTGATATTTTTAAAATTTACAAAATTCTTTTATTTTTGAAATTACCAAATTTTTGATAGATTTTTAAAATTTACTTTAATTTCGAAATTTCTTAAATTTTCAAGCTTTTAAATTTTTAGTTTCCAAAATGTTAGTTATTTTGATGATTTTGATAGTTTTAACATTTTTAAATTTTCCAAAATTTAAAAAAATAAAACTTTTTGTTTCGAATTTTACAAAAATTTTGAAATTTTTAAGATTTACTAAATTTATAAAGCTTATTTTTTTAGTTTCCAAAATTTAAAAATTTCAAAATTTTACAAAATTCATAAAAATTTTAAAATTTACAAAATTTACATTTACATTTTTAAAATTTACAAGATTTACAAAAATTTAACTTTTCTTTTTTGATAAAAATTTTCAAAATTTACCTACAAATTTAAAATTCTCATGATTTACAAAAATTTTAAGATTGGTATTTTTAAGATAAATTAAATTTTCAAAAATGTTTAGGATTTACAATTTTTGTTAAATTAGTTTCCAAAATTTTTAAAATTTCCAAAACATTTCAAAATTTTTAAAATTAATGTTATTGAGATTTACAAAATGTTCCAATTTTTAGTCTCCAAAATTTAAAAAATATCCATCCCAAATTTTTTTTTAATTTTCTAAATATGGACGGTACAAATCACTAAACTGTTTCTATAAAAAAAATTGTAGGTAATTTATTACATATTATTTTTGCATCAAAATTGTCAAATATATTCTTCTTTTATTAGGCTATACATTAAATTAAAAAACGCAAGATATATTTATAAAAGTAGAGATAATTTTAATTGACAGGTGTGGATGGATAAAGATTTTTTTTGTAATTCGTGCGTTTCGCGCTCTTGAAATGGCCGTTGTAATTTTGATTTTTTATTGAGTCTTAAGTTTATTTGCAATTCTTTCATTTACAAAAAAGTTCATTAGTTTGTAGACCCCAATTATAAACAATAATGTACTTAATAAGATAAATCCCATAACATCCAATAAATAGTATTGATAAAACGGCATATCAACAAAACCGCTTCTCAAATGATGTGCCCCATTGTGTCTTATGACGTATTCAACCCACCAAACAGCTTTTTCCACGCCCATCATAGGCTGATCCTTAAGAATTTTGCTTAATTTTAAAGCTGTTTTTTTGTACCTTTTATTTTCTGCAACTTCAACAATACTCTCTCTCAAAGTTCTATTCGAAACCTCCATTATATCAAGGTTGAGCCCCATCCCCTTGTGCACAATTCGTTTGGCATTCTGCTCTTGGTCTATCACCACCGGAAAAACCACCAAAGGTATGGCGTTAAATATGGCTTCTTCAATCGAATGCGAACCCCCTTGCGTTATAAAAGCTTTCACGTTGGGATGGGCTAGAATGTCGTTTTGAGGAAACCAATTTTTTGCCAACACGTTGCTTGGCATTTCTTGTATCATGTCTGTTTTCCATATGACTCTGTATGGCAGGGATGCGAATACTTCTTTGAAGATTGACATTTTCTGTTGGGTAACGGTGTAAGTCATCCCGTATGTCCCCATGCTGAAATATATCACACCCTGCGGAGAGCCATCCAAAAATTCTTGTATGTCCTGGAAATAAAGTTGTCGGTTATTTTTTTATTTGTGCCCTATAAGAGTTTATAAGTCTTACTTCCTCTTAAAAAGTCTGAATAGTACTTAGTAAGTCAGACTAATAGCAAGATTTTGTAGTTTTCTAGAAGAGTTAATATGACTTTTAGCAGAGAAATGGTAGGTAAAATACACTCACGTGCAAAATAATCGATCCACACAAATTTTCGATGAGTTTCAATCGCAAATAACTTTTTTATTTGATGTCGGATTTAAACGAATATTAAAGAATATTGTAGATAAATTAATGGACAATCGCTCACATTTAAAAAAAAATACTAAAAAATAGACGTACGTTTATAATATACAGGTTTAAACAAAAATATGTTTTTGTTTAAGACACTCTGTAGAGTGGCAAAACCGTATATTGTTCTAAATTTTATTTATCAAGTCACATCTATTCTTAACAGTTTTGTTTTTGGTTCACCTCGATATATTTATTTTTGTGGAAAATATGGATTTTTTTAAAAAACATTGCAATTTCCAATATTTTTCCTGTATGAAGAACTAAGGTTGCTATGGTCCATCCATAGGCTATGGAGAATGACAGTGACAGTTTTGTTGAATCATCCCATACTTGGACATGTCATATACAGCTTTCAAAAGCTATCAAATTGTTTTTTGTAAATTAATGTGTTAATTTTAAGGTGTCTTCTTACTTTTAAAAATGTCTCCGACTGAAGTTGCCCTTTGTACTTTACTTCTTGTGACGTTTAAAACACTTGCCACGTAATACTGTGACCGTCCATCCTGGATTAAATGAATGGCTATGGCAACATCAGTCGGAGACATATCCATTTTTTAAAGTAAGAAGTCACCTCAAAATTTAAACATTAATTTGCAACAAACAATTTGATAGCTTTTGAAAGCCGTGTATGACATGTCCAAGTATGGGCCTTATAACAACACAAAAACAGTGTTTATAAATCCTTTTCATTGTGCTTTCTTTTGCAATAACCAAATACGACATCTCTGAATAATTCCGGATATTAATTTTAATCGCTATAGGTACCTACCATGTCTCTGCTAAACGTCTTATTAAGTCTTAAAAAGTCTTATTAACTCTTCCGACTTAATAAGTATTCGGCTTTATATGAATCATGTTAATGTCCACGACACTGGGCACGGTAGGTTTGATCTCGTTTTGCACCCAGTTACTGATGAAAAGAGCCAGACTCATATTTCTCTCGATGTCTCCCAAATGAGGTATGTCATCTCCGAAGTGCTTTCTAGCAATTTTGGTACTTCTCGGCATCTCATAGTAGCGATACAGCAACCGGTAGGTCACGTAGTACATCGTGCTTGTTAGTCTTTCCAAGAACGAGGGGTTGTCGCCTGATTTCAGGAAAAAATTCGGCGATAGGACCGGGTGGAGGGGATTCCCCAACGCGTCGTGTGCGTTTATCCAGCCTTTTACCGAAGACATCCCTGCAATGGAAAATTATATACATTTTTTTTTGGAAAATAAAGCCAAATTTTTCAATTAATTTGTTCCATACTTTTGGCGGTTAAAAGTTCATCGAAACAGAACGCAAAATAAAAATAAATTTGTACCTTAATGTTTTACTATTTCAAATATGTTTGTTACAGTTTTTTATGATAAAATATTTGCTAAAATTGCATAATTTTGGCATAAATTCTTCATTTAATGTTTAGTCAAATTACCTTATTTATTATCACAAATTTTAATATAAGGCCAAATTTTTTACATTCATAAATAAATTTTCTAATTTTGCGTGTTTTAAGTACACACTTATGATTTTTTTCCAGGAGTATCTTTAAAATCCCTTTCCCTATTTATTTATTTTTTCGTTTATTATCCCAAAATGTTGTCCCTTTTATTTGACAAGTAGAAAACGATACAGTGTGAAAATCTCTAAAATTTACAAAAAATACATATTTTTAAAATTCCCAACCTATTAAAATTTTTTAAAATTTCCAAAATTTAAAAATTATCAAAAATGTACTACTTTTTGATTTCGAAATTTCTGAAATTTTCAAGCTTTCAAATTTTTTCAAGTTTTTTGATATTTTTAAAAATTTTAAATTTTCCAAAATTCACAAAAATTCTAAAATTTTCAAGATTTACTAAGTTTTAGTTTTTGAAATTTCCAAAATTTGCAATATACAGTGTGACCCATTTGTTTGCGACTCACCCCTGTAAAATTTTTATTTATTGTGCGATTTTAACCGGATTTATTTTAAAGTGTAGATTATGATAAACTGTATTTTTGTGGTTATTATTGTGCATTTTTCTACTTAAAATTTTTCAATAAAATTTAGTATATGGGTGATTATACAAAAGTTGGACAACTTGATGTCATCAGTCAATAGAGTAGGTATTTTAATATTTTTTGTAAATATTTTAGTATATTACAAAAGATCCCAAGTTTTTTTAACTTGTCCACCCAATTTTAATGTATTTTTTAAAAAGCACGTTTGTAGAAAAACATAATAAATATTCAAAACATGGCCTGTCACAACTCCTGAATCAAATATTTGAGTGATTTTATTTTAAAATATATCCAATTTATCTTAAATGTTTCAATTTCAATTTCAATATTTTAGTATATTACAAAAGATCCAAGTTTTTTTAACTTGTCCACCCAATTTTAATGTATTTTTTAAAAAGCACGTTTGTAGAAAAACATAATAAATATTCAAAACATGGCCTGTCACAACTCCTGAATCAAATATTTGAGTGATTTTATTTTAAAATATATCCAATTTATCTTAAATGTTTCAATTTCACTACAAACTATAAAACATTAAATAATGTATTCTTCATATTTTATCATAGATTCGAATAATAGCAATTTTTAAAAAATGTATAATCTTTGTACTCACTTTTACCCGTCAGTTCTGTGTCCAATGTTAAAATTCAAAATTTCTGCGAAATATTGAAGTTTAAACGTCAAGTCCTCGTTTTAACTCAAGTGTTGGTAAAAAATTACCTACAGAGCCCGCCCTTTGCACGACAGTCTTTTTATAATATGCTGCAATAAATCTTATATTTTCCAATAAATTATGTATTTAATTAGTACCCTGGTATACTCGTCACTTCCCTTGCATTCAAATTTAGAAAACACAGATATTTTAGAAACTTTGAAAAAATGACTGGCCCGGTCTGGAACAGTATATTAATTATATTATCTATGTTCTCATAACAAAATACTGTTTAATTTTCTCCGAAAACTATATAAACAAAATGAGGTCAAAAGTTGCCCAACTTTTGTAGAATCACATATGGTCGTTTTGAGGGGTGGTGAATCTAGTGCCGTGCATAGATTTGGTTTAAAAAAATTGCCAATATGAATTCTTAAAAATTTATTCTTAAAAACTGACATAGTAGGCCTTTGTAAAAATATGGCTTTTTTGCTTTAAAAATACAGTTTATCAAGATCTACAGAAATCCGGTTAAAATCACACAATAAATCACTTGAATTTTCTGGCCTCTCTGTTATCGAAAATTCGCGTGAATTAAAAATATTACTTTGCTTTAAAAATTTAAAAAAACCGTTGTGCTGTTTACGATTTTCGTATCGTTCATCTTTTACGGCAGGAAGGAAGGAGGGCAATCTATAAATCAGGCTTAAGACTTTTTTAGAGAAAAATTTTCACAGAGGTGTGGGTACTTACCGATAATTGGAGCTTTATTAACAATTCCCATAAAATACGTGAGCGGCGTGACATTTTCCACTATAATAGCGTCAAAATGCCCTTTCAAAAGATCTTTTATTTCATCCAGCTCGATCACTTTATCCAGGGTATCGGATATAATCGTCAACCAATTGTAGATGATCTCGAAGAAGTAAGTGTCAGCTGGCAGCCTGGTGAAGTACTTTTTCGCCAAGTCGAAATGAATGTCGATTGTGAAGGATACGTCGATTTCCCGAAAATTTTCAAGCCTCTCGTTTTTGGGGTAGGCCGTGACTACGGTGACGTTGTGCCCTTTGGCGGCTAGCGCCTCGAATATCGGGTAGAGAGTGCGGTGATGGCTTTTCGCAGGTATCGTGAAAAAACCTAAAATATTGGCGGCAGACGATAACCCGACAATCGTAAGGATAATAACTATTGCAAACTTCATTTTCGCGACTGATACAAGTTGTGTCGTATTTATGCTTTTATTTAAATAACTTTACGATAAGGATTAGAGCACCAATTGCAAGACGTCATTTTGTCGACAAAATATCTTATGACATGAGTTATTTATGCTATTTTATCTATTTTGCAAAAATTCTACAAAAAAATTAATTTTATACCTTAAATTTAATTTGGTCGAATTCTACTTTAGATAGTTGGTATCACAGTCATTGGTTTGACAGTTAATGTCAAAATCGATTCGCCATGCCGTCCTTAATTTATTTATTTACAATAAGCGGCTGTTAATTTTAAAGAAGAAAAAAAGGATTTTCTTTGGTGTTAAACAAAATTTATCGTAAGAACTAGAAAAATGATAAAAATATTATAACCAATATGCAAAATATTATGCTGTTTAAAGTATAGCCAACCTATAAAATCAAAATTTTGGGTGAGATAAAGTACCTCTTTACAGCACCAAAAGCGGTGTTGAATGAAGTCATTATGAACGCAAAATATATAAAAAAAAATATCTTCAAGGCAGTTTTATTTATTAAACAATGCAAAAAACGTCCTTAAAATTATATTAACAAATATTACAAGTATAAAGTGAAGTTAGATAGCTTCAGTTATCGAATTTTTTGATTGGTCCTAACGGGCCTTTTACAGACTAGGATGTAAAAAACTTCACCTCATTGGTCTTAATTATTTTTACAGCCTAGGAGCATGGAGCATACATTTTTACAGGCCATTTTCCAAATTTACAAAATTTACATAATTTTTGGTTATTTCCGAAATTTAGAAAATGTATAAAATTTACATTTTTAAAATTTCTTCTATTTACAAACTTTATATTCGAAATGTTCAAATTTTTTTAAATTTTCAAAATTTACAAAAATTTTTGCTTATTTTTGAAATTTTTAAAACCAAGGTTTCCAATTTTCAATACTTTTGGTTTTTTTTTTCGATTTTTTTTTTAAATTTCTTTAAGATGTTCAAAAATTTTGATATTTCCAAAACAAGTATTTTTAAAATTTCTAAATAGATTTTCAAAATTCACAAAATTTCCAAAACTTTTACAAATATTTTAACTTTTGGTTATTTTCGAAATTTCCAAAATTTCAAAGCTCAAATGTAGAAATTTTCTAAAATTTTCAAAATTAACAAAGTTTTTAAAGCCAATGTTCATAAAAAATTTTAAATTTATATTCTTAAAATTCTTTGGTTATTTTCGAATTTTTCAAAATTTGTAAAACAAAATTTTAAATTTTTTTAATATTTTCAAAATTTGCAAAAATGTACGAAATTGGTTATTTTCAAAATTTTTAAATTTACGAAATTTCTTCAAGATGGTTTTTAAATTTTTATCTAAAATTTACAACCCAAATTTTCAAATTTAATTTTTTTAATTTACTTGATTTTCGAAATTCACATTTTTGATATTTTCAAAATTTACAAAATTTTAAAAAATGTACGAAATTTACAAAATTTACATTTTTTAAATTTCTCCAAGGTGGTTTCCAAAATTTTTGATATTTTAAAAAATTTACAATTAAAATTTACATTTTTAAGATTTTAGTTTTTGTTCCTTTTAAAATTTTTGAAATCTACAAATAATCAAAATTTTTAATGTTCAAACTTTTTAAAACTTTTAACTGTCCAAAATTTTCAAGACAAAGTTTCTTCAAGATGGTTGTTTCCAAACTTTATTCCCATTTTTGATGTTTCAAACTTTGCAAAATTTACAAAAATTGCATTTTTTAAATTTCTTTAAGGTGGTTTCCAACATTTTGATATTTTTAAAATTTACAAAACTCAAAATTTTCAAAAAGAATTAATTTTTTTAAAACTCAAATTTACAAATTTTCTAAAATATTTTATCTACTCTTACATTGACGAGCTGTCACTTTATGGCGTTTTATTGACGGGCTGAAGTTAACAACAGTGGCTTTTCGACATTTTACGTCACGGGCTGAAGTTTGCTTTATTATAAATTGGGAAAAAGTGAGGTTAAATTCGGGTGACAGTTGACAGATGTCAAAATTTTAACAAATAAAATTGCCTTTAAATTCTGTTTTGTGTTCGTCGTAGATAAAGTATAGTATGCAACTCGTTTATAAACTTCTCTAGACACTCGTTTTTATTAAACACTCGCTCGCAAGCTTCGCTCGTGCTTAATTAAACTCGTAACTAAAATGGCGTTTATAAAACTTGATACATAATATATTATTAAAGATTAACAACATTTTTAAAGCCAAATTTATAAATTTATATTTCAAAATTTGTAAAACCAAGATTTAAAATATTTTTTAAACTTTATTTTTGAAATTCACAAATTTTTCATTTTCAAAAAAGTTTCCAAACTTTATTTTCGAAATTCACGAAATTTTTGATATTTCCACAGATTACAAAATTTTTAAAAATGTACGAAATTTACATTTTTTTAAATTTTTCATTGTGGTTTTCAAATTTTTTGAAATTTTTAAAATTTACAAAACTCAAATTTTCAAGATTTACGAAATATTTAAAATTTCTTCAATACAGTTTTTAAACTTTATTTTCGAAATTCACAAATAAATTTGTTTAAATGGCGGAGAAAAATTTCGAATTTGTATGCGAGAACAATGTTTTTTTGTTCAGAAAGTCTTGCGGATATTCTGCAGAGAAAAACCGCCGGTGGGCGGCATATCCGTGAAAGAACACTTCGAAATCAACCTGGTACCCCTCACCATCAGTCTGACGAAAAAGTTCTACAACACGATGATGAAGTTCAGCTTCCCGGAGCGCGAAGCCGAAGCCGTCGACTTCGGCGACCGGGCCAGCGAGGACGGCGACGCGGAACCCAAGGGCAAAAAAATAATCAAGCCCGGAAGGAAAAACCGCGACAGCAACTTCTACGTGCACATAGACGACGTGGAGAAGATGAAGGAGCGCGCGGAGAAGAACAAGCTGTTCGTCTACATCAAGATACCCGAGGTGCCGGTCAAGGTCAGCTACAAGGGCAACAAGGAGAAGAACCTGGAGGACTTGCGGGAGGTTTCTCTCGTGATACCCACCTTGGAGTACCACAACATGACGTGGACGTGGTTGGACCTCCTCATGGCCTTAAGAAACGACACCAAGAGAGTCATACTGTCGCAAGCTATAAAACAGAAGTTGCAAATCAAAAGGAACACTGGAGCCATGGACGAAAGCTCGGCTCCGCACGAAGAAGACAAGGCTAGGATGCTTTTTGGTGCCAGACATGTAAGTACGACAATTTTTTCACTTTTAATGTAACCAGGAAGCCACTGGATGTCACTTAGGGTAATGACACCAGTAATTGCCATTATAAGCTAGTGTTTACACAAAAAAGCTAAAAAAGTACCAGAAGAAATTTAGATTTCGTCCTAATAAAAAGCCATGGTGGTTAATAGATACTTATAGAAGGTCACTATATTACCAAACATTAAAAATTAAAGACATAACTAAGTACAATATATTTTTTTTATTGAGGTATAGAGGACTAGTAATTGCCATGACCATTTTTAAAAAACCCAGTAGTTGCCAGTGTACCTGGCCAGTAATTGCCACTAATTTATTTTATTAAAAAAAAAAAATTGAAAATGGCATACCACCTTGGCAAGCAGCCAATGCAGATTCTTTACTTTCTTGGGAATAACGAAAAAAGGGCTTGTTTTTTGGTTCCATGTTGATCAATTTGGATTTTATACCTGGATCAATAATTGCCACTAAAGTAAACCAGTAATTGACACATTCAAAAAGAGGTGGAAATTACTGGATTCTCTTTGAATATAATGTTCTTATTAATGTCAAGTATAAACTAAATATTATAGGTTAGTTTAGAGCTTTAATAAAGGTAATACGATAATACAAAATTCTCCAGTAGCTAATTACCACAAATGGCAAATATTGGGTTAAAAGAAAAAAAATGCTCCAGTAATTGCCACTACTCTAAATCAAAATACTCTTTTAATTTAACGAACAATTTATATGAGTTTCATTTAAACTACTTAGCATATATGCCTATTGCACAAACAAAACTCAAATTGATTAACAACTTATGCCAATATCACGAAAAACTAATCTTACACTTTCTTAACCAAAGTCACAAGAAATCTTTTTTAAACAACTGATTCAACAAGTTGCCTGAATATGTTTTTCCTGTCTAAAAATGCGCCACCTGGTGACAATTGTTCTAAATACATAATATGCTAGATACACTTCCTTACACATACGCAGTGCGCCATATGCACAGATATTGCATATAGCTTTGTTTTTGAATTTCTAAATAATAAATTGCAACTACTGGTACAGTGGCAATTACTGGTGCCTTTACCCTACCTATCCTACACAGCAAACGGAAAAATACACAGCAAACGGAAAATTATAGAGGTGTATAGGATGACGCCACGTTTGAATATCGATTTCTAAATCTCCCTACGGTATAGAGTGGTATTCGTCAGTCGAGCGTTTCAATACTCTCCACAGTATAGAGGTCGTAATTTCACTTTTGAACTAGTTTTAATATAAAAATTATTTTATGCTTAAAAAAAACTATATACGACATGATTGTGATTTTTTTCATTTTATTAATTAATTAAGCTGTGTTGAATATTTTTCCTAAAGGGATAATTGCCAATGGGCCATTAATTCATTTGTTCGTAGATGCTACAATAACCTGCACTGGTGTGTACTTTTTCATCAACCAGATTTAAATATTACAAAACTATACCAGTGAAGATAGTGCAGGGTCTACCAACAGACCTAATTACTAAATTATTAAAGTTTAATAGCATATCGATCATTTTTCAACATAACCTCTTAAATTTTTAATACAAATATAGGTACTTTATATAATACATAAATATACTTAACATCATATCCTCTGTGCTTTACATACCTGAGTTGTTACGGTAAATAAAAATCAGACAAAGGAACCAAAGAAAGGAACTATTTTCAACAAAATCATATGGAGAAATGAGAAAATTCATCCATCAAAAGATCAAAACTTCTTGCAATATTACACCCTCTTTTTATACTCTCAGAAATATTGCCTAGAACAGTATTAGAGAGACTCCAGTTTCTATAACTTGGTAGAGTAAAGAGAAGTCGAAACCGTTGCGATATTGCATTGCGCTGTTTTTGTATAATTCTCGGGGACATTAACGAAAATCATTGCCAGTAAAATTCGAAAAGCTTGAGTTTCTATGTCTCTGAGGAGAATAGGAATCCGAAGTTGCTGCACCATTGGACTGAACCCTTTTTTAATAATTTCTAGAGACATAAATGACTGCACCATTCGACAGGGTCGAGTTTCTACTCCTCTGTTGAATATAGAAAATCAAAATAATGTATCTTGTAAGACACCATTGAGTTTGACTTTAAATATAGTCGTGCATAGGTATAGAGCCGAAAAATATAAAAACAAAGCACGATTCAATACAGTTATGATAAAACTTTAAGATTTGATATTCAAACGCGGAGTCATCCTATACACTTCTATAATTTTTCGTTTGCTGTGTATAGAAGTGTAACCCACATGATTGTGATTTTTTTCATTTTATTAATTAATTAAGCTGTGTTGAATATTTTTCCTAAAGGAATAATTGCCAATGGGCCTTTAATTAATTCGTTCATAGATGCTACAATAACCTGCACTGGTGTGTACTTTTTGATCAACCAGATTTAAATATTGCTGAACTAACATAAAACTACCAGTGGAGATGTGCAGGGTCTACCAACAGACCTCATTACTATTAAAGTTTAATAACATATCGATCTTTCTTCAACATATATGTAAAGTATATTTATGTATTATATAAAGTAACCTATATTTGTATTAAAAATTTCAGAGGTTATAACCTCTGAAATTTTTAATACAAATATAGGTTACTTTATATAATACATAAATATACTTTACATCATATCCTCTGCGCTTTACATACCTTAGTTGTTACGGTAAATAAAAATCAGACAAAGGAACCAAAGAAAGGAACTATTTTCAACAAAATCATATGCAGAAATGAGAAAATTCAAACTACTTGCATCCATCAAAAGATCAAAACTTCTTGCAATATTGAATTACACCCTCTTTTTATACTCTCAGAAATATTGACTAGAACAGTATTAGAGAGACCGTTGCGATATTGCATTGCGCTGTTTTTGTATAATTCTCAGGGACATTAACGAAAATCACTGCCAGTAAAATTCGAAAAGCTCGAGTTTCTATGTCTCTGAAGAGAATAGGAATCCGAAGTTGCTGCACCATTGGACTGCCCCCTTTTTCAATAATTTCTAGAGACATAAATGACAGCGCCATTCGACAGGGTCGAGTTTCTACCTCTCTGTTGAATATAGAAAATCAAAATATTGTATCTTGTAAGACACCATTGAGTTTGACTTTAAATGTATTCGTGCATAGGTATAATAGACTGGGCCAAAAAAATCAACTATTTTTTTTTTGAAAAGTATATCGAAAATATGGTTTGGGGTGACAAAAAAATTATTGTGAAAGTTTGAGTCCATAATATTAATATTAAGAGGTCTATCATCGCAATTTTAATTTTTTTTCCTGTAAAAATCAGTACCCATAAAAAACCGATAAATATTCTTATGGAAAATCAAATGCTTTACAAAAAAAGCCTCTTAACATTTTTGGCTAAATTCACTCAATCAAAAGTTATTCAAGGTTAAAATTTCGTTTTGACTTCAAATTTAAGCTTGAATAACTTTTGATGGAGAGAATTTAGCCAAAAATGATAAAAGACTTTTTTTGTAGAGCATTTGATTTCCCATAAGGATATTTATCGTTTTTTTTTTCAGGGTACTGATTTTTACTTGAATTACAAAATTCCAAAGTTAAATGATCTAATTGTAAAACTATACCAATTTTTAAGGCATGATTGTAAAAAAAGGCTTCATCTGACGGGAAATTCCAATTAAACCTTTTTTGTAGAGCATTCAATTTTCTTCAAAAAATATTCTTAAGTCAATTTTGTTAAACTCAATGATTTGGGAGTTCTGAGACAAAAACTCGCTCAGGAAAAAAAATCTAAAATTGCGATGATAGACCTCTTAATATTAATATTGTGGACTCAAACTTTCACCATAATTTTTTTTTGTCGCCCCAAACAATATTTTCGATATACTTTCCAAAAAAAAAAATAGTCGATTTTTTTGGCCCAGTCTAAGGTATAACTTTAAGATTTAGTATTCAAACGGGGAGTCATTCTATACAGTTCTATATATTTTTTTATGTATAATAATAGTATAAATATTTATTTTAGGCTCCAGAAAACAAAAGTATTCGTAAAGGTGTGAGTGGGGTCTTTAAATTCGGCAAATAACGAAAGCCTTAATTTTATTATTTACCAAAAAAAATGTTTTTGTATATACCTTTATAAAGTTGTCTGTAAATGTATTTATTTTTATTTATAAATGTCCTATTCATAAGTCAATTGTGCTGGAAATCAAAAGTAACTTTTTAAGTAAGGTTTATTTATTTTTACTATGTTGTTAAATATAGTTATTAAATGTGGTTGTTGTTTTATTGAAATACCTGAAATGTCTTCACAAAATTACAAGGTTTTAAGGCAGTTCTAAAACAGTCGATGTAATGTGAAATTTCCGTGGGGGAGAAATTAATAAAATTAAAATTTGATGCAAAGTATCCGCATTTGTGGCTTTTTTTTAATAAATTGCATTCATAAAATTACCATAAGTAGGACTTTTACACATATTTTTTAGGTTCATAACTTTTTTAATTTAGCATTTTTAGTTTTTAATCAATTTTAGAGTCAAAATATAAAAATCTCTTTTTCTTTACTTTGCGCACTCTATATTTTAGCAACAGGAAGAAAAATCTTGAACATTTGAACATCAACATTTTTCTTTTCAAAACTTTTTTTGTCCGCCCAATAGAAAACGAGATAAAACGATCAATTTAAAAAGGAGGGGTGGGATGTAAGGAAATAAAAAACGTGTGTTATTACTCATAGAGTTGTTTATTAATAATACCTAATTATATGTATATAATTATTTATAAAGTTATTAACATTTCATGTTTATTTACTAATTCAACTAATGTCAATAAAATATGTACAAATTTATTTAACTATAATCCCAATTCCCTAAAATTGACATATTCTTATACAACAGTAACTATTTTATTTACAAAAAGGCGGTCCGCCGCTAATTTGAACAAGTAACAGTCCTAACCGTCCGTAATTTCATAAAAATATAATCATTTATACGTATATCGTGTAAATTAAATAAAAAGGTATATAAATAATTACAAGTAAAAAGTAAGTAATCAAAATTAGATAAAAAACAGGTTAAAATAAAATAAATTAAAATATAGATTTAGTCACAATAATTGGCCTGTAACACATAAATACTGCTATAAAAATATCCAGGAAGTATCTCATCGTGATTGTTATCATTACAACACAGTGGTTGTTGATTTTACTCGGATGACACACAATAAAAACGCGTTCTTTGAGAGAATAAAATCAACGGTAGTCAGTGTACAACAAATGAAACAAATGACTAACCAGAGATCTCGATTGTACTGACTGCACTTCGATTTCTAAAAACTAAATTAGGTAACGTCATGTAGGCCTTTCTGCTGCTCTGCGCATCATCTCGATAAGTTTACTGTTGGCCCCAGTAGTTTAAATACAATTACGACACAGTCCCCGAAATAGTCCTTATCCTATCAAAAAAGCATTTTTGGGCTTCAAAAGTCATAGACTTCTCAGAAAATTTCACTCTTGAATTTAATTTAAGAAAATGTTTTTTTACATAACAGTCAATTGAAAATATCCAACTACAAAATAATGGATGATTTATAAAGTTAAATTACAAAATTATAATTTTATAAATCGATGTGTCAAATAAAACGATAGTTATGTTTTTTGCGGCCCGGTAGAATTAAAATAAAATTATAATCATAATATTACATAATTATAATCAGCGTCGAAAATTAACTTTTTCTCGATATCATAAAAATTTGAAAATTGTAAATATGTTAATTAACGTTCTAAATTGGAATGGAAATTTTAGATTTTTTGTTGTAATGTTGACAATTTTGAAAATATTAAAAATTTTGTAATTCAAAATTCCCAAAATTGTCAAAATCTCCATTATAGCCAATACCTTTTTATTTTTTATTCAGGAATTATTAAAAATATCATAGCAGATATTTAATAATTAGATTTAATTTTTATGCCAAACTGATATTTTTAATTTAACGAATTTAAAATATTTTCTTATATTTGTATTTTTTTGCTAAACACATATTTTAATTCACTAAATTAAAAATATCGTGGGAGACATTTTAAAATGTATTAAAAATATCATAGGAGAAAATTTTAATACGATTTAATTTTTATATTATTAAATAAGAAGACATTTTTTATTAATGTGATATTTTTAATCCCGACCAGACTAGATCCCAGTGATTGTGCCGCCATCTAGCGACAGAATTAGTTTGGAATAAAAGGGGTGTCCAAACTTTCAATCTGAATTAAAAATATCAAATTCAATTAAAAATATTATTAATTTAGCGAATTAAAAACATGTGTTTAAAAAAAATACAAATATAAGAAGCAAATATTTTAAAAATTCATCAAATTAAAAATATCAATTTGGCATAAAAATTAAATCTAATTTTTAAATATCTGCTATTTGCTAAATTTAATTTAAAATATTTACTTCTTTTAATTGTTTTTTGTTAAACACATTTATAATTATCTTAATTAAAAATTAGACTTAATTTTTATGCAAACATAATTTTAATTTAGTGAATTTAAAGTATCTGCTTCTTGTATTTGTATTTTTTTAGTTAAACACATATTTTTAATTCGCTTAATTAAAAATATCATAGGAGAAATTTTTAAATTAATTAAAAATATCAAAGGAGAAATTTTTTATTTATTTTTAATTCCGACTGATTGAGAGTTTGGAAAAAAATTTAGTTATTCAAAATTCTTAAAATTTTCAAAATCTACAATTCTGTTTAAATTATCGTTATGACAGAATTATAATTATATATAAAATAAACCAAAAGTAGTTTTTTTTGGAAAATATTAATTTTATGTGAAAAGTATCACTTTTCCAATAATAATTTATCGATTTTAACCCTCATAAAATCACTTTTGAAGCTCGAAAATGCGTTTTTATTTTTGGTCTAATTTAACAGGCCGGGGACTGTTTACACACAAAGTTTGATTCCGTCGATCGAACTACCAATTGACATGATTTTTTTTTCATTTTGATTTCATTATGTACAAATTGTTCTATCGAATCGATTTTTTAAAGTGGTTCTTCCACCACTCGACCTCGCAAGTGCCAAGACTTTTTGGCAAACATTTTCTTAGAATTTCCACGCAGTTTGATTCCGCGGAAAATCGCCCCACTACTGAAAATTTTGAATTTGCCTATTCAGTCTAAATATCTCGGTTTTGTACACTCAATATTTACATCGACAAAAAATAAATTATCCTTGTACAAATTTACAACTGTACGGCGGTGTACGAACATCAAAATCGCGCGACGGGCGGCTCTCCACTTATGGATGAAAAAAAAACAAAACTCACCAAATTTCGAAGCAGAAAGTTTCTTTTGGCAGTAGTGCACGGGTTCGGCGCATAAATCCTATTTATCACATTTTTCCTTATATATTTTTGTACGGTTTCGTCGCTTGTTATTTAACAAAAAATGAGTATTACTTTTGCGGTCGGGGGATTTACAGGAGAGCCGCCGCCGTGTGGTAGAGTTGCACCAGCACTTGCATGTGCACCGGGAGGCAGGAGAGGCGGTCTTTCGTGTTCGAGTCCAGCGCTAGCCAAGACAACGCGTTGTAGCCTTCCAAAACGTATCTGAAACGAGAGAAAAAAATTTGTTTCTAATTGTGTTTTGGCTTTTTACAATGGATTTTGAGATGTGTTTTTAAAATATTTAATTGTGTTTTTTGTGATAGTTAAATTAGTTTCTAATTGTTGTTTTAACATTCTAAAATGTGTTGAGACATTCTAAATTGTTTTTTGACTTTTTTTAAATAAGTATATTACAAAAAATATAAATAAGAATGTTAATATAGTTCAAAAATGTGTTTTGGCTTTTTACAATGGATTTTGAGATGTGTTTTTAAAATAGTTAATTGTGTTTTTTGTGATAGTTAAATTAGTTTCTAATTGTTGTTTTAACATTCTAAAATGTGTTGAGACATTCTAAATTGTTTTTTGACTTTTTTTAAATAAGTCCATTACAAAAAATATAAATAAAAATGCGAGTAAAAATGTTAATATAGTTCAAAAATGTGTTTTGGCTTTTTACAATGGATTTTGAGATGTGTTTTTAAAATATTTAATTGTGTTTTTTGATAGTTAAATTAGTTTCTAATTGTTGTTTTAACATTCTAAAATGTGTTGAGACATTCTAAGTTGTTTTTTGACTTTTTTTTAAATAAGTCTATTACAAAAAATATAAATAAGAATGTTCAAAAATGTGTTTTGGCTTTTTACAATGGATTTTGAGATGTGTTTTTAAAATATTTAATTGTGTTTTTTGTGATAGTTAAATTAGTTTCTTTCTAATTGTTGTTTTAACATTCTAAAATGTGTTGAGACATTCTAAATTGTTTTTTGACTTTTTTTAAATAAGTCTATTACAAAAAATACAAATAAGAATGACAATTAGTTTTAAATTGTGGTTTTTACATTTAAAATTTGTTTTTAAAGCGTTCTTGACTTTCTAAATTGTAATTTTGACTTATGTTTAGACATTTTAAGTAGTGTTTTTTGTAATAGTTAAGATAGTTTTAAATGTGTTTTGACATTCTAAATGGGGTTTTTGTCATAGTTAAATAAGTTTCTAAATTGTGGTTTTAACATTCTAAAATGTGCATTAGGCATTTTAAAATGTGTTCGAGACATTTTTTTTAAATAGGTCTTGACATTCTAAATTGTGTTTTTTGTCATAGTTAAATAAGTTTCTAAACATTCTAAAATGTGTTTTTTGCATTTTAAAATGTGTTTGAGACATTCCATATTGTTTTTGACCTTCTTAAATAGGTTTTGACATTTTAAATTGTTTTTTGACTGTTAAGATAGTTTTAAATTGTGGTTTTAACATTCTAAAATTTGTTTTTAAATTTGTTTTTGACATTCTAAATGCGTTCTAAATTTTTTAAATTGTAATTTTGAAATTCTTAAAGACTTTTGACATTCTAAATTGTGTTTTTTGTGATAGTTTAGATAGTTTCAAATTGTGATTTTAACATTCTAAAATTTGTTCCAAAAGGTGTTTTGGCATTTAACAATGTGTCTGATAAATTCTATATTTTGTTTGACATCCCTAAATAAGTCATTTTTAATTGTGTTTTTTGTGATAGTTAAAATAGTTTTGAATTTTCGTTTTAACATTATAAAATTTGTTCTAAAATGCGTTTTTGACACTTTTAAATAGGTTTTGACATTCTAAATTGTGTTTTTGACATTCTTAAATAAGTCTTGACATTCTAAATTGTGTTTTGTGTGATAGTTAAGGTAGTTTTAAATTGTGGTTTTAACATTCCAAAATGTGTTTTTGAAATTTTAAATGTGTTTGAAAAAATCTAAATTGTGTCATTTTGACATTCTAAATTGTATTTTTTGTCATAGTTAAACTAGTTTCTAAATCGTAGTTTTAGCATTCTAAAATTTGTTGTAAACTGTGTTTTTGGCATTTTACATTGGGTTTAAGACATTTTATATTGTGTTTTTGACCTTCTTAAGTAGGTCTTGACATTCTAAATTGTGCTTTTGTCGCAATTAAATTAGTTTATAAATTGTTTTAACATTCTAAAATGTGTTTAGACATTCTAAATTGTGGTTTTAACATTTTTAAATGTGTTTTGGCATTTTACAATGTGAGACATTCGAAATGTGTTTATGACATTCTAAATTGTGGTTTTGACCTTTTTAAATAGGTCTTGACATTTTAAATTATTTTTTTGACTTTTTTCAAATAAGTCTATTACAAAAAGATAATTTAAAATTGTGTTTTTAACATTCTAAAAATTAATCTTAAATGTGTTTTTGACATTCTTATTGATATTCTAAATGCGTTCTTGATTTTTGACATACTTAAGGACTTCTGTCTCGACATTTTAAAATTTGTTCAAAAAGGAGTTTTTGGCATTTTACATTGTGTTTGAGACAATCTATATTGTGTTTTTGACCTTCTTAAGTAGGTCTTGACATTCTAAATGCGTTTTCCAAGTTGTGGTTTTAACATTCTAAAATGTGCATTTGGCGTTTTAAAATGTGTTTTTAACATTCTTAAATAAGCCTTGTCATTCTTAAATTTTGATTTTAACATTCTAAAAGGCGCATTATTAAATAGGTATTGACATTCTAAATGCATTTTTGACTTTCTAAATTGTAATTTTGACATTCTTAAAGACTTATGTAGGTCATTCTAAATGAATTTTGACATTCTAAATTGTGTTTTTCTTATAGTGAAATTAGATTTCAAATTTTCCATTATAAAATGTGTATTTGGCATTTTAAAATGTTTGAGACATTTATTTTGTGTTTTGACCTTCTTTTGACACTCTAAATGCGTTGTTGACATTCTAAATTGTATTTTTGACATTCCTTAATGTGTCTTGTCATTCTTAATTGTCTTTTTTTTGTAATAGTTGGATGGTTTAAATTTTGTTTTTTTACCATTCTAATATTTGTTCTAAAATGTGTTTTTGGCATTCTATATTGTGTTTTTGACCTGCTTAAGTAGGGGTTGACATTCTAAATTGTGTTTTTTGTGATAGTTGAGGTAGTTTTAAATGACATTCTAAAATTTGTTCTAAAAGGTGTTTTTCGCATTTCACATTGTGTTTGAGACATTTTATATTGTGTTTTTGACCTTCTCAAGTAGGTCTATGCGTTTTTGACATTCTAAAATGTGTTTTGTCATATTCTAAATTGTGATTTTAACATTCTAAAATGTATTTTGGCATTTTACAATATGTTTGACCTACTTAAATGGGTCAACATTCTAAATGCGTTTTGGACATTCAAAATTGTGTATTTTGTGATAGTTAAGATAGTTTTAAATTAGAGATCAGTGGCGTGCAGGACGGGCCCCGCAGGGCCCGCGGTGCGGGGGGGCCCCCGACCCTAGGGGGGCCCCGTAGAGAACCACATTGGGTGGTATAAGTGACAAAGGGGCCCCAGCTCAAAATTTGCGGGGGGGCCCCCGATCACCTTTGCACGCTACTGTTAGAGATACATATATATTTTTGAGATCTACAACTTTGTTATTTACTATTTTTAGTTTTAACCAGTTATGGAGGGTCAAATTATAAAAAAACTAATTTTTGTTTACTTTGAATAAAACAAAAATGTTAAAACTTTGAAGCTTTTTTTGTCCTACCAATAGAAAACGAGATAAAACGGTTAAGTTTTTTCTTTTAAACGCGGGAGTTTTGAAAATTTTGTCCATCCGTTTTTGATATTCACCACATATATATAATTTTTCCCGCAACTTTTTAATTTTGAACTACCGTGCGAATTTGTCCCACCATTTCGTTCGAAAAAAAAAAACTAAAAAACTCACCTCAAGACGTCGGTGGTGTACTGCGAGTCGAGCTGGTGCGACGTGACGGCCGACTGCTGGAAGGGGTCGTCGGAGTTCTGCTGCACGTTGGGGCTGTGCAGGTGCAGCGCGTTCTTGAGGAAGGCGGGGCAGTTGCCCTCTAGGTGCGGGCACGACGACCAGAACCACTTGGGCATGCGGCCGGTGGGCGCCGTCGACACCAGGTAGCCCAGCGCCAGCGGCTGCTGCAGCACCGTGCCCACCTCTTCGTTGGGTTCGGCGCCTGGAAAAGACATTAGCGTTGAAATGCCAAACAAGTTTGTCCCAACTATGTATTGTTTTCTTGGGGAATTTATTCCATTTTACAATTTATTTTATACATATTAAACGTTAAATTGTGTAATTAGACCAGGGTCGATAATTTTTGAAACAAAAAAAAATTACAGTAGAATGAAACCCATTGGAAAAGGAGGAGAATATAATAAAAAAGAAAGAAAAAATAAATTACGGGCGATCTGACTTCGGGAAGTGGGAGGGGGGGGCTTTAAGGGTAAAAAATGGTTTATCTCGATTTCCGGCAAAAATACAAGTCCTATGGAAAAAAGTTAAAAAGCAAAGTTGTAGGTAATAAAAAGATCTACAACTTTTGTATTTACAATTTTTTCACATAACCTCAAAATTTATGTGAAAAATTCAAATAACCAAGTTTTTGGTTTTTTATTTTTATCTTTTAAAAAAAAAAAAAATTTTTCCACGAAATTTGGTGAAAACTTACCTTTTTATGTCCCAAATACACTGTAATTTATTTGATTTGAAATATTTATTATTTCGCCTTATTTTGACTTAATATCAAAAAAGCACCCTAATTTTCAATCGAAAATTCTCGCGTCAAAATATCAGCTTTTTTCAAAAAGTCGGTGTGCTTTTTGTTCGATGAACTCTCTACTTTCTGATGGTGTAAAAAAAATATACATTACTATGGTAAATGTTCTCAGAAAATACAAAAAATATTATAATGAATAACGTAATCAGAATGAAGTATCTAAATTCAATAGTATGAATCATACTGTATGATTTACATGTATTTTTATATTTTATGAGATTTTCTGACATAAATGTTATTAGAATTTAATAAATAAACTTTTTAACAAAAAAAAATTGCAACAATCACATTTTTTTGATGAAATTGTACATAATGATTAAAATAAATTTTCGAATTCGAGTTTTTTTTCGTTTTTCATTATAATATTTTTTGCATTTTCTGAGAACATTTACCATAGTAATGTATATTTTTTTTACACCATCAGAAAGTAGAGATTTCAACGAACAAAAAGCACACCGACTTTTTGAAAAAAGCTGATATTTTGACGCGAGAATTTTCGATTGAAAATTAGGGTGTTTTTTTGATATTAAGTCAAAATAAGGTGAAATAATAAATATTTCAAATCAAATAAATTACAGTGTATTTGGGACATAAAAAGGCAAGTTTTCACCAAATTTCGTGGAAAAAATTTTTTTTTTGAAAAAGATAAAAATAAAAAACCAAAAACTTGGTTATTTGAATTTTTCACATAAATTTTGAGGTTATGTGAAAAAATTGTAAATAGAAAAGTTGTAGATCTTTTTATTACCTACAACTTTGCCATTTAACTTTTTTCCATAGGACTTGTATTTTTGCCGGAAATCGAGATAAACCATTTTTTACCCTTAAAACCCCCCCCCCCCCACTTCCCGAAGTCAGATCGCCCGTAATTTATTTTTTCTTTCTTTTTTATTATATTCTCCTTCTTTTCCAATGGGTTTCATCCTACTGTAATTTTTTTTCACTTTTTACCATTTTTAAAGGCTTCGGCACTGGTCTAAATGGATATTTTACAAAATTAGTCATTTTAAAATGTGTTTGATACTTTTAAAATTGTCTTTTTTACATTTTCAGTAATTTAACATCACAATATAAATTGTGGTTTTAACATGCTAAAATGTGTTTTTGGAAATTTTAAAATATAAACGAATGTCTCAACTAGGGTTGGGACAGTTGAAATTTTCAAATAAAAATTTCAACTTTGAAAGTTTCAAACTTCATTTAGTTGGAAAATTTTTAAAAATTTCAAATGAAATTTTCAATCCGAAAATTTCAACATTGCCTGTGAAACTTTCAGAAATTTCATTGAAAGTTTCGCAATTTACTGAAAATTTCGCATAAATTTCACATGCGGCCTCCCCTGGGACCTTTAATAATAATTTACAACAGATTCCGAATCGACCAATAAGAACGAGTTATCAAGCGTCTGGGCGTTTTTGTTTAGTTCGGCTTAGATTTGAATACACTATAAGTAACTATTGTTACTTATATGCATAAATTAATTTAAGTAATTTAATTCAGTTACCAATTTAATTTGTAAATTAAATCAGACTTTAAAATTTTTTTAAAAGTCATGATTAATTTAAACTTTTACTTTTGCTATAATTGCATCGGAAAACGCATAAAAAATGCCTTTGGCTCATAAAATTTTGATGAAGTTTCTTCAATTTTCGTAAAATTTCAGTAAAATATTAAAAAATAATAAATATTTATAAATATAAAACAATGAAAGTGGCACAATCTCACTAGCTTACCAAAAAGTGCTATATCTCTTTTAGTTTTAGTAATTTTAAAAATATTTTAAAAGGAAATCTCAAGAAATTTGTGGTAAACATAGGTATTTACTATTTATATTATTGGTGCAGGGGCCCACAGAGGGATAGGAGGTAAGAGAGGCAATTTGCCATGGTCCCCAAGTGGGCTTATTTCAATATTAATTAATATATTACACTTAATGTGATTGAAATTTACTGAAAATTTTAATAAATTTCATAAATTTCATGAAATTTCAGAAATTTAGGAAATTTTAATAAATTTCATAAATTTCAAGTGAAATTTCAAGTACAAGCAAAAAGTGAAATTTTCCCAACCCTAGTCTCAACACATTTTAAAATGTGTTTGAGACATTCTTAATTGTGTTTTGCTGTGTCTTGCCATTCTAAATTGTAGTTTTAACATGTTAAAATGGGTTTAGGATTATTTTACAATGTAAGATATTTTAAAATATGTTTTTTTTAGTTTCTAAATTGTGTTTGTTTGTCATAATTAAATTAGTTTATAAATTATGGTTTTAACATTCTGAATTGTGTTTTTTTGTCATAGTTGGGCAAGTTTTTAAATTGTGGTTTAAAATTATGTTCTAAAATGTGTTTTTGACATTCTTAATTGTTTTTGACCGTTTTAAATAAATTCTGACAATCTGAATTGTGTTTTTTGTCATAGTTAAACTAGTTTCTGAATTGTGGTTTTAACATTATAAAATTTGGCATTTTACAATGTGTTTTTGACATTCTAAATTGTTTTTTTGGCCGTTTTAAATAAGTTCTGACATTCTGAATTGTGTTTTTTGTCATAGTAAAAACTAGATTGTAAATTTTGGTTTTAACATTTTAAATTATGTTCTAAAATGGGTTTATGACATTCTTAATTGTTTTTAATAAGTTTTAACATTCTAAATTGTGTTTTTGTCACTATTAAACTAGTTTCTGAATTGTGGTTTTATCATTCTAAATTGTGTTTTTGGCATTTTACAATGTGTTTTTGACATTCAAAATTGTTTTTTGTCACAGTTAAATTTAAATTGTGGTTTTAACATTCTAAAATGTGTTATAGGCTTAAATGAATTTTGACATTCTAAATTGTGTTTTTTTTGTCGTAGTTAAACTGGTTTCTAAATTGTGTTTTTAAACATTCCAAAATTTGTTCTAAAATGTATTTTTGTCATTCCACAATGTGTTTTAGATACTTATTGTGTTTTTAACCTACTTAAATACGTCTTGACTATCTAAAATGTTTTTTTACATTCTTAAATGAATCTTCACATTCTAAAAGTATTTTTGACATTCTAAATTGTTTTTTGATCGTTTTAAATAATTTCTGACATTCTGAATTGTGATCTTTGTCATAGTTAAACTAGTTTCTAAATTGTGGTTTTAACATTCTAAAATGTGTTTTTGGCATTTCACAATGTTTTTTTGACATTCTAAATTGTTTTAAATAAGTTCTGACGTTCTGACATTCTGAATGCTAAATTTTGTTTTTTGTCATAGTTAAATTGTGTTTAAAACATTCTAAAATGTGTTTTTGACATTCTTGAATAAATTTTGACATTAAATTTTGTTTGAGACATTTAATATTGTGTTTTTGACCTTCTTAAATAAGTCTTGACCTTCTAAAATGTTTTTTTATACATTAAATAAAACTTCACATTCTAAATGTGTTTTAGGCATTCTAAATTGTGTTTTTCGTCAATGTTAAATTAGTCTTTAATTTTTTGAACAATTTGACGTAAATTACGAACTCGAGTATTTTTTCTAAAAAATACAGTAAATCTGTAATTTTTTAAATATCTAATATTATGTAAAAATTACGTAGTAAAAACTGGCAACAAAATATCCACAACCGGAATAAGTAATAGTTTTAACAGTGTTTCTTCTTACCTTTGGAGTTGATGCCGCCCATGTAGGGCGACCCCTGGCGGCCGTTGTTGACGCCGCAAGTAGGGCTGCGCACGCCGCTGCTCTCCCTGCGCGGGCTGCCGGTCGGGCTCTGCCCGTTCCACGAGAATATGTCCTGGCCCATGATGTCGTTCATGCCGTCGAAGCCGTCGGGGATGTCCTCCATGTCGAGGTCGGCCAGCAGGTCGGCGTCCAGCTCGGTGGTGGCGCACGTCTCCTGGAACGCGGCCTGCGACGACTGCGTCGTGGCGCTGGTCGGGAACACGAGGATGTGCGTGCAGCTGACGTCGTGCGGCGCGCTCAGCTGCGAGTTGACGGACACCTGGCTGAAGCGCTCGTCCGGCGTGAACTGGTCCGGCATCAGCCGAAGCGCCGTGTCCGGCTCCATACTCACCTTAACATTTCAAAAATATTACACTTAGTCTTCGAGGTTTTTGTTTAACAGCAAACCTATGTCTCTAACTTTAGACAAGCTACAAACACGTTTTTCTACTGTCTTTTATGAAGGCTATACATAATAAGGGCCCCAAAGCGGAGCCTTGTGAAACTCAATACAATAAATGCGTTTTAAGTCACAAAAAACGCAAAATGCATATTTTTAAAATGGGTCTAGACATTCTAAATGCGTTCTTGACATTCTTGACAAGCTAACCCAATACAAAAACACGTTTTTCTCCTATTCAAAACACATTTAAGCGTCTTTTAGGAAGGCTATACATAATAAGGGCCCCAAAGCGGAGCCTTGTGAAACTCAATACAATAAATGCGTTTTAAATCACAAAAAACGCAAAATGCATATTTTTAAAATGGGTCTAGACATTCTAAATGCGTTCTTGACATTCTTGACAAGCTAACCCAATACAAAAACACGTTTTTCTCCTATTCAAAACACATGTAAGCGTCTTTTAGGAAGGCTAAACATAATAAGGGACCCAAAGCGGAGCCTTGTGAAACTCAATACAATAAATGCGTTTTAAGTCACAAAAAACGCAAAATGCATATTTTTAAAATGGGTCTAGACATTCTAAATGCGTTCTTGACATTCTTGACAAGCTAACCCAATACAAAAACACGTTTTTCTCCTATTCAAAACACATGTAAGCGTCTTTTAGGAAGGCTATACATAATAAGGGCCCCAAAGCGGAGCCTTGTGAAACTCAATACAATAAATGCGTTTTAAGTCACAAAAAACGCAAAATGCATATTTTTAAAATGGGTCTAGACATTCTAAATGCGTTCTTGACATTCTTGACAAGCTAACCCAATAAAAAAACACGTTTTTCTCCTATTCAAAACACATGTAAGCGTCTTTTAGGAAGGCTATACATAATAAGGGCCCCAAAGCGGAGCCTTGTGAAACTCAATACAATAAATGCGTTTTAAGTCACAAAAAACGCAAAATGCATATTTTTAAAATGGGTCTAGACATTCTAAATGCGTTCTTGACATTCTTGACAAGCTAACCCAATACAAAAACACGTTTTTCTCCTATTCAAAACACATGTAAGCGTCTTTTATGAAGGATATACATAATAAGGGCCCCAAAGTGAAGCCTTGTGGAACTCAATACAATAAATGCGTTTTAAGTCACAAGAAACGCAAAATGCATATTTTTAAAATGGGTCTAGACATTCTAAATGCGTTCTTGACATTCTTGACAAGCTAACCCAATACAAAAACACGTTTTTCTACTATTCAAAACACATGTAAGCGTCTTTTATGAAGGATATACATAATAAGGGCCCCAAAGTGAAGCCTTGTGGAACAATACAATAAATGCGTTTTAAGTCACAAAAACGCAAAATGCATATTTTTAAAATGGGTCTAGACATTCTAAATGCGTTCTTGACATTCTTGACAAGCTAACCCAATACAAAAACACGTTTTTCTACTATTTAAAACACATCTAAGCGTCTTTTAGGAAGTCTATACATAATAAGGCCCCAAAGTGGAGCCTTGTGGAACTCAATACAATAAATGCGTTTTAAGTCACAAAAAACGCAAAATGCATATTTTTAAAATGGGTCTAGACATTCTAAATGCGTTCTTGACATTCTTGACAAGCTAACCCAATACAAAAACACCTTTTTCTCCTATTCAAAACACATTTAAGCGTCTTTTATGAAGAATATACATAATAAGGGCCCCAAAGTGGAGCCTTGTGGAACTCAATACAATAAATGCGTTTTAAGTCACAAAAAACTCAAAATGCATATTTTTAACACTTACGCCATCCCTGGCAAGATTCGTTATATTTTCTATAGTCATATTTTGACAAAAAAACAATTTAAACCCTAAGAAAAGATAAGTTTTTTAGTAAATTGTGACATAAATTGGGAAAAAATACTTTTTTTGTATATGATGAAGTGTTTTTAAGTATAAAAATGTAAATTTGTACATTTTTATCAAAAAATCACAAATTAAGTTTGATATTGTTAACCTAGGTTTGTTTTTATTAAGTTGGGCAAGACCGTCACAAATTATAAAGTCTGTTTGATTTGTAAAAAAACATTTTAAATTTTAGAAACCCAACCAACATTACAAAAAAAATACTATATAATTCCAAATTGTGTTTTTAACATTCTTAAATAAGTCCTGCCATTCCAAATTGTGTTTTGGCATTTTAAAATTTGTATGAGACATTGTAAATGTGTTTTTGACATTCTAAATTGTGTTTTTTATCATAGTTAAACTATTTTATAAACTGTGTTTTTAACATTGTAACTGTGTTTTAGCATTCTAAGGGCCGGTTTTTCAATCGTTGGTTAAAATTATCTTACGGTTAACTTTCTTAGATACTATTGTGTACAATAGTATCTAAGGAAATTAACCATAAAATAAACTTAAGCAACGATTGAAAAACCGGCCATAAAATGTGTTTTTGATATTTTAAATTGTACTTTTGTCATAGTTAAATTAGTTTCTAAATTTTGGTTCTAACATTCTAAAATGTGATTTTGGGATTTTAAAATATGTTTGAGACATTCTAAATTGTGTTTTTGACATTCTTAAATAAGACTCGACTTTCCAAAATGCGTTTGAGACATTCAATATTGTGTTTTTTACAATATTAAATAAGTCTAAACCTTCTAAAATGTGTTTTTGACATTCTTTAAATCAATCTGTCATTCTTAATGTGTTTTAGACATTCTAAATTGTGTTTTTGTCAATGTTAAATTATTCTTCAATTTCTTGAGTGATTTGACATTCTAAAATGTTTTTGAGACATTCTAAAATGTGCATTTGGCACTTTAAAATGTGTTTGAGACATTCTATATTGTGTTTCTGAACTACTTAAATACTTGACTTTTTAAATAAGTCTATTACAAAAAGTTAGTTAGTTAAGAATGTTGAGATAGTTTTAAATTGTACTTTTAATGTTCTTAAATGAATTTTTTACCTTTTTAAATAGGTCTTGGCATTCTAAATGCGTTCTTGATATTTTAAATTGTATATTTGACATTCTTAAATAAGTATTGACATTCTAAATTGTGTTTTTTTCAAAGTAAAATTAGGTTCTAAATTGGGGTTTTACCATTCTAAAATGTGTTTTTCACATTTTTAAAATTTAATATATGATAATTAATTATTTAATATTTAATAAGACTTGACATTCCAAAATGTGTTGGAGACATTCAGTATTGTGTTTTTTAACTCCTTAAATAAGTCTTTACCTTCTAAAATTTGTTTTTGCATTGTACATTGTGTTTGAGACATTCTAAATTGTGTTTTTTGTCATAATTAAATTACTCTTCAATTTCTTGAGTAATTTGACATTCTAAAATGTGTTTTCAAAACTTTTGAGACATTCTAAATGTGTTTTTTGTCATGGCTAAATTAGTTTCAAAATTGTGGTTTTTGCATTCCAAAATGTGTATTCTGTATTGTGTTTTTGACCTTCTTAAATTAGGTCTTGACAGTCTAAATTGTTTGGTTGACTTTTTTTTAAATAATTATATTACAAAAAACACAATTAAGAATGTCAAGATTGTTTTAAATTGTGGTTTTAAGATTCTTAAACAGGTATTGACATTCTAAATGCTTTATTGACTTTCTAAATTGTGTTTTTTGTTTAAAATTTGTTTTTGACATTCTTAAATAAGTCTTGACATTTTAATTTTTTTTTGTGATAGTTGAGGTAGTTTTAAATTGTGGTAAAAGGTGTTTTTGAGACATTCTATATTGTGTTTTTTACATTCTAAAATGTGTTTAATACATTTTAAATTGTGTTTTTGACACAACCTAAATAACTATTTAAATATACAAAGATACGTTTTAAACCGCAAAAAAAAACTTACCAAACAAGCGCTCAGTATGCAGGGCACGGAGTTCGGGTACATGATCGAACACTGGTTGCAAATCTCCTTCAGATTCTTCGACGCCTTGAGCAGGTTCTGCTTGCTCAGCAGCCAGCTCCAGCCCTTCAGCTCGCCGTGCCCGATGCGCCCCAGCCTGCCGACCACCAGCCGCCACGGGCGCACGCTCTGCGACATCACGCCCAAGATGAAGCCCATCAGCTTCTCGAGGCCGACGCGGCGCGCCGACGCCTTCCGCCGCCTGCTGCGGTTCGGGATGTCGACGTTGATCGTGATCGTCTCGAATATTTCGCCGCGCTCGTCGGTCGCGACGGCCAGCAGCCAGCTCTGGTCCTCCGAGAGGCAGTAGCTCAGGTAGAGCACGGCGGCCTGGTCCAAGGCGCCCTTGCCGAACGCCTCCACCGACTCGACCTTTTCGCGCATGGGCGCCAGGATGTACGGCGGCGTGTACAGCTTGAACGGAGCGCGATTTTTCTCCTAAAAGCGTTTCTTACCGTTATTTACAACATTTTACATCGGAATATTTTATTTTTGTTAAAAGTTTCAGCCGATAAAATAATTTTTAATCAGTTATTGTAAATTGATAACTGTTTCTTTTGTAGTTGATGTTTCTTGTTCCGACTCGACGTAAAATGGTTTTTCATCTCAAAAAAATTTATATAATTTTTGTAATTTAAACCATTAATTAAATTTTTGTTTACTAAAAAATTATATTAATATTATATATTTTTTCAATTAACTTAATTATATTTTTTAAAAAAGATTCATAAAAATAAAGTGTAGAAACTGAATAACTTGTAATTGTACTTACGTCTTTATTCTTTAAGAACAGGTCCGTCATGGCCGCCGTTCCGAAACCGGTGAGCGATTTAACGTTGTTCGTGTGCACTAGAAGTCGTCTGCATTGCGAGAAAATGTTGAGGGCCAATGCCCTCATGTGGTCGCTATGTTTCATATGGTCTCTGGATTTGTTTAGTTCCACTATGCTCTCCAATGAAATTATCTGCAGGAACAGTACGTTGTTAATAAAATGCAATCGATTTCCGTAAAAAATTTAAAATTTTCAGAAAAATTACTATGGCATTTTTTTCGTTTTATCCTTGGAATAAAATGAAAGAAATGCAATTTTTCTGAAAATTTCCGCCTGCTCAATTTTTCTTGATATCAGTGTACGAATATTATCAGTAAAAAATTGTAAATTTTGAAAAAAATTTACTCTGGCATTTTTTTCGTATATAAGATGAAAAAAATGCAAAAGTCAATTTTTCTGAAAATTTCTAATTTTTCACTTTTTTCTCGAATTAGTGAAAATATCGAAAAAATTAGTAAATTTTCAGAAAAATATACTTACTATGACATTTTTTTGTATTATTCTTTGAATAAAATGAAAAAAATGCAAGTCAATTATTCTGAAAATTTCCAATTTTTCACTTTTTTCTCGATATCAGTGTAAATATCGTAAAAATTTGTAAATTTTCGGAAAAATTTACTTTGGCATTTTTTTCGCATTATCATTTGAATAAAATAAATAATGCAAAAGTCAATTTTTCTGAAAATTTCCACTTTTTCACTTTTTTATCGATATCAGTGTACGGATATTATCGTAAAAAATTGTAAATTTTCAGAAAAATTTACTTTGGCATTTTTTTGTACTATTTTCTCGATATCAGTATACGGATATTATCGTAAAAATTTGTAAATTTTCAGAAAAATTTACTTTGGCATTTTTTTTGTATTATCCTTTGAATAAAATAAAAAAATGCAAAAGTCAATTTTTCTGAAAATTTCCAATTTTTCACTTTTTTCTCGATTTCAGTGTACGGATATTATTGTAAAGATTTGTAAATTTTCAGAAAAATTAACCTTGGCATTTTTTCGTATAATCTTGAGTAAAATAAAAATAATTCAATTTAACTGAAAATTTCCAAATTTTTCACTTTTTTCTCGATATCAGTGTAAATATTGTAAAGATTTGTAAATTTTTAGAAAAATTTACTTTGGCATTTTCTTTGTATTATTCTTTGAATAAGATGAAAAAATGCAAAAGTCAATTTTTCTAAAAATTTAAAATTTCTCACTTTTTTCTCGATATTAGTGTACGGATATTATAGTAAAAATGAGTAAATTTTAAGAAAAATTTACTTTGGCAGTTTTTTTTGTTTTATTATCCTTTGAATAAAATTAAAAAATGCAAAAGTCAATTTTTTTGAAAATGTCCAATTTTCCACTTTTTTCTCGAATAAGTGTACGAATATTATCGTAAAAATTTGTAATTTTCAAAAAAATTTACTTTGGCATTTATTTCGTATTATCCTTTGAATAAAATTAAAAAAATGCAAATTTCCAAATTTTCACTTTTTTCTCGATATCAGTGTACGGATATTATTATAAAAAATTGGAAATAAAAAAAAAATATTTTGTCATTTTTTTCTTATTATCCTTTGAATAAAATAAAAAAAATGCAAGTCAATTTTTTTGAAAATTTCCAATTTTTCACTTTTTTCTCGGATATTATCGTAAAAATTGTAAATTTTCAAAAAAAAAATATTTTGGAATTTTTTCTTATCCTTTGAATAAAATAAAGAATGCAAAAGTCAATTTTTTTGAAAATGTCCAATTTTTCACTTTTTTCTCGAATAAGTGTACGCATTATCCTTTGAATAAGATCAAAAACTGCAAAAGTCAATTTTTCTGAAAATTCCCAATTTTTCACTTTTTTCTCAATATCAGTGTATGGATATTATCGCAAAAATTTGCAATTTTTTAGAAAAATTTACTTTGGCATTTTTTTCGAATTGGAATAAAATGCAAAAGTGAATTTTTAGGCGCCTGCAACTTGAAATATTTTCATCAGAATGTATTAAACTCGAGCTCACATACCTGCACCGTGATATTGTTCCTGATGTTCTCGGGCAGCGCGGCCGCCAGCGACTGGTAGCACCTGAGCAGCGCCAGGCACGCCAGCCGCTGCAGCTCCGGCTGGTCGCTGCCGAACGTGAACGGCTCCACCAGGTACACCACGATAGAGGGCGCCTCGCGGTCCTCGTCGTCGTGCGCCGGCTCCGGCAGCCCGCCGCCGGCGGTCGGCGTGCCCGGATCCTTCTGCTCCTCCTGCTCGCCCTTGGGCGCGGCGGGCGGCCGCTCCGCCGCCTGCGCCGGGCCGCCGTCGGGCGTGCCGGGCGGCGGCATCGGGCTGGCCGTCGCCTTCTCGTCGCTCTCCTTCGGCGGGTCGAGCAGCGTCTTGTCCATCGGCACCTGCTGCAAGTGCGGCGCCAGGTGGTGCTTGCAAACCTTCGAAATTCATCGAAACGTCACTTTTTAATCCAACTGTGTAATTATTATTTAAATAATTGACTTTTAAAATGAATTGCTGCACACATGAACGTTTTACTATTTTATTGTTTCGACCTTTACTTGATGAAACTCCATGTCACTAATATATAACTGGATAAAAAACAAACACTGTTTTTGAGTTTCACGAATTTATTTAAATCTTATTTGACAATTGTTTCGCTAACACTGTAGCTCTTTCAGAAATTTCTAATAATATAAAATAAATATGTTAATTTAGTTTGTATATTTAATACCTTTTTAATTGAATTTTTTGCAATAAAAAATTATAATTTAAGATTTTTATCAAATTTAAAATTTTTCATGAAAAATTGTTTTTATTATCAAAACACCACAAAACTAAGTATGACAATATAAGAAATTTTATTAAAAAAGCGTTTTTTATTCAATTTTTGTCAAAATATTCTTGTATTGAAAAAAAACGTAAATTTAATTGAATTTTTTTGTATAAAAAAATTACTATTTAGGGCCTTAACTTAAGGTTATTATTAAAATTAACAATATTTATAAAAAAATAGTTTTTATCAACAAAAAATGTAAATTTAGTGTAAAATTTTGTATTGAAATTTTGTTTATCAAAAAATTACAGTTCAAGAAGGTCTTTATCAAAAAATTGTTTTTTTCTATCAAAACACCACAAAATTAAGTATGATACAATAGAAAAAGGAAAAATGAATGTTTTTATCAAATTTTATTAAAAAAGTATTTTTGTCCAACCAGTTTTTATTAAAATGTTAATTTAGTGTAAATTTAAAAAGGTCTTTATCAAAAAAGTGTTTTATCAAAATTGTTTTTTTATTTTCAAGCCTCAAAACAATAGAAACAGGTAAAATAACAATGTTTTTATCAAATTTTATTAAAAAAGTGTTTTTATTCAACCAATTTTAAAAGAAAAATATCATTTTTATCAAATTTTATCAAAATAGTGTTATATTGACAAAAATGAAAATGTAATATCTTTTTTTATCAATACACCGCTAAAAATTAATAATATTTTTTATCAAATTATATTAAAAAATTGTTTTTATCAAAAGTGTTTTATCAACACAAAATGTAAATTTAGTGTAAATTTAATACTCAAAAAATTACAATTTAATTTATAAAAAATTATTTTTAATTGTTTTTATCAAAACACCATGATAAAAAAGAAAAAGGAAAAATAACAATGTTTTATCAAATTTTATTAAAAAAGTGTTTTTATCCAACAAGTTTTTATTAATATAGTGTTTTATTGGCCAAAAAATGTAATTTTAATATTTTTTAATTGAATTATTTTGTATCAAAAAATTACAGTTGAAGGTTTTTAAGTTAAGAATTTTTATCAAAAACTGTAAATTTAGTATAAATTTCATATTTTTTATTCAAATTTTTTTTTTTATCAAAAAATTAAGGGTTTTTATCAAAAATTGTTTTTTAACAAAAAACTACCTACTAAAACCAAGTATAATACAATAGAAGAAGGAAAAATAATATTGTTTTTATCAAATTTTATTAAAAAAGTGTTATCAAAATAGTGTTTCAACAAAAAATGTAAATTTAGTTTAAATTAAAAAAAATTTAATTGCAATTTTAAAAAATTACAATGTAAAAAAATTATTATCAAAAATGTTTTAATTGAAATTTTTTCCAAAAAATTTAGTGTGTAAATTTAATATTTTTTAATAGAATTTTTTTATCAACAACTTAAGAAGGTTTTAATCAAAAATTAATTATTTATTAAAACACCATAAAACTAAGTATGATACCTACAATTGAAAAAGAAAAAATAATGTCAAATTTTATTAAAAAAGTGTTTCATTAATTCATTTAATGCTTTTCTCAAAATTAAGTATGTTTTGATCAAAATTACACACAAATTAAGTTTGATATAAGAAAGTAAATAATTTTGATAAAATTCTATATTTACCTGCGCGTAAAGCTTCAGCATGTCGCTAGTCTCGCCCTCGCCGAGGAGAGTGAACCACTCCTCGACCGGCTCGTTCCCGATCTTCGTCTTGGCCGTCTTCCCCACCCGCAAGATACCGTCCCGCAGCCCCCTCGTTATCGGACTGTGCCTGCCCAACTTGCACATCTCGTACGCAGTCGACAGCTCCTTGAAGAAAGTCCGCACGCGCGGCAAGATCGCCTCATTATCCGGCGCCACCACCACGTAAGCCACGTCTCTAGCGTAAGAATACGGCTCGAGGAGGAGAGTCTCCCAGTGTTGGAGCGCGTAGGGGGAGAGAGATAACCAGTCTTTATCGTGGCCCACTATGACCGAGGGTATGGGCTGCGGCTCGCAGCGGTCCTCCGTCCCTCTACCGGCCAAGCGGTGGAACTGCCGCCACGTCAGAGGCCCTTTAACGGTGGAAGGGGCCTCCCACAACCGAGTCTGGCATTTTTTCTGTATCGCCTCTTGTAGCAGCGGCTGCAGCGCCTTCATCACGCGCACCACGTCCTGGCTGCACTGCGGGCCAGAGGCGCGCAGAAACGGCCACTTGTGCACGCCCCCGCCGCGGTGCGACTTCTTGTGCTGCCCGTCCTCGATTCTACTCCTGCTCTGGTCCAGCGCTATGGACGTCACCTCGTTGCCGTCGTTGAACTCCAGGACGTTGAAGCCTTTGCTGCCGTTGTTGGAGTTGTGCGTGCGCTTCATGCGCAGAAACCGCGCGGCTCGACTCAAAGAGTTGGCCGAGTTCGGGATTATGACGCACTGCTCGCGCACCAGCTCGAGTAGGCTGTGCGGGATCGCGTCCAGCTGCTCTCGATCCAAATTGGCGTCCATCTTGATCGAGTTGTTGTTTATCAGGAAGGTCAGCAGCGACGGTTTCTTTTTCTCGCCCGGGTCTTCGGCTATACCTACAAAGCGAGTTGTTAAGTTTGTAAAAATAACAGATTTATGTATATCTGGGATAGTCTTTTTGGATTGTCATTTCATAGTTATTCACTTTTAAAATTAACTTTTAAAGGCGAATACTGCAAAATATTACATTTTCCACACACATGAACGTTTTACTAGTTATGTAATTCACTGAAAAACTGCCTGAGTAGTGTGGACTATTAACAAACATTAATTAATGTTTTTAAATTATGTAAGTATACTTTTACATACAATTGAATTTTTTTACCAAAAATAAAATTAAATTAAAACAATAATAATTTGTAGTATACTCAAAAAGCTCTATTTTTTAAAGAAACGAATGTATTTTGTTAAAAAATATTACGTAGCATTGTGTTTTTTCGATTTAGCAAGACTATTTCATGAGTAACAGTTATTCTGCATACACATAGCTTACAAAACAAACTACCTATTATACATGCATACATAATAAATATGTAGGTATTAATTGGAAAACTGAAAAATAGGTAATTTATTTAATCACAAAATACTACAAACTTAATAATTTATGGTAGGTACAATTAAAATATAAATTGCAATTTTTGGTGACAGCTGTCAAGTTTTACCGCGGGTAAACTCGAAGAACTGCTGACAGGTGCTATCATACAGATTTTCCACCTAGAAACCATTTGTAATTCAAAATTGCGCGTTTGTGTTTCTTGGAAATTAAGACGAGGGAAATAGTCACTAAAAATTTCAGGGAATTTGCAGAAAAGGTAAAAGGGTCTATATTATAATAATAAAAAAAATAAAAATGAAGATCACTTTGAATAATTTTAAAATTATAAAATTATATTATATTATAAAAAGAACAATTTTAAACCATAAAAACACCACAAAAAATATGAAAAAGAAAAAATAATGTTTTTATCAAATTTTATCAAAAAATTGTTTTTATCACTAAAAATTTGAGAGAATTTGCAGAAAATGTCAGTTTCCATATTATAACAAAAAAAGAAAAAAATTAAAAATTAGAGAAACTTTAAATTTTTTTTTCGAAAATTAAAGTAAAACTAAGTATGATACAACAGAAAAAGAAAAAATGTTTTCAACAAATTTTATCACTGAAAGTTTCAGAGAATTTGCAGAAAATGTCAAAGTTTCTATATTATAATAAAAAAAGAAAAAAATTAAAATGAGAAATTTTCGTTTTTTCAGAAAATTAAAAAAAAACGTTGAAGATCATTCTGAATAAAAAAAAGAAAAAAATACAAATGAGAGAAACTTAATTTTTTTTTTAATTGATTTTTTTATCAAAAAATCACAATTCAATAAGTATAGAAAAAGAAAAAATGTTTTTGTCAAATTTTATAAAAGTGTTTTTATCACTAAAGTTTCTATTGAATATTTTTTTAAAAAGTACATAATATGTAAATTATATTATATTATCAAAAAAACAATTTTGAAAAAAAAACCACCACAAAACCAAGTATGAAAAAGAAAAAAAATGTTTTTATCAAATTTGATCAAAAAAGTGTTTTTATCGCTGAAAATTTCAGAGAATTTGCAGAAAATGTCAAAGTTTCTATATTATAATAAAAAAAAGTTAAAATTAAGAATGACAACTTTTGTTTTTTTCGGAAATTAAAAAAAAGATCGCTCTAAATAATTTTTTTTATATTTTTCTAAAAATTAAATAATTTGTACTTTTCAGAAAAATATTTAAAAAAACTATAGGTATAAAAAGAACAATTTCAAAAAAGTCAAAATGTTAGTATAGCCTGCCAAACAAGACATTTTATCGCGTTATTTCTTTCATAGTAAAGCATTTTTTTTAATCATAAAATTTCCTACCTGTAATCTCCATCTCGTCCTCGTAGAACAACCCGCTGCCGTGCGCCAGCTGCCTGTTAACGACGGCGGAAAACCCGCAAGTGCACCTGATGGAATCCTCCTCCCCCATCCCTCCCAGGTGGTGCTGCGGCGACATCATCCCCCCGTACTGCCCGTGCTGCTGCTGCTGCTGCTGGAACGGGCTGTGACTATTAGGCAACGCGGCCGCGTGGTGCTTGTCGGCGCTGGAGTTCAACAGGTAAACCCCCGCATCCGCCCCGCGAATGTTCCCCACCACCTTCCCCGCCGCGTTGCACACGCACAGCGTGCAGCTGTCGAAGTTGTGATCGCGGAAGATGTTGAACGCCGTGTCCGTCAAGAGGATGTTGAGCACCAATGAACTCGCCTCGGGAGTCTTCTGCGCTGAAACAGCCGGCGTTGGCTCTACAGAATTGAGGTTCTTGTTCAAGTAGGAGGAGGTTGTGGAAGTAGCGGGGGACGGCTGCTCGTACGGCGGCGGCGGCAGCCTGAACCCGCAATGTGGAGACTGCGGGAAGTGGTGCGCAGAAGCGGGCTGCGCGGGGTTTAACTGCTGCGCGGCCGCCGGCAGAGCCGGCGGCTGGTTCTGCGCGGCGGCGGCCGCTTTCTCGATGTGCTGCGTCATCCACGACGGCTTGTAGACGCAGTGCGTCGGCAGGGCGACCGCCGGCAGGCTTTGGCTCGGCAGGTTCGTCAGAGGAGCGTACTTGCTCGAACCCACCATCTTGCACATGAGAGGTGCCTTGAAAACGAAGCTCCAATCTTCTGCAAACGAATTATTCGTAAGAAGATTGCAAAATACAAACAATTATTTAAACTATGTACATGATAATTGTCATTTTATTGCTATTCACTCTTAAAATTGACTTATATAAGTGAATAATAACTGCAAAATATTACATTTTCCACACACATGAACGTTTTACTAGTTATGTAATTCACTGAAAAACTGCCTGAGTAGTGTGGGCTATTAACAATCATTAATTTAAAACTGCACCAAACTGTTTAAAATTGATTTTAAACGACGTCAGATTTATTAAAACTGTTTAGAATGTACTAAAAGGGTTAAAGTAATAAAGAAGTGTTAAAAACTGTCTTAAAATTGTAAAACTATTTCTAAAATGCCCTAAAAAGTCCTAATACTGCCTTAATACTTTCAAAATGACCAAAAACTCTTAATTTAAGAATTTATGATGGAATGATATAAAAATGTCCTAAAAGTGTCTTCTTATGTTTTAATAAAAAGAACAAGCAATACTTTTATCAAAACTAAAAATAAGCATGTTTTCATGCAACTGTTAAAATTGTTTTTGAACGACGTAAAATTTTTTAAAACTGTTTTAAAATGTCCTAAAATGTTATAGGTATTAAAAAGTGTCTTAATACTGGAGAAAAACTACCCAAAACATTTTAACTGTCTAAACTGTAAAACTATCTTTAAAATGACCTAAAACTGTTAATTTAAAAACCCCCTTAATACTAAAGAAAAACTGTCCAATACATTTTAACCGTCTAAACTGTCTTAGAGATGTAAAACTATCTTTAAAATGTCCTATAAAAAAATTTAGAAATTTATAATGTTTATAAAATGTCCCAAAAATTGTCTTAATATGTTTTTATACAAAAAACAAGCAGTTTTCATGGAACTATTTAAAACTGTTTTTAAATGACGTCAAATTTCTTAAAACTGTTTAAAATGTCCTAAAAGGGTATAAAAAGTATGAAAAACTGTCTTAAAACTGTAAAACTCCTAATTTAGGAATTTATGATGAAATGTTATAAAAATGTCTTAAAAATTATCTTATTATGGTTTTTATAAAAAAAACAAGCAATACTTTTATAAAAACTAAAAATAAGCATGTTTCCATGCAACAGATTAAAACTGTTTTTGTCCTAAACGGGTATAAAAAGTATTAAAAAGTGTCTTAATACTGGAGAAAAACTGTCCAAAACTGCAAAACTATCTTCAAAACGTTAAAAAAAATCCCAATACTGCCTCAATACTTTCAAAATGAACTGAAACTCTTACTTTATGAATTTATGATAAAATGGTATACAAAAGTCCTAAAAATTGTCTTATTATTTTTTATAAAAAAAACAAGCAATACTTTTATCAAAAATAAAAATAAGCATGTTTTCATGCAAATTTTTTAAACTTTTTTTGAATAACGGCAGATTTGTTAAAACTGTTTAAAATGTCCTAAAATTGTATAAAAGTATTAAAAACTGTAAAACTATCTTTAAAATACCTTAAAAAAGTCACAATACTGCCTCATTACTTTCAAAATGAAATAACTCTTACTTTAAGAATTTATGATAACATGGTATACAAAAGTCCTAAAAATTGTCTTAATATTTTTTATAAAAAGAACAAGCAATACTTTTATCAAAATTAAAAATAAGCATTTTTTCATGCAAATTTTTTAAACTCTTTTTGAATAACGGCAGATTTGTTAAAACTGTTTAAAATGTCATAAAATTGTATAAAAGTATTAAAAACTGTAAAACTTTCTTTAAAATGCCTTAAAAAAGTCACAATACTGCCTCAATACTTTCAAAATGAAATAAAATGGTATACAAAAGTCCTAAAAATTGTCTTATTATTTTTTATAAAAAGAACAAGCAATACTTTTATCCAAATTAAAAATAAGCATGTTTTTATGCAAATGTTTAAAACTGTTTTAGAACGACGTCAAATGGTATAAAAGTATTAAAAACTGTCTTAAAACTGTAAAAGTATCTTTAAAATGCCTATGCCTTAAAAAAGTCCCAATACTGATAAAATGGTAAATGTCCTAAAAATTGTCTTATTATGTTTTTATAAAAAGAACAAGGAATACTTTAAAATGTCCTGAAATGGTATAAAAAGTATTAAAACCTATCCTAAAACTGTAGAAAAAACACTTTAACCACAACAAAAGCAAAAAACTCTTACCGATGTTCTCCTCCTGCGGACTGCCCATGTTCGGGTAGATCTCCTGCTTGATCTTGACGATGCCGAGCTCGCTCTCGAAGCTGGGCATCATCAGGTCGGTCTGGCCGCACGGCGAGGCTATCGGGTTGTGCTCCAGGCTGGGCGGCGTCGGGAACATCTTGCTCAGCTCTTCGGCGCGCACGATGCCCATGTTCTGGCCGTAACCGGAGGACAGCCGCTTGCTCTCGTGCTCGTGCACGCTGGCAGGCGTCGACCCCGGCGGCGTCTGCGTCTGCATCTGCAAGTCGAAAAGTCGCGTCGTAAGATTCACGGATAAAATCGCGCATCAGAAGTGGGACGATTGTTACGAAAAATATAAAACTGTTTAAAACTGTTATGGAGCGACGTCAGATTTATTAAAACTGTTTTAAAATGTCCTAAAGTGGTGTAAAAAGTATTAAAAACACTCTTAAAACCAAAAAAAAACTGTCCAAAATATTGTAACTCTCTTAAACTGTAAAACTATATTTAAGATGTCTTTAAAAAAGTCCCAATACTACAATACTTTTAAAATGACATAAAAAATATTAAAAACTTTATTAATAATAAAGAAAAACTTTCCAAAACATTGTAACTATCTTATAACTGTAAAACTATGTTTAAAATGCTTTAAAAAAGTCCCAATACTACCTCAATACTTTTAAAATGGTATTAAAAACTTTATTAGTAATGAAGAAGAACTGTCCAAAACATAGTAATTGTCATAACTGTAAAACTATCTTTAAAATGCTTTAAAAAAAGTCCCAATACTACCTCAATACTTTTAAAATGTTATAAAAGTATTAAAAACTCTCTTAATACCAAAAAAATTTTCCTAAAAACCATCTTGGTTTTATACAAAAAACAAGCAATACTTTTATCCAAACTAAAAACAAGCATGTTTTTATGTACCTAACTGTTTTTAAAAGGCATCAAATTTATTAAGACTGTTTAAAAAGTCTTAAAAGGGTATAAAAAGTATTAAAAACTATCTTAAGATTCCCGAAAAAACGTTTTCACGGATAAAATCGCGCATCAGAAGTGGGATAATTGTTACGAAAAATATAAAACCGTTTTGGAGCGACGTCAGATTTATTAAAACTGTTTTAAAATGTTCTAAAGTGGTGTAAAAAGTATTAAAAACACTCTCATCACTAAAGAAAAATTGTTCAAAACATTTTAACCTTCTAAACTGTCTTAGAGATGTAAAACTATCTTTAAAATGCCTTAAAAAAGTCCCAACACTGCCTTAATACTTTCCAAATGGTGTAAAACTTAATTAAAGAATTTATGATGAAATGGTATACAAATATCCTAAAAATTGTCTTATTATTTTTTTATAAAAAGAACAAACAATACTTTAAGATTTCTTAAAACTGTAAAACTATCTTTAAAATGCATTAAAAAAGTCCTAACTGCCTCAAAATGACCTAAAACTTTTACTTAAAATAATATAAAAATTTCCTAAAAACCATCTTAGTATGTCTTTATACAAAAAACAAGCAATACTTTTATCAAAACTAAAAATAGGCATGGTTTTTGAATGATGTCAGATTTTTTAAAACTGTTTAAAATGTCCTAATATGGTATAAAAAGTATTAAGAACTCTCTTAATACTGAAGAAAAACTGTCCAAAACATTGTAACTGTCTTATAACTGTAAAACTAAAATGCCTTAAAAAAGTACCAATACTTTTAAAATGGTACAAAAAGTATTAAAAACTCTATTAATACTGAAGAAAAACTGTCCAAACTTATAACTGTAAAACTTTCTATAAAATGACTTAAAAAATCCCAATACTACCTCAATACTTTTAAATGGTATAAAAAGTATTAAAAACTCTCTTAATACCAAAAAAAAACTGTCCAAAATATTGTAACTCTTTTAAACTGTAAAACTATATTTAAAATGTCTTAAAAAAGTCCCAATATTACCTCAATACTTTTAAAATGGTATAAAAAGTATTAAAAACTTTATTAGTACTGAAGAAGAACTGTCCAAAACATTGTAACTGTCTTATAACGGTAAAACTATATTTAAAATGTTTTAAAAAGTCCCAATACTACCTCAATACTTTTAAAATGGTATAAAAAGTATTAAAAACTTTATTAGTACTGAAGAAGAACTGTCCAAAACATTGTAACTCTCTTATAAGTAACTGTAAAACTATCTTTAAAATGCCTTAAAGAAGTCCCAATACTACTTCAATAGTTTTGGTATAAAGAGTATTAAAAACTGTTTTAATACTGAAGAAAAACTGTCCAAAACATTGTAACTGTCTTATAACGGTAAAACTATATTTAAAATGCCTTAATAAGTCCCAATACTACCTAAAATGGTATAAAAAGTATTAAAAAATTTATTAGTACTGAAGAAGAACTGTCCAAAACATTGTAACTCTCTTATAAGTAACTAAAGAGTCCCAATACTACCTCAATACTTTTGGTATAAAGAGTATTAAAAACTGTTTTAATACTGAAGAAAAACTGTCCAAAACATTGCAACTGTCTTATAACGGTAAAACTATATTTAAAATGCCTTAAAAAGTCCCAATACTACCTCAATACTTTTAAAATGGTATAAAAAGTATTAAAAACTCCTCGAAAAACTCTCTTATTACCAAAAAAACTGTCCAAAATATTGTAACTCTCTTAAACTGTAAAACTATCTTTAAAATGTCTTAAAAAAGTCCCAATAGTACAATACTTTTAAAATGACATAAAAAGTATTAAAAACTTTATTAATAATAAAGAAAAACTTTCCAAAACTGTCTTATAACTGTAAAACTATCTTTAAAATGCCTCAAAAAGTCCCAATACTACCTCAATACTTTTAAAATGGTATAAAAAGTATTAAAAACTTTATTAGTACTGAAGAAAACTGTCCAAAACATAGTAATTGTCATAACTGTAAAACTATCTTTAAAATGTTTTAAAAAAAGTCCCAATGCTTTTAAAATGTTATAAAAGTATTAAAAACTTTTAGTACTGAAGAAAAACTGTCCAAAACATTGTAACTGTCTTATAACTATAAAATGCTTTAAACGGATAAAATTGCGCATCAGAAGTGGGACGATTGTTACGAGCGGGGCAAAAATCGTCTCTAGCCAAGGTTTTCGTTTTTAAAAATAAAGGGGGGATCGACTCTTACAGCCTCGTCGCTGCTGGTGTCGTCTGAGTTGTCGAAAATCTGGTCGAGGTCCTTGTAGGAGGGCTGCAGGCCCTCGCTGGTCAGCAGGTTCTCCGCGTTAATTTTTTTGTCCTTGGGCGGCTCCTCCTTGACGGGCTGCTGGCCGCGCTTGAAGCCGTCCATGTTGCAGTTGGCGCCTCCCCCCTCCTCCTCGAACTCGTACGGGTCGCCGGGCCGTTTCACCCCGTGCGGATGCGCGAGCGAAGCCATCGAGTCGGCCTCCATCTGAAGGAGAAAACAATGTCTAAAGTCCATTCGAATCCAAGCTGGACTATATGTAAACACAATCCTCCAAATAGACCAATAATAAATCGCAATCCCAGTCACATGACCAGAATCGACCAATAAGAACGAGTTATCATGCGTCTGGGCGTGTTTGTTTAGTCCAGCTTGGATTTGAATAGACTTTATACATATTATCTCCCCGCATCGAACGAAAACCTCTAAACTCTAGAGACGATTTTATGCCCTGTTCGTAATAATATGCAAAATTGCCGAGCTGAAACGTGGAACAGATGTACAACTTTATTTATGTCACAAAAACGTTTTAACTGTTACCATTGGTGTCTCATATTGGTGGGCAACTTTACGCACCTAAAATAAAACAGAATGAATATCGAAGCTATTTTGCATGGGCATAAAATCGTCTTCAGAAGTTGGTTTTGCTTGCCAGAAGATGTCATAAATTTTAACCATCAAATTTATTTATTATAGTAATTTAAGTTAAATGAGCAATAATCACGTTATTTTATAGAACAATTCTGCAACTTTCAGTGAAGTTCAAAAAATGCAATATTTTAATTTTGTCGTCATTTTTTTTACTAGTTTAAAAACAATTTTCAGGGCTCCCACGGCTAAATTATCAAATTCTATTTAGTTTGTTTTTTTTTGGAGAATTTAACGAGAAATAAAGTATGCAATTGAATTTCTGTAATTAAATAAAAAATTAATTCTTTTAACAAAAATATTAATAAACATCACTTTTTTTGTACAAATACGTTCTATCCTCCGTGAATCTGTTTTTGCTTTAAATTGTATGCAACGGATGGCGCTTTAATCATTTTAAATAAGCAAAAACCTCGTTTGCGACATTATAGATGCATGTGATTCCTGAAGGTCAGTTAGAATTTAAATACAGATGAAAGTGTTGCTGTTTTAGAATTCAAAAGTTTAAGTTCATTAATTTGCTATTTAAAATCCTATCCACCGTGAAGTGTAATATCTCAGTAAGTAGATTTTTTTATAAATATTTTATGTATGTACAATTGTATTTTTTAAAAATCCTAATCTCGTGAAGCTCTAATATTCAAAATGTATGATTTTTTAAAATTCTTTCATTAGTGTAGAACCACTTATGTTATATTTTAGTAAAACCAGATGTATTTTTTGATTAAACATAGTTTATTAATTATTTATTATTAAAAATTAATTAATTAATTTAAGTTATTTGGTTATATTTATTAGACTGGGCCAAAAAAATCAACAATTTTTTTTTTTAAGTATATCGAAAATATGGTTTGGGGTGACAAAAAAAATTATTGGGAAAGTTTGAGTCCATAATATTGATATTAAGAGGTCTATCATCGCAATTTTAATTTTTTTTCCTCAGCAAGTTTTTGTCTCAGAACTCCCAAACCATTCTTCAAAAAATATTCCCAAGTCAATTTTGTTAAACTCAATGGTTTGGGAGTTCTGAGACAAAAAGTCGCTGAGGAAAAAAAAATCTAAAATTGCGATGATAGACCTCCTAACACATTGCGTGCCACGTGTATATTTGGAAAGTATCCTATATTAATAAACCTAAAACCATGATGTCTCATATAAATCATCGAAAAAAAATAGTAATTTTCCGAATTTGCTCGAACCAAATATACCAAAATGTTCGTGGCAGGCCACAAATTAATAACCCATAAGATAAAGCGTGTAGCGTCTGGCATATCTGCATGACGCGGCCTGGTAGTGAATATTGTGTCTTGCATATGACAGACGTGGCACGCAATGTGTTAATATTAATATTTCACCATTTTTTTTGTCACCCCAAACAAAATTAAAAAAAAAAATAGTCGATTTAAAAAAAAAAAATTAAACTTACATCCAAGTTTTCCAGTTTGATTTCTTGCTTTATTTGCACGTTTTTCAGGTCGTTGTTGTTGTTGGAAGCCCCGCCGCCGCTGTACAAGGAGTAAAGGTCGGTTTTCACCGAGCGACTCCGCGCGCCGTCCGCCCCGTCCGGTTTGAACCGCTTGACGGGGTGATTCAGCCACGCTATCAGCGTCGAGTAGTCGTAGAGCATCTCCAACGTCTCCTCCTCCTCGCCCAGCGCCGCCTCGTACTCCTTGCTGCTCAGGATGGGCCGCTTCAGTGCCGGGGCGCCGGCGCCGCTCGCCTGCGACTCGCCCTTGCAGTCGGCCGGGCTGTTAAGGCGGCTCTCCACGCTTTTGGGCGGCTCGTCGGGCGTGCGGGTCTTCTCGGCGGTGAGCGGCGGGTGGGGGGACAGGGTGGGCATGGTGGGGTCGCCGGGCGGGACAGAGGCCGGCTGGGAGCTCGGGTTGGGCAGGGGCGAGGGGGCAACCGAGGGCGGGCTGCCCACCGAAGGTATCGCGGTGGATTCCTGCGTGCGAGGGTACGACGGAGGGCCCCCTTGCGGCGTGTAAGAGCCCGGACACCTAAAAACGGAAAAAATCAAATAAGAATTCCAACCAAATTACCTCAAGAATGTGTGCAACATTTAGGTTGATTTCAAGAATATTATTGATGATGTTACATAATAAAACACAATCATACCATCACCATGTCAAATTATTATATGGTTTAATGCACCTCAAACACCACGTTAGCTTTTTTTAGTAACAAACCAAAGAGGGTAGAGGGTTTTGTTTTAATTAAGATAATTGTTAAAAATAATATTTTTGTGTGTACCTGTAAGAAAATTATAATCCATATAATGATAATTAATCAAAAATGTTTTTGACACTCTTAATTGGATGTTTGGCATTCTAAAATAAATCTAGACATTTTTACAAATATGTTTAATCATTCTAAAAAAAATATTTTTGACACTCTAAAGTTAGTGTTTGTGATTCGACATTTTTAAATTTTACAGTCTAAATTGTGTGAGATTCTGAAATTTTAGGTTAATTTTGACATTCTTAAATTGGTTTTTGACATTCTAAAATAAGTCTCAACATTTCCCAACATGTTTGACATTGCAAAATGTCTTTTTGACACTCTCAATTGAATACGTCAATGCAGAAACTGAATATGTCCTACCTATCTAGTTTTGAGATAAATAAGAAAAACTGAACAGAAAGTGGACATATGTTCTGGACATATTCAGTTTCTCTACTATATTAACGCCTTTGTATATTCTAGATTACCGTGACATGTGAAATTTCTACGCCATTCGATCGGGCTCCCTTTACTTATAGTAAATCCATGTTTAACTCAATAGCCCTAAAAAGTGGACATATTCAGTTTCTGCATTGACCTATTCAATTGTGTGGAAATTTTGAGATTATTATGATTTTGACTTTATAAAATTGGGTTTTGACATTCTATATGTTTGGAATTGTAAAATGTGTTTTAACATTTAAAAATGTTTTTGACATTCCAAAATGTGTTTTTGACACTCTTAATTGAGTGTTAACTTAACACTGTTAAGGTAATTTTGAGAATCTTATGATTTTGGTTTTGGACATCCTAAAACTGTTTTTGACATTCTAAAATAAGTCTCGACATTTTCCAATATTTTTGGTTTTCCAAAATGTGTTAATTTTGAGATTCTTTTGACTTTCTAAAATTGGTTTTTGACATTCTAAAATCTGTTTTTGAAATTCTAAAACAAGTCTTTATTACATTTCAAAAGTGTATTTGACGTTCTTAAGATAACTTTGGAAGTATTATGATTTTGACACTCTAAAATTGGTTTTAACATTTAAAAAATGTTTTTGACATTCCAAAATGTGTTTTTGACACTATTAATTGTGTGTTAAGGTAATTTTGAGATTATTACGATTTTGACTTTTTAAAACCTGTTCTTGACATTCTAAAATAAGTCTCGACATTTCCCAATGTTTGACATTGTAAAATGTGTTTTATTACACTTAAACATTAATTTTTTTGACATTCCAAAATGTGTTTTTGTTTTTACGTGTTAAGGTAATTTTGACATTCTTAAATCTGTTTTTGCCATTCAAAAATAATTCCCGACATTTTCCAATATTTTTCGTAGTGTAAAGTATGTTTTAACATTTAAAACGTGTTTTTGGTTTTCTAAAATGTGATTTTGACACTCTTTGTCGTGTGTTAATTTTGAGATTTTTATAATTTTGACTTTTTAAAATTGGTTTTTGACATTCTAACAATTAAAAAATGTTTTTGGCTTTGCAAAATGTGTTTTTGACACTCTTAACTGTTTATTATTATGAGATTATTATGATTTTGGCTTTCATTCTTTTAATTCTTATAATTTTGACTGTCTAAAATTGGTTTTTGACATTCTAAAATCTGTTTTCGACATTGTAAAATAAGTCTCGACATTTCCCAATACGTAGGGCATTGTAAAATGTGTTTTAACACTTAAATAATGTTTTTGACATTCCAAAATGTGTTTTTGACACTCTAAAATAAGTCTACACATTTCCCAATATGTTTGGAATTGTAAAATATGTTCAACATTTAAAAAATGTTTTTAACACTCTTAATTGTTTGGTAATTTTGAGATTCTTTTGATTTTGGCATTCTAAAATTGGTTTTTAACAGTCCAAAATCTGTCTTTGACAATTTAAAATAAGTCTTGACATTTCCCAATATGTTTGGCATTGTAAAATGTGTTTTAACATTACAAAAAATGTTTTTGACATTCCAAAAGTGTTTTTGACACTTTAAAATAAGTCTAGACATTTCCCAATATGTTTGGCATTGTAAAATGTGTTTTAACATTAAAAAAATGTCTTGACATTCCAAAGTGTATTTTTGGCAGTCTTATGTATTTAAGTAAAATGTTATGATTTTGACATTCTAAAATAGGCCTAGACATTTCAAAATATGTTTAGCATTGTAAAATGTATTTTGACACTTTTAATTGTGTAATTTTGGGATTCTTATGATTTTGATTTTTTAAAATTTGTTTTTGACATTCTAAAATATGTTTTTGACATTCTAAACTAGGTCTAGACAATTCAAAATATGTTTTGGCACTCTTAATTATGTGTCTTATGATTTCGACTTTTTAAAATTTGTTTTTGACATTCTAAAGTAAGTTTCAAAATTTAACCTAACGAATAATTTAAAAAATTAGTCTATCAATGAAAGGTACACATAAAAAACTTTTACACAGTTGCCTTAACCCAAACAAAACACTTTGACAGTAAGTAATAATAATTAATATTGTTATCAAAAGCCCGCCACCCTTTATTTTAATGATAAATTAATTGTTTTTTTGTTGTTGAAGCGTTTGGTGGTGACCAACCTGTCGGGTGTGCCGGGTGGTGGGGCGTTGGCGGTGATAGAGGGGGGCGGCGGCTGCTGCTGCGAGGGCGGCGCGCGCCTGTGAAAGGGAACGCGCCCGCCTCCGCCAGCCGCCGCCGCTCGGCCGCTGCCCTTGCCGCCGCCGCCGTCCGAGCGCCACCTACTACTGCTAGCGGCCCCTGCCGACTGCTTTCTACACCTGGAAACACGACACTTGCGGTGTAGTCGCCTGTATACGTGCACTAGGTTCATCTAGGACTTTTTTGCATGTTTTTATCGACTTTTCTTACAAAAGGCACTAATAAAACTCATGCAACATTATATATATACCTAATATAAACTAATTTTCAACACTTTTGAAATTTTGCCAACTTTGAGCATGGTACAAGAAAACAAGGCATTTTCTTAAGCACCCAGTCACGATAATTTAATCTAAACATCGAATAATTTCAAATATGTTTTTGACATTTTAAAAATATTTTTGACATTCCAAAAGTGTTTTTGACACTCTTAATTGTGTGTTAAGGTAACTTATGATTTTGCCTTCCTAAAATCTTTTTTTGACATTCTAAAATAAGCCTTGACATTTTAAGGTAAATTTGTAAATTTTTGGCTTTGTAAAATGTTTTTGACATTCCGAAATGTGTTTTTGACACTTTTAATTGTGTGTTAAAGTAATTTTGAGATTCTTATAATTTTGACTGTCTAAAATATGTTTTTGACATTTTAAAAATGTTTTTAACATTCCAAAAGTGTTTTTGACACTCTTAATTGTGTTTTAATGTAACTTATGATTTTGACTTCCTAAAATCTTTTTTTGACATTCTAAAATAAGCCTTGACATTTTAAGGTAAATTTGTTAATTTTTGGCTTTGTAAAATGTGTTTTAACATTTAAAACATGTTTTTGACATTCCGAAATGTGTTTTTGATACTTTTAATTGTGTGTTAAAGTAATTTTGAGATTCTTATAATTTTGACTGTCTAAAATTGGTTTTTGAAATTCTAAAATATGTTTTTGACATTCTTGACACTCTTAATTGTGTGTTAAGGTAACTTTGGGATTCTTATGATTTTGACTTCCTAAAATCTTTTTTCGACATTCTAAAATAAGCCTTGACATTTTAAGGTAAATTTGTAAATTTTTGGCTTTGTAAAATGTTTTTGACATTCCGAAATGTGTTTTTGACACTCTTAATTGTGTGTTAAAGTAATACCCGTTTGCACCAACATATGGCTTAATCAAGATTAACTAATCTCAATTAAATTATAACCGTGATTAAATTTACCTTGGTTTGCACCATCCAATTTATAGCTAATCCTCTTTTAACTTTGATTAGGTGAAAAACGCGGAAAATGTGTGTTGGTATGTTGGTTATAACCCTATATTTTGCTGATAGGTTCGTACCACTGTGGCGTTCAAACGCCAAAAACGTCTAAAACGTCAAAACTTGTCATCTGTAGAATAATTATTTAACGGGTATATCGTTTTGCCTAAAGCGGTGTGTAAAATAATGGACATTGCAAATTAAAGAAAAAAGAGTTGAATAAATAAATTTCGTTAATCAATAGTTTAATTATTCGGTAGGTACATTACAAATTAGCAAAATAATAGTTTAAATTGTCTTCTGGCCAGCGTACCGGCCGCGACATCTTTTTGGTCGTCATAAATATTAGGAATTTGTCCTAGTTGAAAAACGCATATATTCGTTGTATAATCTTGGGATAGCTTCAGAAGACAAATGCATTCCCATATACCTAGTCACCAATTGAATCCAAATGCCACCCCCCTGTTGTGTAGAGACGAAGACATGTTAATAATTGATTCATCGGCGTAACACAATTATTTCTAAAACGACGAATGATTGCAGTTGAAAACTAAATTATTTACACTGACCTATCTGTAGGATACTCCAATTGATCTTCGATCCTCACAAGAAGATGATACACACAGTTCTTCGTCAACCGAAACCGTTTTCGAAAAGTGCTTTGGTCCAAAGTGTCAAAGTACGAATGCCTTTCATAAATTTGTCGCGAAACCGTTTTCAATGAAATCGACCACTTCATGTCGTCGTCTTCCACAATAGGAAATTGTAACTCATTAATTTTTTAATAAAGGTATAAAAAGAGAAGTCAACCTTTCAAAACGGCAAAATGAGGTTAGAATACTTTTTTGCCAAGCAATGGCGCCTTCTAATCATGATTTAAATACTAACCGCTCGACTATTCACCGGTTATTTAACCAAACCCTTAACCACGGTTAAGTGAATGGTGCAACGAAGTTTTCTGGATTAGCCAATTTAATCACGATTAAAATGCTAACCCACGTTGGTGCAAACGGGCATAACTTTGGGATTCTTATGATTTTGACTTTCCAAAAACTTTTTTTGACATTCTAAAATAGGTCTTGACATTTTAAGGTAAATTTGTAAATTTTTGGCTTTGTAAAATGTGTTTTAACATTTAAAACATGTTTTTGACATTCCGAAATGTGTTTTTGACACTTTTAATTGTGTGTTAAAGTAATTTTGAGATTCTTATAATTTTGACTGTCTAAAATTTGTTTTTGACACTCTCAATTGTGTGTTAAGGTAATTTTGAGATTATTATGATTTTGACTTTCTAAAATTGGTTTTTGACATTCTATATGTTTGGAATTGTAAAATGTGTTTTAACATTTAAAAATGTTTTTGACATTCCAAAATGTGTTTTTGACTCTCTTAATTGCGTGTTAAGGTAATTTTGAGATTCTTATGATTTTGGTTTTGGACATCCTAAAATCTGCTTTTGACATTCTAAAATAAGTCTCGACAAATGTGTTAATTTTGAGATTCTTGTAATTTTGACATTCTAACATCTGTTTTTGAAATTTCCCAATATAAAATGTGTTTTAACATTTAAATTTTTTTTACATTTCAAAAGTGTTTTTGACGTTCTCAAGGTAACTTTGGGAGTATTATGATTTTGACACTCTAAAATTGGTTTTAACATTAAAAAAATGTTTTGACATTCCAAAATGTGTTTTTGTTTTTGCGTGTTAAGGTAATTTTGAGATTATGATTTTGACTTTCTAATATTACTACTAAGTTTGGAGAAAGGAGAATAACACAATCTGTTCTGAATGAACTTCCTGACAAACATTTTCGACATCAGTCAAAAACTATTATTTATCTATAAGAAAACTGTACTTCCACATATTTATATTTTAGGGTTTTTATAAAATATTTGTTGAATATTTTTATTTTTCCACTATTGAACCTGCTATGGAATCATGTATTCTTTTTGGGTTTATTAAATAAATTTAAAAAAATACCTTGTTTTCTTGAAGTAGTACATAACATTTTTAAACGGTAACTTTTGTCTGTCTGTAAAACTTACTTTGAGCAGGTGCAGTTGGTCCTGCGGCTGGGCTCCACGAAGTCCCAGGAGCCGTCGCAGGCGGCGCCGCCTAGGCTGGCCTGTTGCTGCTGCTGCTGCTGTCCGCAGTGGGCCGTGGGGCCGCCCAGCAGGCACTCCTGCCACGCGCGCTCGGGCAAGACAGTGGCGGCCGTCGGCTCTCGCGACATCGAGAACTGGTGCTCGACGGAGACCGAGTACGGCCCTGGCTGCGGCACCTTGCTGCTGATCTGGACTAGCTGGGGTGCCGGAGCTTGGACTAAGATCGGAGAATCTGAAAGAGGAACGAATATTATACGGCGTGTTACGAAGTTCGAGGTTATAACGTTTTACAGTAAGAAAAAAACACTAATTTCTTTTGTTTTTGACATTCAAAATGTGTTTATGACACTCTTAATTGTGTGTTAAGGTAACTTTGGGATTCTTATGATTTTGACTTCCTAAAATTGGGTTTTGACATTCTAAAATGAGTCTTGACATTTTAAGGTAAATTTATACATTGTTGGCATTTTAAAATGTGTTTTAACATTTAAAGCATGTTTTTGACACTTTTAATTGTGTGTTAAGGAAATTTTGAGATTCTTATGATTTTGACTTCCTAAAATTGGGTTTTGACATTCTAAAAATGTTTTTGACACTCTTAATTGTGTGTTAAGGTAAATCTTATGTTTTTGACTTCCTAAAATATTTTTTTGGCAAGTCTTGACATTTTAAGGTAAGTTTGTAATTTTTTGGCATTGTAAAATGTGTTTTTGACACTTTTAATTGTGTGTTAAGGTGAGATTTTTATGATTTTGACTTTCTTAAATTGGTTTTTGACATTCTAAAATGTTTTTGACATTTTAAAAATGTTTTTGACATTTCAAAAGTGTTTTTGACACTTTTAATTGTTTGTTAAGGTAACTTTGGGATTCTTATGATTTTGACTTCCTAAAATCTTTTTTTGGCATTCTAAAATAAGTCTTGACATTTTAAGGTAAATTTGTAAATTTTTGGCTTTGTAAAATGTGTTTTAACATTTAAAACATGTTTTTGACATTCCGAAATGTGTTTTTGACACTTTTAATTGTGTGTAAAGGTAATTTTAAGATCCTTATGATTTTGACTGTCTAAAATATGTATTTGACATTTTAAGGTAAATTTGTACATTTTTGACATTCCAAAAGTGTTTTTGACACTCTTAATTGTGTGTTAAAGTAACTTATGATTTTGACTTTTGATCTTTTTTTGACATTTTAAAATAGGTCTTGCCATTTTAAGGAAACTTTGTAAATTTTTGGAATTGTAAAATGTGTTTTAAAACATGTTTTTGACATTCCAAAAGTGTTTTTAACACTTTTAATTGTGTGTTAAGGTAACTTTGGGATTCTTATGATTTTGACTTAAAATCTTTTTTTGACATTCTAAAATAGGTCTTGACATTTTAAGGTAAATTTGTAAATTTTTGGTATTGTAAAATGTGTTTTAACATTTAAGACATGTTTTTGACATTCCGAAATGTTTTTTTGACACTCTTAATTGTGTGTTAAAGTAATTTTAAGATTCTTAAAATTTTGACCGTCTAAAATTGGTTTTTGACATTCTTAATTGTGTGTTAAGGTAATTTTGATATTCTTATGATTTTGACTGTCTAAAATTGGTTTTTGACATTCCAAAATGTTTTTGACACTCTTAATTGTGTGTTAAGGTTAATTTGGGATTCATATAATTTTGACTTTCTTAAATTTGTTTTTGTCATTTGATGTTTGTTTGAAATGTGATTTTGACTTTATAAATTGTGTTTTTGACATTCCAAAATAAGTATTGACATTTTAAGGTAAATTTGTAAATTTTTTTGCGTTCCTTGACATTCTAAGATACTTTTAAGATTAAGATTTTTATGGTTTTGACAGTCTAAAAGTTGTTTTTAACATTCTGTGATTGTGTTTTTGACACTCTCAAGTTCAGTTTTTGATATTCCAAAATAAATCCTGACATTATAAGGTAAATTTTAAACAAAAAAAGTTGTTTATAACATTCTTAAATATGCATTTCAATATGCATTTTCAAGTATGGTTTTGACCCTATAAAGTTGCTTTTGGCATTTTAAAATATGTTTTGACGTTTGAACTGTTTGAAAACAATTTTGGTTTTGACTTTCTAAAACGTGTTTTTGACATTCCAAAGTAAGTTTGACATTCTACTTAAAAAGTTGTTTTTAACATTCCTAATTAAATTTTGACATGTTAATAAAACAAGTTTAAAACATTTTTAAATATGATTTTAACACTATAGAAATAGTTTTTGACATTTTAATTTAATAATTTTGAGATTCTTATGGTTTTGACACTCTAAAAGTTGTTTTTAACATTCTTAACAAATATGCCTTGACATTATTACGTTGTAATAAAACATGTTTAAATATGTTTTTGACACTTTAAAAAGTTGTTTTTACATTCTAAAATGTGTTTTTGACACTCTTAGTTGTGTTTTTGACATTTTAAGGTTATTTTAAAATTTGACAAGTTATTTTAAACATTCTTAAATAAATCTTGACATCTTTAAGTTTACACTTAAAGTTGTTTTTGGACTTCTTAAGTAAGTTAAAGACATTTTTAAATTATTATACGGTTTTGGCAGTCTGAAAAGTTGTTTTTGACATTTTAGTATGTTTGACTTGAATGTGTTTTTGATATTCGCAAAGACTCGACAATTTTTCTTACTTGTTCCGTTATTTTTGGTCCCCCTCTCGTTGGTCGCCGGGCCGAGGTTGTTCGTCTGCAATATCGTTTGGTTGGCGTTGTCGTCCAGGTCGGTGACGAGGACGTAGCACGACGGATAGCGCAGCTTGATGCCGTCCACGACCACCTCGACCACGCTGCTTTCCGTGAGGCCGCTAGTTTTGTCCAGCGGATAGAAGTGGCTCCAATCTTCGATGAGACGCGAGCAGATCTCGGGCGATTTGAAGCACTGGCCCGTAAGAGTGCCGGCCAGCCCGAATGGTGCCAAGATTACTAAAAAATTAAGAAACAATTAGTTAAGAAATATCAATATTGCTTTGTTAATAATACAATATTATCTATTATTGTAAAATAAGAGTTTATTAGAAATTTATTCTAAAAAATGATTTTAACATTTTTTGGTTTTATGAGATCAGTATTGCCATTCTCAAAAATGCCTTTAACATTCTAAAATGTGTCTTAAATTTCTTAAATATGCTTGTAACATTTTAAAAAGTGGTTTAGACATTTTTTGATTTTATAAAATCAGTACATTTTAAAATATGCATTTAACATTCTAAAAAGTGATTTAAACTATTTTGAGATTATGCAATACGTATTGGCATTCTCAAATATACCTTTAACATTCTTAAATAGTTCTCAACATTCTTGAGCAATTTTGATATTGTTATGATCTTGAAGTTCTACAATATGTTTTTGACATTCTAAAAAGTGATTTTAATATTTTTTGATTTTATGTCTTTACAATCTAAAATTTTTAAAAATTTTCAAAAAAACGAGATTTTAACATTTTATAAATCGGTATGGCCATCCTCAAATATGCCTTTAACATTCTAAAAAGTGGTTTAGACATTTTTTGATTTTATGAAATCAGTACCTATTGACATTTTAAAATATGCATTTAACATTCTAAAATGTGTCTTAATAATCTAAAATTCTTAATATGCTTTGAACATTCTAAAAAGTGATTTAAACATTTTTGCTATTATGCAATACGTATTGGCATTCTCAAATATACCTTTAACATTCTTAAATAATTCTCAACATTCTTGAGCAATTTTAAAATTGTTATGCTCTTGAAGTTCTAAAATGTGTTTTTGACATTCTAAAAAGTGATTTTAATATTTTTTGATTTTATATCTTTACAATCTAAAATTTTTAAATAATCTTTCAAAAAAACGAGATTTTAACATTTAATAAATCGGTACTGCCATTCTCAAATATGCCTTTAACATTCTAAAATGTGTCTTTACAATCTAAAATTCTTAAATTTGCTCTTAACATTCAAAAAGTGATTTAAACATTTTTTGATTTTTTTAAATCAGTATTGACATTCTCTTAATTACCATCTAAATCCTTAATAGGCTTTTATCATTCTAAAAAATGATTCTTACATTTTTTGATTTTTTGAAATTGACATTCTTAAATATGCCTTTAATATTCTTAAATGTCTTTACAATCTAAAATTCCTTGATATACATCTTCAAATATTCCTTTAACATTCTAAAATGTGTTTTTTGACATTCTTAAGTAATTCTCAACATTTTTGAGCAATTTTGAGATTGTTATGGTTTTGAAGTTTTAAAATGTGATTTTGACATTCAAAAAGGTGTTTTAATATTTTTTGATTTTATGAAATCAGTATTGACATTCTCAAATAAGTATGCCTTTAACATTCTAAAATGTGTCTTTACAATCTAAAATTCTTAAAAACTGATTTTAATTTTTTTAATAAAGTCTGTGTTTTTTGACATATTTTCAAGATTCTTAAATAATTTTGAGATTCTTGTGGTTTTGAAAATCTTTTGTTTTTTGATATTCTCAAATCATTCTTTTAGAATTGTTTTGGTTTTGACTTTCTCAAATGTTTTTAGGTCTTAGTTTGACAGCATTCTATAATATGATTTTGATATTCTAAATAGTATGTAATTACTGTTTTTAATATGTTTAGGATTTTTTTTGATATTATAAAATTTGTATTGTCATTCTAAAATTTGCCTTTAACATTCTAAAATATGTTTTTTACATTTTTAATTTTTTTAAATATGTAGGTATTTTTGATAATATAAAATCTGTATTGACACTCTTAGAAATGCTTTTCAAATTCTAAAATATGTATTTGCATTATCAAATATTTTTTTAAATTTTATAGTTCAAAATTGGGATGTTGTATTATAAAATCTGTATGGACATTCTGAAATGTGTTTTTAACAAACTGAAATGTTTTTTATTACATTCTAAAATATTTATTGGCATTCTTAAATAATTTTTAATATTCTAAATCATTTTATGATTTTTTACTTATTTAAGGCAATACATATTATTACCTACTAGTAAATACATTAATATTTATAAATACATAAATTATAAAAATTATTTTTCTTGTTCTTTTGACATTGTGGGTCATCTTTGTACAAAATCTCGCTTAATAACAATTTTATGAAAAAAATTTAATACTATTTTTTATAAAGAATAACATTGTCCATATTTTTTGTTTTACGTATAATTTTTTTGTAAAATAGGTATTTCAGGGCTCCCACGGCTAAATTACAAATTTTATTTAGGAATTTAGGAGGTTTTTTGTAAAATTTTAGGAGAAATAAAGTATGGAAATGAGTTCCTTTAATTAAATAAAAACATATCTTTACTACTTAAAAAAAAAATTAATACTTCTTTTGTAACAATAAGTTATTTTGACTAGTTTTTTAGCCAAATCGCTCGACGAGTTTTTTTTTAAATAAAATTAAAAGTGAGGTAAAATTACTATTTTTGTATATATCTGAGGTACATATATAAGTATATATATATATAGTACAAGTATAAATTTCACCACACTTTTAATTTTATTTAAAAAAATGCGTCGATAGATTTGGTTAATGCCAAAATCAAATGATGTTATCTTTATATTTTAAGAAAAAACATATTAACCGTTTAGTTAATAATTAACAGTAATTAAATCGATAAGGTTAAGAATAGTACAAGTCCAAAAGTAAAATTTTTGATAAAATATTTAAAAAAATCAATTTTATAGTTCTAAATGCATTTTTGAATATTTTAACTATTTTATGAAATATAATATTCATATTTTGTAAAATAATTTATATCTTCTAACAAAAATGTATTTTAAACTTTAAAATTGATTTTAGAAAATAAATTGTCAAAATTAAATTTTTATTCTCACCGATTCAATTGTAATGTGGAACTTAATACTTAAAAATCACAAAATATGAAGTTTGCAAAATACAGCAAAACATTATTTAGATTGTTTACTATTTTAGCTGTCTTTAAAATAAAATTAAAAATCCTTTTGTTTGGTATATAACACGGTATATTTTTGACTAAAAGACGAAATATCGCTAAAAAATTTTAGTTGTGATATTATATCATTTTAAAAAGAATTTAATAAAATAGAAGCTAAATATATATATTTTTAAATTACTTTTTAAAAAAGAATTTTTTTCAGCACTACCTTAATTAAACGCAGTCGGGTTGGCCTATTTAAATTTAATTTTTAGGATTTTAGGAGTTTTAGGAGATTGAAGGCAATTTTAGGAGAATTTTAGGAGTTTTCAAGATTTAAGCAAAATTTTAGGAATTTTATGAGTTTTAGGAGGTGTGGGAGCCCTGACAGGGCTCCCACGGCTAAATTACAAATTTTATTTAGGAATTTAGGAGGTTTTTTGTAAAATTTTAGGAGAAATAAAGTATGGAAATGAGTTTCTTTAATTAAATAAAAACATATCTTTACTACTTAAAAAAAAATTAATACTTCTTTTGTAACAATAAGTTATTTTGACTAGTTTTTTAGCCAAATCGCTCGACGAGTTTTTTTTAATAAAATTAAAAGTGAGGTAAAATTACTACTTTTGTATATATCTGAGGTACATATATAAGTATATATATATATAGTACAAGTATAAATTTCACCACACTTTTAATTTTATTTAAAAAAATGCGTCGATAGATTTGGTTAATGTCAAAATCAAATGATGTTATCTTTATATTTTAAGAAAAAACATATTAACCGTTTAGTTAATAACTAACAGTAATTAAATCGATAAGGTTAAGAATAGTACAAGTCCAAAAGTAAAATTTTTGATAAAATATTTAAAAAAATCAATTTTATAGTTCTAAATGCATTTTTGAATATTTTAACTATTTTATGAAATATAATATTCATATTTTGTAAAATAATTTATATCTTCTAACAAAAATGTATTTTAAACTTTAAAATTGATTTTAGAAAATAAATTGTCAAAATTAAATTTTTATTCTCACCGATTCAATTGTAATGTGGAACTTAATACTTAAAAATCACAAAATATGAAGTTTGCAAAATACAGCAAAACATTATTTAGATTGTTTACTATTTTAGCTGTCTTTAAAATAAAATTAAAAATCCTTTTGTTTGGTATATAACACGGTATATTTTTGACTAAAAAACGAAATATCGCTAAAAAAATTTAGTTGTGATATTATATCATTTTAAAAAGAATTTAATAAAATAGAAGCTAAATATATATATTTTTAAATTACTTTTTAAAAAAGAATTTTTTTCAGCACTACCTTAATTAAACGCAGTCGGGTTGGCCTATTTAAATTTAATTTTTAGGATTTTAGGAGTTTTAGGAGATTGAAGGCAATTTTATGAGAATTTTAGGAATTTTCAAGATTTAAGTAAAATTTTAGGAATTTTAGGTATTTTTAATGATGTAATGATTCGCTTACCTTTCAGTCCCGAGGTGCTGGCGCTGGCCTGCTGCAGATGGCCCCTCGACAACCTTCGGACGGCCGGATGCTGCCGAACGTCGACGCTCGCGCACACCGAGCTCTCGCCGTGCACGAAGAACGCGAACGAAAAGGACAGGTTGTTGGAGCCGGTGCCGTTCGGCGCGGCCGACTCCGACTGCTGCTGCTGCTGCTGGTGCGGGTGGTGAGCGGCGCGGCGCGGGCCGTCGCTCGGCTGCACGAACCACTTGCCGAGCCTGATGAAGTCGCGCGACAGCAGGCATCGCTCGATCAGGTTGTGCAGCGCCTTGAAGAGCAGCGAGCGGCACTCGTAGGAGAGGCCGCTTTCCCACGAGCCTTGGTCGCTGTCTGAACGAAGAAAGAAGAAAATTAGTTGGGTGGGAAAACATTAAAATAATGTCATAATTTTACAAAAATTTATATTATTGACATCCTAAAATAGAACTTCTGAAAGCATTTTATAAAATATGCTTTTAACATTTAAAAAGTTGATTTTAACATTTTTAAATGTGTTTTGACATTAAAAAATTTATATTATTGACATTAAAAAATTTATATTATTGACATTCTAAAATATAACTTATGAAAGCATTTTCTAAAATATGCTTTTAACATTTAAAATATGATTTTAACATTTTTAAGTGTGTTTTGACATTCAAAAATTTATATTATTGACATTAAAAAATTTATATTATTGACATTCTAAAATAGAACTTATGAAAGCATTTTCTAAAATATGCTTTTAACATTTTTAAATGTGTTTTGACATTCCAAAATGTGTTCTAAAAAGGTTTGCAGCATTCTTAAAAATGGTCTTGACATTCTTAAAATAAGCTAAAATGCAGCCTTAAGAGTTTAAATTCTGAGATTCTTATGGTTTTGACATTCTAAAAAAGTAGTTTTGACAGAATTCATTAAAATGGTTTTGATTATAATGCATGTGGTGGTATTCTAAATTATGCTTTTAACATTCTAAAATGCGATTTTAAGATATTTAAAAAGTGGCTTTAAAATTTGTAAGTACCTATTTAAAATTTTAAAATATGTTTTTGACATTTTAAAATTTTGTTTTAATATTCTAAATAATGTGTGTTTGACAGCATTTTTACAATATGCAGCATTCTTTTAACATCATAAAATGCGATTTTGATATTCTAAAAAGTGCCTTTTGACATTCTTAAATGTACTTTTAACATTCTAATATGTGGTTTAACATTTTTAAATAAAATTTACAAATTCGCGAATTTTTGACATTCTTCATTTAAAATGTGATTTTAACATTTTTAAATAAATTTTGAAATTTTTGACAGCATTTTTAAAAAATGCTGACATTCTTAAATATGATTTTAACATATCTCAAACATTCTAAGTTTGATAGTATTCTAAAAATGGTTTTAATATTTTGACAAAGTATTATTGAAATTCTAAAAAGATAGACTTGACAGCATTCTTTTTTGACATTCCAAAATGTGCAGCATTCTTAAAAAGGGTTTTGATATTCTTAAAATAACCTAAAAATGTAAAATGCAGTTTAAATTCTGAGATTCTTATGCTTTTGACATTCTAAAAAAGTGGGTTTGACAGAATTATTTAAAATGGTTTTGATTATCTAAAGTGCCTGTGCTGGTATTCTAAATTATGCTTATAACATTCTAAAATGCGATTTTAAGATATTTAAAAAGTGGTAAAATTTTTAAGGTTTTGAAATTTTAAAATATATTTTCATGTCTTAAAATTCTGAAATATGATTTTAACATTCTAAAAAAGTGTTAGACAGCATTCTTAAAATATGCAGCATTCTTAAATATACTTTTAACATTCTAAAACCTGTTTCAATTCGCAAATTGGCAAATTTTTGACAGCATTTAAAATTTTTTTCATAAGCACTTGGTTTTAAAATTTTTAAACATATTTTTGACATTCTAAATGTGAATTTTAAATTTCAAGTTAGTTTGAGAGTATTCTGAAATATGGATTTAATATTTTGACAATGTATTATTGACATTCTAAGTTCATGTCCTAACATTCTAAAATATAATATTGACATTCTAAAATAGAACTTATGAAAGCATTTTCTAAAATATGCTTTTAACATTTAAATTGTGATTTTAACATTTTTAAATGTGTTTTGACATTCTAAAATGTGATTTTTAAATGTCAAGTTAGTTTGAGAGTATTCTGAAAAAATGGTTTTAATTTTTTGACCATGTATTATTGACATTCTAAAAAGTTCATGTCATAACATTCTTAAACATAATATTGACATCCTAAAATAGAACTTCTGAAAGCATTTTATAAAATATGCTTTTAACATTTTTAAATGTGTTTTGACATTCCAAAATGTGTTCTAAAAAGGTTTGCAGCATTCTTAAAAATGGTTTTGACTTTCAAAAAATAACCTAGTCTTATGGTTTTGACATTCTAAAAAAGTAGGTTTGACAGAATTCTTTAAAATGGTTTTGATTATCTAAAGTGCATGTGCTGGTATTCCAAATTATGCTTTTAACATTCTAAAATGCGATTTTAAGATATTTAAGTAATTTTAAGGTTTTGAAATATTTTTTTGACATTCTTAAATTTCTATGTCTTAAAATTCTGAAATATGATTTTAACATTCTAGAAAAGTGTGTTTGACAGCATTCTTAAATATACAGGGTGTTATGTAATTAATGTTATATATTAAAATGGGTTGTTCCTTAGGGTCCATAAAGAAGCACCTGAAACTTTTTTTTTCCAAATTCCAAAGTCTAAAAATAATTTATAATAACCTTTATCCTACCAAAAAGTACGCCACTGATCGACTAGAAACTTTAGGTTAATCTGGTGGATTTATTATGTTATGGTTGGTAACAACATTGTTTCCAAAATCTCTCAAAAAAGTTGACAAACATTGTTTAAATTTAGCTTAATTACAAAAATGACAAAATTAACAATGCAAATTGTCAATTTGGCGTTTTTATTAATTGTTGGTTATTTCATTCAAAACAATCTGCCAACTTTTATGACAGAATCTAGTGCATTTCTTTTAAATTTTAGGTTATGTTTTCAAATTGTAAATATCTTAACTAAGGGAAGTGCTTTTGGATTTATTTACATAAATTAAATGTTTAAAGTTTAACCTGTGAACTGGTCCCAATTTCATCTGAGTAAACAGAGAAAAAAACTGATGAAAAAATTAATTTTGTGGTTATGGATTTCAAATGTCAAAGGTACCTACTAAATTTTCTAATCATTGCTTAAGCTAATAGCTGGATCAGTAAATAAATACAGAAGGGTATTAGAGCTTTAAGGGCATAAAACTTTTGTATTTATTGAGTTTTTATTTATTTTTTGCAAGAAAAATTTTTAGTAACAATTTTTTACATCTGGCAACGCATAGCTACTTTGTTGTTTGATATCTACTCACAAAATACAGGTGTGCAGAGATAAACAAGTGTGTAACCAGTGGCGTATCACAAAAAATATAAAAAACTTCTAATGCATATTTTTTCTTTATCTTTGGAAAAATGCTTTTTAAAATATTTTTCCTTTATTCCTTATGTCAAAAGGTATTCAGTATTTTAATATATAACATTAATTACATAACACCCTGTATTATTGACATCCTAAAATAGAACTTCTGAAAGCATTTTCTAAAATATGCTTTTAACATTTAAAAATGTGATTTTAACATTTTTAAATGTGTTTTGACATTCAAAAATTTATATTATTGACATTCTAAAATGGAACTTATGAAAACATTTTCTAAAATATGCTCCAAAAAATAACCTAGTCTTATGGTTTTGACATTCTAAAAAAGTAGGTTTGACAGAATTCTTTAAAATGGTTTTGATTATCTAAAGTGCATGTGCCAAATTATGCTTTTAACATTCAAAAATGCGATTTTAAGATATTTAAGTAATTTTAAGGTTTTGAAATGTTTTTGACATTCTTAAATTTCTATGTCTTAAAATTCTGAAATATGATTTTAACTTTCTAGAAAAGTTTGTTTGACAGCATTCTTAAATATACTTTTAACATTCTAAAACCTGATTCAACATTTTAATTTAATAGAATTCGCAAATTGGCGAATTTTTGACAGCATTTAAAATTGATTTCATAAGTGGTTTTAAAATTTTTAAACATGTTTTTAACACTCTAAAATGTGATTTTTAAATTTCAAGTTGGTTTGAGAATATTCTGAAAATGTGGTCTTAATATTTTGACAATGTATTATTGACATTCTAAAAAGTTCATGTCCTAACATTCTAAAATATAATTTTAACATTCCAAAATGCAGTTTTTAACATTTTTAAATATGTTTTTGACATTTTAAAAAGTGTTTTAACATTCTAAAAAAATGTCTGTTTGACAGCATTCTAAAATATCTTAAAATGCGATTTTAACATTTTAAAACATGGTTTTGATATTCCAAAAAGTACCTTTTGACATTATTAAATTTTCTTTAACATTCTAAAATGTGGTTCAACATTTTAAAACATTCTATGCTGACATTCTTAAATATGCCTTTAACATCCTCAAATGTGGTTTTACAATTTTTAAACATGTTTTTAATATTCTAAAATGTGATTTTTAAATTCCAAGTAAGTTTGACAGTAATTTAAAAAATGGTTTTAGTATTTTCAGTAAAATTTTTTGACAATGTTTTAGTTTCATTCTAAAAAGTAGGTTTGACAGCATTCTTTAAAATGGTTTGGAAATTCTAAAAAGTTCATGTCCTAACATTCTAAAATGCAGTTTTTAACATTTTTGAATAGACTTCGCAAATTCGCGAATTTTTGACAGCATTTTCAAAAAATTTAACATTCCATGCTGACATTCTTAAATATGTCTTTAACATTCTCAAATGTGGATTTAAATTTTTTAAATGTTTTTACATTCTAAAATGTGATTTTTAAATTCCAAGTAAGTTTGACAGTATTTTAAAAAATGGTTTTAATATTTTGACAATGTATTACACAGCCACACAAATTTTTTTTTTGTTTTGATCTGGGGGTCTGACCATATTTCTTTTATGTTTTTGGGGTCGCTGAATCCGAATCCAAGGTCTATTTAACCCCATCACATCAGGATTTTGACATAACCTCAAAAAATCTATAATTTAAGCTATTAAACGCATATAACCCTAAAAATTAAGTTTTTGTCTAAAAACCCAAGCTCCTAAACCCTATAAGCCTAAAACTCACTTAACTCCATAACCCCATGACCCACTTAACCCCATCATCTATTTAAACATATAATCCTTAGGATGAAATTGTGATCTGAAAACCCAAGCTATTAAACCCAATAAGCATTTTAACCCCATTCCATAAACCACTTAAACCCATAACCTTGTAACCCATTTAACCC